ACATAGTAGTGTCACTATTAGTCCTATAAGAATGAATCTTATCTGAAATTGAATACGAGTCATTCTGACACCCCGTTGCCGGTACACGTGATTCTGAATTCCAATGCTCAGTAGCATGTGCGTAGCTCGCAAAACTATCTCGAATCCATGGTAGCATGAAGAATGAGATTAGCAGCGTCCTCGAACAGGATCTGTAAACAGCAGCCTATACTCAGCAGGGTGATAGGGCGAATGAATCATTGTGGGGCAAATAAACACCAATGAAGCTAATAACACACGCCGACGTACAAATAGGTGTTGAAAGAGATTGGTGAGAAATTGATTGATTGATTGTTGTTGTGAGGGGTTTAACGTCCCAAACCCCCATGATTATGAGAGACGCCGTAGTGGAGGCCCCCAGAAATTTTGACCACCCGAGGTTCTTTAACGTGCACCCAAATCTGAGCACACGGGACAGCATTTCCGCCTCCATCGGAAATGCAGCCGCCGCCGGCGGGATTCGATCCCGCGACCTGCGGGTCAGCAGCCGAGTACCTTATAACCACTAGACCACTGCGGCGGGGCTATTGGTGAGCAGTGACAAACGTCCAATGTGCATTGGCTTTAAACTCTGTTCGTATGAAACACTGCCATCGACGTGAAGGGTCTGTAACGAGTGATTAGCCACGCCGCAGTGGTCTAGTGGCTAATGTACACGGCTGCTGACCCGCAGGTCGCGGGATCGAATCCCGGCTGCGGCGGCTGCATTTCCGATGGAGGCGGAAATGTAGGCCCGTGTTCTCAGATTTGGGTGCACGTTAAAGAACCCCAGGTGGTCTAAATTTGAGGAGCCCTCCACTACGGCGTCTCTCATAATCATATGGTGGTTATGGGACGTTAAACTCCATTTATCAATCATCAATCTGTAACGAGTGATTATGCGCTTATCGATCGATCGATCCAAAAAAAACAAGCTAGTCATTAGTAAGTGTCTTCATGTGCAAGTGTTTTTTTCTATTAATGCTTATTGACAGCATTTCGACTACTGTTTGTTAGAAAGAAAACATATTAACCCGAATAGGGCACGTGTATAAGCCGCACACGCGCACAAGCCAACACCATATCATAACCGTAATTGGGGTCGTAAATAAACAAAACACACACACGCCCACACGTTGACGGGTCCAGCGGACATTTTTCATGACGCATTCCAAGACAGGAATGCGTGGAATACTGATAGTTACAGTTGAGAAGCACTGTATACTTTTTTATCGAGTGTGTAAGACACTCACTCTGCGCTGTAAAACATGCCACATGGCAGTCCGTAAACAAATGTGGTTGAGGAAAAAAGGCATTCAAACGACGTTAGCACATGCCATCATATTGTAAGACAATTAGCGCAAGGTAATCATCGTTGTTCGTCAGTTTTAGCGTGCTCGGTCACGCGCATCGGCCTTGCCTATCACGGAAATCCAAGCCAATAGTCTCACAATATCGTTTTATAAGTTGCTGGAGATGTGCCGGGGGGGGGGGGCAATGTCGGTGACGCCAAACTCCTTTAAAAAACCACCTACACTTTACTGTTAGAGAACGCCGCCATCTTGAACGTTGCGCGAGCAGAATTTCTCTGTTGCTTTACTTTTTGCTGGGGGGAGGGGACACCTATGTCGAGGTTACACTGTCGCAGTGACTGGCCCGGACGTGAATAAATTTTTTGCGCAATTACTGCGGCAGCGTGTACTACAGCATGCACTACAATTGAAAACGCAATGTATATATATGAAGGTGCAACATTTTCAGGAGGCGGTTCACAAGTAAGAACAAAGCGGTGCAAGGCCATAACCAGGAATGCTTTACGGGGGTGTTTTGTGTGCAACGGCTAACTTTGGTGACGGGTATAAATGTGAAGGCATGCAAGCACTTTGGCAATTAGTATCACCCAAAAGGTTAAAACATCGAAAAATTTCGGGGGATGTCAGAATCCCCCGAACTCCCCCAGCTACGGCCTTCGTGCGGTGCATTTTTAGTTGCATTTATTTCCTCAACTGCCGTCCTTATTTACTCCAGTTCCCATATATTAAAAGATAGCCCCTAAAACACCTCTGAAAGAACAAGGCCGCTAGTCATCTATCCTGGCGTGATTACTCTTCTCTACACGGTTCGTGACGCCAGCATTCTGCTTAGGTGACGTCACAATTATATAAGCTCTCTACTGGTTCATTTAAGAATAATATCAGTTGCGAATTGTTTTCCGCCCCGTTTTGCCAAGCACTCGCACACACATTCCGCCTTGTCTCACGCGATCCACTTATTTCACATCCTTCTGAAGTAAGCCCCTTTCCGGACTTTTGAACTCGGATTTGTTTAGAGGGGCCCTTCAAGTCCGGACTACAACATCAGCGGATGCAAATTGTAAACCACAGGATGCGTCTGTCGCGGCCGCCCCATTTCGAGTGGCGATTGCATCGGAAACGCGCCTTCGCAGACATATGCGTAGCAAGAAACCCGAGGCAGAGGAAGCATTGCATTAAACATATACGGAATGTGAAATGTGCCGAAATCATTCAGCATAAAAGATGCTGAGCGAAAGAAACTATTCATCAGTATGTGTCCCTTCTGAGGAAATTTTCCGTTAAGGTTCCTCTTCGAATACCTGTTCAAGCTGCCAATCACACACGGTTCTGCATATATAGCGTGACTACAATGTCAAACTACAGCAATAGAACAAGTCATCGTCACATTAAGGTGTCACATCGTACATTCCAAGCACCGAAACACGGGGCGGGGTTTTTGCCCGATGCATACCGAATTCCTTGGGAGCTGTACACACTGACGCTCGGTACGATATGGCTGGCGCAGAGACGAGACGGCAAGGTGAAGAGACAGGCGGCATCGTTCCTTACGTCTACCAGCGCTCTCAACACATCGCATAAGCTTTGCAGCGAACATGAAGTGATGTAACGGTGCTTCTTATACATGAGGCACTGCCACATCTCGTCCTTGTGTACACCGCCACATAATCTAACCTAACCAGTCTGCCCTTCCGGTGTCGGCATTTTTTTTTTTTGCTGCTCGTTGCATCAAACGAAGGTGCACGCAGCAGTAAGCAACGTTACTAGTAAACGTCACCAAACCACTCCGCACAGACATGCATAAAGAAGAAAAGAAAAACGCGTTCGTATGCCGCACGCGCGTTGAACTAACGTCAGCACTGGCGTAGACAGGACAGACTTTTGTTGCTTTTTTTTAACTGTTATAGGTACCGCTTTTGTTGCTTGAAGTCTTGCCTTTTCATGCACGAAGTGTTCTCGCGTGCCTTGTAGGCGGTATAGATCCGCTCCTGCCTCGAACGTGAAGGACGCGCTTTCATGTCGAGATGAACGAGGGAAGGACAACTTTTTTCTTTCCGGAGCCGGCGCACCGATGTTTGTTACGTCGGAGAATTAAAACGGGGTCTTTGTATGCGAACAGACAAGGCGCGATATGGCGCAATCGGCGTACACGCAAAACGTGCCGACCCGGTTGGTGTAAAGGAAAGGAACGCCGCGCCTCTATCGGCCGGGAGACCATTCAGGACTGGGTTTCACTCAACTGACCACCTGGACACCGTAACCTGGCTAGCTCGGTGGGTATTTCACATTCTGAGAGTGTGCGCGAGGCAAATCCCGGCCAGCGGCGCAACGTGAAAAGCCGCTGTGCATTCAATTAATCCGTATCACCGTGCACTTGCCTCAAGGTCATGCGCAATCGATGCGCTCGTATACAGCGTACACTCGAAAGCATGTAATCACCAGCGAAATAAGGTAACGTTTATGCAAGAAACACGCATGGAGTTTTGGGGCTGACCGCAGATACACCACCCTGGACAAGGCGTTTGCCCCAGCTCTGCCGCACAAGGAACTGGCACAGAAACCCCGTTAGGAAAGAAAATAGCTTTGATGTAGAGTACCATCCTCGCCGATGCAATGCGATCAACGGGAAGAATTTCGAATTTTCCGGTTTTTTACGGTCTGGTCATCGCCAAACAGTGGCCGCGACAGGCAGGGGGCTTTCTGCCCGGGCTGCTTTCTTCCCCCCCACCCCTCCTTCCTCTTTTCGAGGGTGCAACGCAGTCGTGGATGGAAGAGCGCGCGATCGAACCTGACCTAACGCAGCCTGACGCCATAGCGCTCGAGCTCCTAGGCGGGAGCCGACTCGACGAAGGCGTGCCTCCCAGGGCACAGTTGGAACGCGGTTAGCCACGTGCCGAACGCATGAACTGTGCTCGGCGCTTAAATGTGCCAATCTGAAACTCTCGTCACTTTGCTTCTCTCCCAACTTTTTACACGCGACATCTTCATTGGCACGCGCGACCAGTAAGATATTCCGAGAGTATTCTCATACATTTACAGAAAGGCGACAAAGAATAATTTTTTTTTTTCTTTTCGCCGCAGACACCGACACGTACCTTTTTAGCACGACAGGGGCCATCGCATTAGCGATGCAGGTCTAAACGGTGGGTAGCCCGCTTTCCTTATTTATAGCGTGCGCCGGAAATGTAATTCTCCGCGGATAGCGCGCGTGTTGCCGGCGCTAAGAAAAAGAAAAAAAAAAACATTCTCGCGGTACTTGCAGTGACAGGCAGCAAGGGTGTACTCGTATCCAACAACGAAATCGCAGCTGCAGAACGCTGGATGATATCGGGTTATAATACCGCAGGGAGCGCGCATCGGAAGAACCGAAAGGAAAAGGCATGCTTATAATAGCGGCGGGCCACCTTCGCTTAGCTAAGCGTGACTAGCTGAGCTGGTAGACCCGTTCGCTAGGACACGGCATTGAGTGTACGTAACGCATCGAGATACCGACACACTCGAACCCGGCCAAAAATATGCAACAAGCTAGAGCGGCTCCCACTGCCGGCGAAGCGGGCGAGACGCGAAACCATGGCGAGGCGCTCGCGGGCCGACGTAGCCTTTTTCGCCGTGAAACTCGTCCGTGGACGCTGGACCGGCCCAGTAGGCGAGGAAATCGTCGACACTTACCCGCTTTTTTGTTTGTCGTCCCGTTGTATTCCCAAATTTTCCAGTATTGATGACACTATAAATAGATTCAACCAGTGCACACAAACGCGTCGCCCCTCTCCCAAAAAAGCTTCTGCACACCGCTGAATGATCTCTTGCGACTAGTCATGTGACCTTGCGGTCCCACCGTTCCCCCTGCTGCCATTTGTTGCCGCTGCAGGGCCGCCGCATGCGTCACGGTGGGGCGACGAGCGGCAGCGCGGTACGTGTGCTGCCCCCTGTCGCAACGCGCTAAAAACGACGCGCGAAGAGTCTCTTGCACGCCACTGCAGCAGCTGCAGTGTCATCACCGTTTGATAACTGGGCTCCTGCAATTACTACACGTGCGTGGGAACTAGGCTGTTCGCTGATAAAACGTGCGGGATTTTATATACGTAGGTCATGCAGCCACTATGAGGAGTGAGAATAGCACATTAGTGCTATAATTTGCCCAAGTCCGTAATGATTCATTGTTACTTCAATATTTAGCATTTAATAATCCACCGTTTTGTGGCCTTTCATGCAATGAAAGACTTCTGCAAAAAAGGAAAAGCTAACAGTACAAATGTGCGATTAAGTTGGTCACTGCCGAAGCATTCCTCAAACGAACGAAATTAAGCAAGTTGGAAAAGCACACGACATAAGAATCATTGTCCTCTATTCAAAACGCAAGCTGGGAAATGAAAACCTAGGCATGTTGTAATAACTAAAAGCCATAATGGCAGCACTTATGTGCAAAATATTAGGAAAAAATTTATAATAACCACTCACTAAATTTACTAATCACAAAGAGATGCCACAATACCACTTCAAAATAGGCTCCACCCACAGGACCCCATTCACTCCCACGTTATGTGCTTTCAATCTACAGAACAGCCTTATTTAGAGAAGCCAACCGAAGGAAACATAGTTTGCATGGAAATAAGCTGGTAGTCGACACACACTCAGGTGAGCGAAGTGACTGACTGGAACCACCGCGAAAGTTTTCTTTAAGTAGGACTAGCTTCCTCCACCTTCTAGAGCATCATAAAAGCATTGTATCTTCTTTGCTTAGAAGCATATGCCCCTGAAGCAACACACGATTCTGACGAAATTCGTAGAGAATTTAGGCTAGAGAACAAACCACAGAAAGACAGCTTAATTTCAATGACAATAACAAGCACAAGGTAAGACAACAGATAACAGTAATATGGAAGTGTATTATACAATGTGTACATCTTCACAAAGGCAGACAACTGCCAGAGGAAACACAACAGTGCATCTTCATGTAGGAAAGCCCCCGAATGTTTTGTGAAAAACAGCACAACACTAAAATTTACAACCACACAGGGTGTACGGACTGAGTGATTTTAAATGAGACTTTTGATGAGTGAAGCAACTTCATCTAACTTCACAGCAAGGCTACTCATTGCTGGTGCCAGTTCATCGAGAATTTCTGACGAATAGTTGACCTTGTAGTTCTGAACAATTGACAGGGTACCTTTCACTGTGATCCTAGCAGATGATAACAGCTGGTGTTTGCGAACTTTGTCACTTAGACTTTCTGTTGCAGAAATATAAATGTCCAGAAGGTCTTTTGAACGTATTAGATGCTCCTTACAGGCTGCCACATCTTTCTCCCAGTTTGGCTTTTGATTATGACACCGGAACGATTTCTGAAAGAACTGTAACATTCGTTCGGTGTCCTCCGTAGTTCTGCTTGATTGTTCGCTCAAAAGCTGGTAGAGAGACCCATACGAGTACCAAATGTCAGCATCATTGGTAACACCTGACGTAACTCTACCAAACAGCTCGAGCAACCTGGACCTCAATTGAGTTACCGGCTTGCCATTGATGTCTGGAATTCCTTCCGCCACAACCTTCACCAACAGTTTTGCCACCTTGCCGTCGGTGTGTTTGCCCTTGATGTCGATCAGTCTGTGCCAAGAAGTTATGCACTCCTCGAAAGCTCCAACGTCCATGCACACCAGCAAGTAGTTTTCCCACACTCTCCAATTGTCATAACTACACTTCAGTGCTTCCTGCAGAACTTTCCAGGCCTTGTGCTTGTCTCCCATGCGGATGTATGCGCTGGCCATGTTGTTCCATGCTTCAAAGCTTTCGGGGTCCAGATTCACCACGCGCTTGTATGCCTTTACAGACAGAGCATAGTTTTCAACCTGCATGGCAGAATACCCAAGGGCAAACCAAACGTTCATCTGTATTCCATTAAGCTCTGATGACTTTTGCAGATACGGAATGGCTTCTTGGAACTCCTTCTTGTTGTAATAGAACAAGCCGAGCGAGCGCTGAGCCCTTGCACTGGTATGACCCGATATCTCCCAGGCCTTTGTGTAGTGCTCAGGGTCCTGTGTAGCATCACCCAGCAAGCAGTACAGGTGGGCAGTTTCCTCTTCTTCGAGCAACTTCCTCACAACCTTCTCGGCTCGGTCACGGCGACCTATCTTGGTGTAGCAGTTGATGACATCCTCCCAGAGCTCGTATTTGAGGAAAACATCAAGAGCGCTCTTCGTAGCCCCTAGAGCAAAGAAAATGTTTCCGAGCTCCTTTTCAACTTCCCAGATGGCCGGCATAGCCACAGAGAAAAAGAGCTCCTGCCTGACAACAGCATTAGGCTCTGGGGATTTAACAGCATCAACGAGGCACTGCAGTTGAGTCATCGATCGCTCAACTCGTCGGCTGTTATTCCGTTCCAGCCTGCATCGTTGAAAGAGTGCGCTGAACTGGACCGGCCACGAGCAAGGCATTGAAACCACTCTTTCGATGTATGCCATGACTTCTTCGTCTCTAAGAGCATCAGGTGCACTGATGCTCTTGTTGAGGATGCATACGGCCAGAAGCAAACAGCCCTCCTCAGGCGTTAGGGCAACATCGGCGGCTGCGCTGACACTAAACTTTACCTCATTCATGACAGTGTCGTCTCTGAGCGGCGCATTTTTCGGGAAACAATTCGCCCTTTCCGACGACGCAGTACCGACGTCACCGTTTTCTTTGTGCCGCACTTCAAGTAGCAACTGTGGAAGCTCATTTTCCTGGTGGTAAGTCCTCTTCCCGAGCGCTCCAGTCAGTTGAAAGTCGACATTCGAAACACTTTTCGCCAAGTCCAAGTAAGAACGGCCATTTCTCACTTCGAAATAATGCACGTATGATAACGCTGCTTCGACGCAAAACAGCATTCTTAACTTCCTTTGCTCTTCTCCTTCATCGGGGCTAGGCAGGTTCTTTTCAACCTTGCCGATTCGGTCGCATATCTCGCTGTGCAGCTCTTGCGATCGGTCAAGCATAACTAACTGGTGCGCGTAGGCGCATCTCCAAGCCCACCAGTCAGCTGAACAGCAGCCGCGAAGCATTTCGCTGCAGCTCACAAGCAGGGCATCGGCGATGATTAGGAAAGGTGCCTGTTCTATCAGGTGGTACGGCGGTTCGCCGGACACTTCGAGGGCTTTGAGACACGCGCGCCGGCACTCGTCAGATTCCGGGTTGGGAAAAATGTCGTTAACGACTTCTACAGCGGGCCCCGTCCAGTTGCACTGGACGAAAAGCTTCAACGCTGCCACGCCGATTAGGAGCACGCACAATTGTCGAGTTCGGCTACCACCGCCCACGTATTTCTTACACTTCTCGGTTATCTCGTGCGTGCAACTGAAGTAAGACGACACGCGCAGCAATGTCTTTGTCCGATCATCACCGAACACACTCACGTAGTCGCCTCGAACAATGCAGTTTACGAGGAATCGTAGGAACTCGTCTTGCTCGGCGACATCACGTGCGTCTTGAAGCTCGTTGGACAAGTCTGCCCCAAGAACGACGGTCCACTCGATCTTGTCGAGAAGCTCTGCGGCAGCTGACATACTCATCGCTTAGCGAACACGGACAAAGTATGAATAACACCTCGTGTAAACTACTACAATGTTAATCCACACGCTGGTCAAATACTTGAGCACATGGACTCATGGCTAAAGCTTGAACACGGCATGGCACGTGATGGATGTTTGGCCTAAAAATGTTGGCTAAAATAGCTGAAACATTCTCTGAGACGAATGTGTTTTTTATTACAACACATACACACATTAAACTATATTACTTCGGAATTATCGCTACAAAGACAGTTTTATAGAACGTAATTAAGTGAGGCTATGACACAAAAATTTGATCTCAAATTTCACGCTTTCATTACTGCTTATGCCAAAGACTACCATGTTTTACATATACAATTAAATTTTAGGTTACAATTATACTTTTTAACATATGGTACTGTAGCTTTTTGTTTAGACTACACAGCATTTGATTTGTTAGAGTTACCAAATTTGGCATATTTTTTTAGAACGTTTGCACACCTTGTTAAAGCATTGCGGCAAAGAAAACATTGCAGAGAAAATGTGCCCCGTGGTAAACATGTGTAAATATTAAAGCGTAAGTTATCGCGAGACGATATTTGTGTGTGTACTGTCACTTTCTGCTCACGCGCGTGTTCGCAAGTGCACAACGGCCGCCAGCGCAAAGTGGAATGGACTTGCGAGTCGTAAGCGTGCTTTGATATCCGTAAAAGCCTCAACCCACGTGTCTCTGGCTGCCTTCGGCCTGCTGGGCAGTCGTACTTCGTGTAATCTGTCGCGATGGCTCCCGTCAAAATGTCAAAAGGAAGCACTGAGAAGCGAATAGGGCTGAGTTCTAAGAAACTGAAGCGCATGGAGTCTAAGAAAAAAAAGATCGAAGCTTTCTTGCAGTTGTGCGGAGACAAGTCGTCAGCCGGCGCGAAATCGGCCACCGCAAACAAGAAGCGCGACAACTCGCATCCTTCAGATCCGATCAAGGCACTCAGTGACGAACTGGCGGAGCTTCGGGCCAGGAAGCAGCCGTTTCCAAGTGCGTGGAAGGAAATGCCCAAGTTCTTTCTCACCGATGAAGGCCACAAGGCAGCATGGTCGTGGCCTGAAACGGACGACACCGCCGCCGAAGACGACGCCGTGCAAGACAAGACCGCCCTGTGCCTTCAGGACATCCAAGCCCTGCTTCTCGTGGCCCTGATGGGGCAAAAGACCCCGATCCTGACGCGGTGGTGTCGATACCTGCGACACGAGAAAACCAGCCATATCGTCGTGATCACCGTGAGCGGACTGACGGCTGACGGGCTCAGCGCGAGTGCCCAACAGTTTACGAAGCTCAGGAACACATTTCCCGACGGAGGCGTCCGTGTCATTCCCTCCGCGTGTTACGGCGCTACGACCGAATCTGAACTGACGCAAGTGCCGATCAGCATCAATTGCAGCACCAAACTGCGCTGCTACTTTGGCTCCCTTGAGGCAGCCGAGGCTGCTGGCGCGGTCTATAGATGCTACGGTGCGTTCGTTCCAATTAGGAGGCTCGGCAATGAAGCGACCGCCGCGCTAGGTGCTCCCGAAACCAGCGACCCCACGGCTGTAGACCCGCCAGCACAAGAACTCGTGGTAGATGTGCGTGGAGAGAATACCGACACAAACGCAAAGTCTCAGCCGCCTGTTGGTAGCAATTTACCTGAAAGGTTTCCCGCAACAGATGTAACTCCGAGCAAAGGCGAAGACCTGCTCTCATCTATTGAGATGCCCCGTACGTTTCTTCTGTTGAGTCCTGTTCAGATGCTGACAGAAGGCTATCCTCTGATCAGGGCGAACAACACGGAAGATTACGTCTACACGAAGAACTATTACACACCCGTAAACCATAAGTGAGTATGGCTTGAGTGCTGTAGTGTGGAACACCGTAAGAGAACTGAAGGCTTATGTGTTACTACTGACCTTAGTTTTAATGTGTGCGTCTGGTCACGTGTTTTAGTAAGGACAGAACTTCTGGGTTATCCACAACCAGATTAATCCAACAGACAATCAGGCCAGGGTAAGCATCTGATTGATATGTGGGGCTTAACGTCCCAAAACCACCTTATGATTACGAGAGATGCCGTAGTGAAGGGCTCCGAAAATTTCGACCGCCTGCTGTTCTTTAACGTGCACCCAAATCTGAGCACACAGGTTGTGAAAGCATCTGAGACACTATTGTTTTTAATTGCAGTACAGTAATGACGCAAATTAAACTAGAGAAAAAAAATCACCCTTTTTGTCAATACGATCTGAAACGACAGACAGATGGGGCATTTTTTTTTCTTTTACTTAAATTCATTTTAATTTACTTGATTATTACTTCATTACTTTTTAAGCAACTATTAGTGGACCTTATGCTATACCAGCCGTAGTGTCCAACAAAGAAACAAACACCTGAATAAATAGCTCAAAGGTTGCGCAAAGCCGTGAGGTGCTCGATACACAATGAAGCTGATTGGTCTCGTACTTATTGTTATATGTAGGCAGGACTTTTTGGTAAAACCATTGCTTTAACTTAGAGTGTATTTGGCTAAAGTGATGGTAAACTTTTACTCTAACTTGGCTTGAACTTAGCTGTATTTGAAATCTTCACACCGACGCAGTCTCTTCCATTTTGTTTTTTGGTACGATATTCCGGATCCATGCGATACTGTTTCCGTTCCCACGTAGCGGCAAGCCTTGCTTCTCAGATCGCGGCTTCTTCCTCGAAAGTGCAATTTATTTTCAGACAGCGCTTGGTTAAGCACGAGCTATACACCACCTTTTATAAGCACAACATTTCACGTGATAGTAGTGTGAGTATGGTAACGTGCTAGCCATTTGTTGGGCTAACATGTTGTCTTCCTGTTTAGTGGAAGTTGTGTGGGATGGGATTCACCCGATTTTTGTGGCAGTACCCCTTTTATTGATTTATTTATTTTATTTATTTATTTGCGAAAAACTATGAGAACTTAGGCTACATTAGAGCTGGCTATCCCAACATAATGGTAGTCATGTACAAAATGCACACACAGACATGAAAAAAAAAATTAAGGAGAAAAGAATAGTCAAGGTCACTATGTACTTTTTGCATCAAATGAAACCCGAACACCAGCAAGCTTTCGCGGTGGTTTAGTGGCACCATCCACTTATCACCATAGGCTGGCACGCATATGTGCGCAGAGCTGCCGAACAGGATGCACCCACCTTTTAATGGTGCTAACTGGATGGTGCGCACTGTACCGTTGCATGTGCTTGCCGCTGTTCCGATTTTATTTGAGGAGGAGGAAGGACAAGGAGGTTAGCCAGTTCTCAGACTGGCTGACTACCCTGTAAATTTATTTGATGTGGATGCATACACTATAGGGCTTATAACACATGAGCACTGTCCATGGACATAGTCTACGGGTGTTTGGCACATACCCATTTATGTTGATGGTACTTTTCTGATAGGCTGCCAAAATTTCTGTGGAACATGCCTATTTTGTCGGTTCACTGTCATCCTTTTTATTTTCAGTATACCAGTCATCAGCAGTGGGATCTGCCCAGTTTCTGTGATGCATGCCCATTTTTAATGATAGTTTTTTTTTTTTTTTTTTTGTACGGCGTAAACAGGGAATGATTGGCTAAACAGTCTTGCTGTTAAGGTTTTCTTTTTTCTGAACTTTGAGACTATCATTGGAAGTTCTGTTTACCTTTTACTTTACTATAACGGCCAGCTTGTACTCGCATGAAGGTGTTTATGCGTTTCAAAGGAAATATGTTGTCAAGCGGCACCGCAAGTTTCCTGATGAACATCGAAGCAAGCTGATTTGCAGGACTCCATTCTTTTTTTGACACAACCTATTGAAAAACCAGCACATAAGAAAGCCAAGGAAGGTATAGGTGATTTTAATTGTACGGATGTTAATTGTGTGTCATAGTAATTGTAATACAGATGTGAAAAAAAGTAAAGCATACGAAAAGACAGCTTGCTGCTAGTAAGGTCCGAGCCTGCAATCTTCAGTCATTAAGGCGTAATGAATTATTTAGATCTCATGACCTCTTACACAGCTTTTGTACCCAAAACCATGAAAAACTAAAGTGACCAGACGTTTCTAATTAGGCGGGACTTGCCTGCTTTTGCAGCTGAGATCCTGCTCTCTTGCCAAATTGCTTTAAAGGAGGGGTTTTGTCCCACTTTCAGGCCGAAAGCCAGCTCGCAGTCATGGTCAGCTAGCTCGACCATCGCACCCCTGTCCACTATACTCTGCTGGGCTATGCTCATCCTTTCTCATTAATTCTCTATTTCTTTCGATCACTTGCTGTCTATGTTCTTTTCTCTGCATTATTTTTCTCATTCTGTCACCCATAATTATATGGTTCCATATAATCATATCGTTCCCACAGTTCAGTCACTGTGCCTAGATAGCTGTTTCAAATGCTCGCCTCAAACCATAGATGCCGGAGTTAAAAATCCCACCTCAGAATTTAATTCTGCTTTATATAAATATTCTTCTCTGCATCCCCATTTTTCATTTCCACTTCATTTCCTTTCTCCTCTCCACTTTGCCAATCAGAGCTTAACGCCCCCATTCCTCCTCCTTCCCAGCTCCTCGCCTCAGCACTCCTAGTTTTGCTAGGCTTTGCTCTCTCCTGCCTGAGGTTCTAACCTCTTTCCACAGCTCTCTCCGTCCCTCTTCACTCCATTCTCTGCCTCTAATGTCCTCGCTTTTCCTTGCATCCGCTGCACTCGGTAGTAAGGTTAGCCCGATTCCTTTGGTGCGTGCTCCAAAGTATTTGCGCACACCGCCCGCACTTACTCTAAGCCTTGCTATTTGAACTAACATGAAATTCCGAGCAAGCGATTCCCCCCTACAATGAAGGATAATCCAACAAGATTCAGAGGAGACACTGCTCCATACAAAAATGGATTTATGGCGAATTCTATTGAGAGAATGGGAGTAGAGGGGTAATGCAGTGTGGGGTAGAAGGCAAAGCGCCGAGCACAGGGTCAATCAATCTGCCTCTTGAATGCAGAATGCTCTTGGAGAGCAGATGAGAGGGTGATGAGTTGGGAGACCATGTGATTGAAACATTCCAAGCCTCAGCATTTTCTGTGGGGCAGCGGAAAAATACGTGTTAAATCGGTCTGTCGCATGTTCTTCAATATCCTAATACATGGTATGTTTGTGCAACAACGCACTCGGCCGACGTCCAGTTGTCGTCGCCACCAGTACAAAACAGCGGTGACAAACTACACATGGTCGCTGCCATTGTCGCCGCACTCACCGGTGGAAGAAAAATTTGGAGACTGGCGTTCCAAGGCCATATGCCTCTCCTTGATTGTGCCTGCTCTACTTCTCACGCGAGAGTGCTACAAACTGCTCCTGGCTGCTCTCGGCGCAGCAAAAGCACTCTCAGTCTACCAATAGACGACTATGCTCGTACTCCTGTTCGACCACTGAAACACGCCAGCTCTGAAGAGAACATTTTCGGCGGGCTTTTGAGTGCTTCGGCTCTCCCAACCGAATCTGCCATTAGACAGTGTATAGACTGTTTAAAAATGGACTGTCTAATTCCATTTTCATATGTGCTTGCTCGGTCATCGATCCAAATTCAACATCATGGTGGAAGAGCCGCTAAAATTAGAGAGTGCACATCCATGCTTCGAATGCACTGCTTTATTAAATACGTATGTATTCACTATTTCCATTCTCTCTCATCAGGCTAACAGTGAATGAAATGGTGAAAATGGTGGGGACTACTTGCTCAGGATTTTAAGGTATATGACCATGTTCTTCCTTCCGTCATTCTGCAACTCCACATCTCATTTTGGAGGCTGTAAAATATAGTCACTTTATGAAAAACTAATACCGATCGGCCTATGAATGACAATAATCATTTTATAGCTGTTTATACATACAGTGTCAGCTTGGAATGAATGGTACAGTGCACTATCAAGTAGTGTGAAGTGCTGAGCTTCGTGCCTTGCCAGTGTCCGAAAGCCTGGCCCCCCATATTAATACATAAATTCAGCCACAGTTTTACCATAACAGAGGAAAATAAAAGAGTGCACTCCAAAAGTTGTTCCTCGCTTTTTGTACTGACCCTTTAGAATTACATATATAGAGCCACTGCACTCTCGACTGCATTAAGGTCCGCCTTTGTTGTCTCGTAATCTCTGCTGTTGTCATGTCCCAAATGCTTCATTTAAAATGTTTTATCATCATCATCATCAACCTGACTATGCCCATAGAGTTCTCGATAGAGTTTCCATAAATTTTTCTGATGGCCATAGAGTTTCCTATAAGTACACCAGAAGGAACTCTGTCGCTAGTGTCTATGGGAGCTGCCATACTCAGCACTTCAGGGAGCAAGAGATTGATGGGTAGTGCACGGATTTGTCTAATTTTCCTATTTCTGGCTCTGGTAGGCTTTGTGTGGCTTGAAGTTACTTTGTCACAAAACGACAATCCGCAAATGTTCAGCAGTTGCACTACACTACGTTAATCTTTTAAGCTCATTATTTCAAATTGGCCCACAAAGTTTTTGACCGTCCAATCTTTCATTCGGAACAAAACCAAAACACAGCAATAAACGAAGCTACAAGTTTGTTTGAGGCCCACAAGAACAAAGACTAGGCCAATCTGTGTACTGCTCATCGTTCCCATGACTGTAGCACCAATATCCCCTCTAGTTAATTTTAGAAAAATCTATGGCTGCGGCCGCGTTACCCCCGCAATACACTTTTTGCATCTGCCCACCCAACTTCCTATCTTCCCCTTGTGTGCTTTCTTTCTTTTGGAATCCATTCTGTTACTCTTATGGTGAATTACACTGGGAGAGCAGGAGCACTCAAAAGCACGCTGATAGTGCTCTCTTCCGAGCCAGCGTGTTTCAGTGGTCGAACAGATACAGGAGCACTGTCATCCATTGGTAGAGCGAGAGTGCTTTTGCCGGGCCGCGATCCGCCGGGTGCACTTTGCAGTGCTCTCGCCTGAAAAGCATAGTAGATGCAGTACGACGAGTCATGTTGCCTTTGAACGTCACTGCCCCTAATTTTTCTTCAGCTGGCGAGTGCGGCTACAGTGTACTAGAAGGGCAGTGCAGCGGCAATGGTAGCAAACATGTGTAGTTTGAAACCACTGTTCTGCTGCTTTGTACGGTTGGCGACAATGACAGCTGGGCACCTGCCGAATGCGTTGTTGCACAAATATACTATGCGTTACCCCACTTACAGTGCATAATCCGTAAGTGGGTAGGATAACGAAGAACAAGTGACTGACTGCCCCTCTGAGAATACGCCAGGGCTTGGAATGTTTCGATCACATGACCTCCCCACTCGTCACCCTCTCACCTGCTCTCCAGGAGCGTGCCTTATTCGAGTGACAGGTTGAGTGGCCCTGCACTCAGTGCTCTGCCTTTCACTCCTCTCCTGTTCTCTCAATGGAATTCGCCATTAATGACTGGTGGTTATCTTGCCTTCACGCTATGTGCCCATGTCCATTTCTGCTTCTTAATTTTGACTAAGATGTCTATCCTTAACACCTATTAGCTCCCAACCCTCTCTGTTCTCTTCTTGTTCCTTAAAGGGGCCCTGCAACACTTTTCCAAATAATCGTCCAGTGACTTTATTGATGTAGTTTATCGCCTCATGAATCAACTGTCCCCAAAATTTTTGTAATCTGTCAAATACGAGCAGAGTTAGTCATCTGTTACATGCCTTGGCCGCTTCTCTCCTTTTGTACTTGTGAGTGCGCTGAAAACTACGCAATGGTTTGGGGAGATGACTAGTGTTAATTTGTCAGCATGCGTCATTACCTCGCGAAGCTGAAATCAGCCAGTGGTCGCGGGCTTTGGGTTTACGACCTGGCCATTAGTTTGTGGCATCATTTTTCAAGAGAAGAATGAGTGATTTCTAACTTTCAAAATTATTGGGACAGCCAATTAGCCCAACTTTCCCTTTTGAAAATTAATTGTAAATTCCAGGCTGCATGCTGCGCTGTAGTGTTTGGCTCCCATGTTCTCAGCAGTGTAAGCTACTGATCGGCAGCATTTTCTGACCATGCTTAAAAAGTGTTCAGGTGTAGCCTGAAAAGGTTACACCTAAACACTTTTTAAGCATGGTCAGAAAGCAATGCTTAAATGGAATGTTTGGATATATGCAAATCTTTGACTGGAGCCTGCTATTTTTTTCTCTTTGTAGCTCCCGCATGTTTGGATTGGATTGCGAGATGTGCTTGACAACAGCCAGAGTCAACGAGCTCACCCGAGTCACCATGGTTGATGAAGACGAAAAAGTGCTGCTCGATGAACTGGTTAAACCTCGAAACAAAATCATTAACTACCTCACCCAGTTCAGTGGCATAACAAAAGAAATGCTGGACCCGGTTTGGACACGCATCGAAGACGTCCAGAAAGCAATATCGGACCTTTTGCCCAGCGATGCCATCCTTGTTGGGCAGTCGTTAAACTTTGACTTGCACGCGCTACACTTGATACATCCGTACGTGATCGATTCCAGTGTCATCTACAACGTCACTGGAATGAGGCGAATCAAGACAAAGCTCAAGACACTGACCAGCACTTTTCTCGGGGAGGAAATCCAAACAGGCACCGATGGCCACTGTTCCGCAGAGGACGCCACGGCTAGTCTTCGGCTTGTCAAGCATAGGCTGAAACAGGGTCTCTTTTATGGAGACTTGGTTCTTCAAGAAATGCAAGAGCAAATCATCAATAAAGCATTTGAAACGTATGACAAAAGGAGGCCATTTGAAGTTTATGTTTACAAGGAAAACATGTTAGATCAAAGCACAAGCGAAGCTTCTAAGAAGGTCAGATACGAACCTATCCCCATTGATGTACATGATGAAACAGAGCTTGGATCCACCAGTGCAACCGTGACATCCGCCAAAAACCCAGAACTCAGTTGTCTTGGATCCACCAGTGCAATCGTGACATCCGCCAAAAACCCAGGACGGCACGACAAGAAAAAAAAATCGTTGTCGACGTTGGCCTGGTGTCGCCAGAAGCTGCAAACCGACTTCCGGGGTGCCGTAAGCAACCTGTTCTACTACCTCCACAAAAGAGAGAACAGGAGGAAAGTGCACCTTGTTGGTAACAAGGAAGTCCTCGACAAGTACCCAAAGTTTGTGCTCAAAGCCACTCCGCACACAGAGGCGAGCAGCAATTCGCAAGTCGCGCAAAATGTGAAATCTCTTATGGAAACTAACCAGATTGTCATGGCAGGGCTCCAGGCTCTGGACGACAATGGACAACTGAGCAAAGAAAAGGTAGCAGAAGTGGACAAGCTTTTGAGAAAGATCTATCGCAGCTGCAGGAAAGCATGTCTGTTTGTCGTCTTGTTAGAAGGCTCGGTAGACGTGGACACCCAGGTGACCCAACATGGACTGTGTCTTGTGAAGATCAAGGAAGCTGAAAAGAGGCCTGTGAAGGAAGACTGATGTTGAGGATAGATAGACCTCCCTGTAAGTGATGTACAGATGTCATTAAGCAGACATACTTTAAAAGCTTTCTTGACTGTGAGAGCAATAAACATGTATAAAGTGGTTAAAGGAAGTTTAACACACACATGTGGTTGTGTTTGAAAGAGAAACACTACATCAATTAAAACTGAGAAAAGGGATGTCCACCTATTTAGGAAATCATGAGCTTTCAGAGAATTCAGTGCATCTGGAAATATTCAGGAAACGCCTAGAAAACCGGTGCTTTTCCCTTGGCCCGTTAGCTTTACTTCTTATGCAATGCTGCACGTCTCTCCGCTGTAAGCGAGGTATTACGAGAGCTGCCAAAAAAACTTTCAGTTTCATTGGGAATATTCATTTTAACAAAGCGGCACTATATTGGTACTTCTCAAACAAAGTATTGAAATTAAAACTGTGCATCGAACGAAAATTGAGAAAAGTGTTGAAGATGTCAACGCAGTTGACTTTTTTCGACAGAATAGTGCCCCTTGTTTGTCGGCTTCTCTGCCGACCCTGCCTTTTTTTAGCATTGTGTACCACTGTCCTAATATTGCAAAGCCACCTGATGTGGTTTTCTTTAAACTGTTGACTTTAAACACAATTGAATGAAGTAATTTAAAAGACCTCTGCTCCGCATAGCTGCAGACAGCGTGGCATGTCTAATTTTAGTGCAATAGTAATGCTGGAGACACTCCAGCAAATACAAAAATTTTACTGCACACACGTCTGTGTACGCATACCGGTTTACAAATAAAGTAGTCTCTTTCCAGCCAGCAGCCAGAACACTTGCTGAGGATCGCTCCAATTACTTGCCTCAGATTGGGTCTTGAAGATTATGCCTGAGAACGACAGAGCTGCGCACCGAAAATATACAATGGAGCAAGTAACATAGTGCACGTGCCTTTAGGGCATCGGCCAGCATACAAGGCCAAAATAAGGCTACCATCTTGACTGCCTTTATCATTTCAGACCTTGGCACTAGCCATAGTGACGCTGGAAATATGGTCTATGAAGCTACATGTAGGCGTTTCACACATGGCGCCCGTCTTGGTGCATCTTTGTACACATCGATATTGTATGATAGGTTTTCTTAACCAACAAGCTCTAGATTGCGCCTTAGCAACGAGGCTACATTAGTAACATCGGCAGTATATCTTACGCCCACTGTAGAATCAATGCCTCCACCACCCTTCTTCTACTACCTCCAACTGAAGTTCATCCTATGTGAGTAAATTTCCAGGTCCTGTAACGCGACATACTAGTTGCTTGGTATCTGTCAATAATATCCCTTTTCTTCCTACTCTTTCTGAAACGATGTCCGCACCAATTTTTTCAGCTTGTATACCTGTTATGTACATCATTTTTCCTTTTCCTCAATGCTCCTTTTCTCTAGATCAGAGTAAATTTCCAGGTCTTGTAACGCGACATACTAGTTGCTTGGTATCTGTCAGTAAGCATCCCTTTTCTTCCTACTCTTTCTGAAACGATGTCCGCACCAATTTTTTCAGCTTGTATACCTGTTCTGTACATCATTTTCCCTTTTCCTCAATGCTCCTTTTCTCTAGATCAGAGTAGCAGCATCTAGCAAGCGGCAGTTCTGGCCTTTACATGGTCTGCTCAATTTTCTTTTCTTGTGCAGTTATCTTTCTAATTCACGTCACTTTCTTACACATTTATGAAATTCAATTCCATCATTGGTCATGCCAGCTGTGCATATCTTAGCAATGGCACTGTGGTAGTACACTACCACTCGTGACTTTTTTATGCTTCCAGTCCATTTCGCACTGCAACCCTGGTACCGTGAAACTGAATGGCTAATTATAATCAGACCAAAGTATGTCCTCTTACACAGATTCCAGAAATGTCTCGTTTTCTCATGAAGTTGAACAATACCGTGGCCTTATATGCACTAGCTAATATTCAAACCCATTCTTATCACCGCTTTCAAAAAAAGCACTTCATCTCGGTCAGGTATAGCTCAATGCTACACGTAGATGCTTCCAAGGAAAGGCAATGAGTATATCAGGCATGCTCAATCATTGTGTAAGGACGAACAAATAATGAAATGAAGCCGTGGTTCCAAGCTAACATTACTTCTTTCTTTTAATGAGGTCTCCTCTCAGTTATTCATTGCATGCCATCATCTTTGGTGGTGGTGGTGGTGTTGCAGCAGGCAGGGTTAGCCTGGCCTGCATGGCCGGCAATTGTTCTGCCTGAGCATCTCCTGAATTTGGAAAAAGTCGACATGTGTCAGACAGCCCAGTGTCTCGCAGGAAGACCAACAAAATTCGTTGCACGTTCCTCCTAGTTGCCACGAGTCCTTCAGGAAAGATGACGTCATCAACTGTCCGGTGCCTATGACAGCCTTTTCGAAGGTGCGGATCATCGCTGCTCTTTGCACATCAAACTGTGGGCAAAGCCAAATGAAATGTTCAATATCTCCGATGTCACCACAGAAGGCACAGAACGAAGAAGCGTATCTCCCAATCTTGAATGACCAGGCCGGGGTGTATGCGGAGCCGGTTCTTATGCGGTACAGCAGCGTGGCTTCTTCACGAGAAAGTCCATGAATTACACATGCTTGGTTTGGAAACTTGTAGATCGTCTTGAAATGATTGCGTATCACATCTTTGTTGTTCTGGTAAGTCTTGGGAGTTCTTACTTTTGGAAACGATGTACGTGCTTCGCATGCAAGGGCATCAGCCTTTTCATTGCCCTCAATGCCAACGTGGGATGGGATCCACTGGAACTTTATATTAAAACTCTTGCCCTTTAGGTGTTTGATTAGTGCCAGAGATTGCCTGGTGAACTTTTCTTGAGGTAGGCCACGATGCAGTCTTTGTAGCGCCGATTTGGAGTCCGTCAGCACTACAACATTTGGTGCATAAAAGGATCGCAATTTTCGCAAAGCCGCCATGATTGCAGCGCTTTCTACCGTTGTGGACGAAACCACGCGATCCAGGCGGCCCGACCATGGCACGCCAAGGCAGGGTATGCAGAAAGCCGCTGCGCAGCTATCCGTTTGTGTGCACACTGATCCGTCCGTGTACACTTGTAGGTGGTTGCGGTACATGGTGCTCAAGTGGTCCAGCGCAAGAAATTTTGCTTCCGTGGCTGGAATGGTGCCCTTCGCTGGTAGATTGGGTACGCTGAAGTTACACACAACATCCACAAAAGACCATGGCGGGTCCATAGCGCACCGTTTAGGCAGTTTCAAGCCTACATATTGAAATGTGCTTAGTGCCGCGTTGAAATGTGAGCCAGTTCTTGCTCTTAGCCGCCAAAGAAGCGCCGTGCCTGCGAAGGACTCACCCAGTCTTGACAGCTGTGTGAATAAGGTCTGAGATGCCAAAAGGCGGAGCGGAAGAGACTCGGCTTCATTGGTGACCTTCGTGTTTGAAGCCGCCTGAGGGACTCCCATCGCCAAGCGAAGACCCTTTCTGTGCACTGCCTCTAGGCGTTCGAACTGGCTTGGTGATGGTGACATCAGGGGCAGCTGATAAAGAATGCGGCTTGTTATAAGCGCATCATTCAATTTAAGCATGGACATAAGATTGTTGCCCCAACGGACCCCTACCATGCGACGAAGAGCGTTGATCCTTTGCACTGATGCAGTGACTATACCATCAACCGCACGTCGCCATAATAGCTTGTTGTCGATGGTAATACCCAGGAAACGGACCCTTGTTGCACGGGGAATTGAGTGGCCTCGAATATTCAGCGACAGACGTGTTGACTTCCGTCGCGCTCCCGGGAAGAGCATGAAGGCCGATTTTTCCGCTGATAAAGATAGGCCAAGTGTCAACAAGTGATGCTCAATGATTGAAATAGCGCTCTGTGCTATGCGGGCCAAACGTTTGTGCTGGTACCCTGAGATCCAAATACAGATGTCATTGGCGTAGATGGATATTTTAACTGCTTTCAGAGCTAAGTGTAGAGTGTCGGGAAGGCTGGCCATGGCAGCGTTAAAAAGCAAGGGAGATAGAACACTTCCTTGCGGGACGCCGAGGGAAACGCATCTCTCTTCGCTCGTTACATTTCCAAGCTTAACACGGACACAGCGGTCTCTGAGAAATTCATGTACGAACCGAAGAGCATTTCCCGACACACCCATGGCTTGGAGCCCGTTCACGATGCTTGCCTGAAGCACACAATCATATGCCTTGGCATATGAAGACGGCGAGTTTCCATGAAGACGGCGAGTGTCGAGAGTCCGCTGATGTGGTGGTGCTCGATGTGGCTTAATAGGTCCATAACACTGTCCTGGGCACTCAGTCGTGGGCATAATCCGGTCATACACGATGGCCATCGTCTTCCTTGTTCAAGGTACCAAGTTTATCTTGTACATATTAATCTTTCCATCAACTTAGATACGCATGATGTAAGAGATACCGGTCGATATGACGCGAGGCTCACGGGATCCTTTTCGGACTTTAGGACTGGCACCACCCATGCTGTCTTCCAAACAAATGGAATCTCTCCCGTGCTCCAGACATGATTAAATGTGTCCAAAAGGGCTCTTTTTCGCTCATATGGTAGATTTGTCAGCATTTGATTGCTGATCAAATCGGGACCCACGGCACAGCGTCTTCTTAATTTGCTAAGTGCCATATCCAGCTCTCGAAAGGTGAATGGCATATCCATCGTGTGAAAAAACTGGGGTGACAGAGGAATCGCCGCTCCTGCTGATCTACCAGATGTGCACACGTCTGTGAAATCCTCTGCAAGGGTTTACAAATCTATCCCTTGTTTCAAAACGAGTGCTTCGAATGGCCTGTGTGTTCGAATCTTCCCAGAAAGACTATTTATTACTGCCCATATCTTTGTCAAGGGCGTAAACGTTGATAAACTCTCACAGAAAGCGGCCCATTGATTTCATCTTAATTTTTTGTATGGCGTCGAATCGCAGCGTTTATACTAATATATTCGGTTTCCGCAGACGGATTTCCTTTTGTTATTATTTTCCGCTCCGCCCGTCTACGTGTTGCGCAGAGGTTCTTCAATTTCAAGTCAGGAGCAGGAAAATGGTCGGGCAGTTTCAGCAACGAAGTTGCTGCTCGCTTGCTTTGCAACATATCTGCGAATCTCCCCAGAGTGAATGGTGCGCGTTAAAATCACCACAGATTATTCGAGGAGCGGGACATCGGGTGCAAAGGTCCTTTAGGAAAGTCTCCATGGAGACCTTTTTTCGTGAGCTTATGTACACAGATACCACACTCAGTTTTCAGTTTCCCAGGCACACTTGCACAGCAGCGACTTCCAGTGAGTTGGAACAGAGGTCTTGCACTGGTAAGGCGACGTGAGGTATTTCCCGCCTTATGAATATCATTGCGCTTCCATTTGCAAACGACGTTATGCTCGGGTTGCCGTGTCGGGTGTACCCTAGGAGCGTCCTTGCATTCGGTAGACCGGCTTCGGAGAGGGCTAGAATCGGTATTGGAATGTCGCGCAGGAAAAGGTTGAGTTCGCACAGACGTTTTAGAAGACCGGCGCAGTTCCATGGCACTATTAAGGGCACTTTTGAAGGACGAAATAGACCAGGTGGGCGAGACACTGCCATTATTCTACTGAGGAGTGTTTGTGGAAGCAGAGCAAAGTAACACTGACTCTAGAGCCAGGACTGCTTCCAACATATCCTTCGTTGAACTCGCAGGCATCTTAGCGACGTGTGAACGTAGTGCGGTGAACAGAGCGTGAATAACGTGCTCGAGGTTTTCTTGCTGTTTGCTTCCAGATGGTACTTGAGGTGGGCTCAGTGCATCAGCGTAGGTGCGCTTGGCGGACTCTTTCGTGATACATTTCTCACCAGCGTTGAGCACCTGCGTTGACTCAGTACGAGCTCTTGTCGGATTTAGGCGCGGAAAATTTCCTGCGTACTCGTTATCCAAACCGCCATGTTGTGGCGTGCCGGACGTCTTCTTTGTGAGCGATGATTCGTTCACAGTCTTCGGGCCGAGGACAAACGTCTTATTGCTTCGCTGCGCAGCTGTTCGTGCTGGACATCGGCCGTAGCTAGCTGGGTGGTCGCCGCCACAGTTTGCACACACGTTTTTCTTTACTTGTACACATCTTAAAGTCATGAGGCCCCCACAGCGCTTACACCTCTGTTCCCCACAACAGTGCTTAGCAACATGTCCAAAACGCTGACATTTAAAACAGCGTGGTGGCGTCTCCACGTAGCCTACCAGCTCGTGTCTGGTGAAGCCAAGGTTGATCTTCTCTGGACGTTCCGAATTGGCAGCGAATGTGAGAACCACAGAGTCAGTGCGCCTTGATTCCCACTCGGAGGATGAGGTTTGGACCCGTCGTATGATTCTTCTTGCGTGGTATACTCCCCGAGGTCTCAGGTAGGTTAACAGCTCTTCGTCCGAGTATCATCTGGGGACCCCTTTTATAATGCATGTATTTTTCATGTAGCTGTGTGGTGCACGGGCAGATATGGCAAGGCCGCAGATAATGTTGGTCTCTAGAAGCATATTAGCTTGGTGTTCTGTCTCTATATCCAAGAGCAGGGCTCCCTGTGCTGTGAAATGGCTCTTAACTGGGGCTCCACCGAGAATTGTTTCAATTTCCGAGTATAGGTCAATAGGATTCTCTTGCCTCAAGTTAGCTCCTTCGGATGTTGGAGCAATTAACACAGGAATGCCGATCGTCCTGTCTTTGCGATGTTGCACAAGGCGGAAACCACCATCGTCCATGTCTAGATCTGTAAGGTTCGCCCCGTTGTGGCCCCCGACGACAGTCGATTCGTCCTCTGATTCAACGCTGTGTTGTCGCTTGCAGTCAGGTATGCTTGCGCAAACCAGCTGGTGCTTCTGACCTGGTGTCACACCTTGGGAGGTCATGGCAGCACTCTTCCTGATGCTTGTTTCGTTTCTTCTAGCACCTTTCGGCGCGGAGGGCTGCGCAGCACCCGTCGGTCGCCGATACGGCAGGTACCTTTTCGAGTCGTCTGACGTCTTGAGCAGTGCTGAGCCGTAATATAAACAAAAATAAATGATAAATGCAGACAGAGCTACTTAGCCAAGCAGCAACAACTTTGTCGTCTTTTTCCTCCCCGCCTGCATGCCATCTTCCTCATCTAAGCCCATGTAGAGTTTGCCTATTCTAATCCTTGTGCACTTTGTTAAGGTTGACAGCATCATGCGCATATTACAGATGAATATTTTCTTTACTAGTACCACCTTATTCTCTTCAATCCAGTATTCTGAACACATGATGAAAGCTTGCTAAGCATGACAATGTGTCAGAGTCACTAACATACTAAAGTAAAATGGTGGCTTTGTAGCAGTTCATTACTCTTATATCGTTCAGTAGTACAAGAAAGCAAATGCATTTACATAGTAATTTAACAAGAGATGTGTTCTAAAATATATTCAATGAATCTCTCAAGCTTCGTCTTTTAAGAGTTGAACGCAAGAGCGATATCCATACGAACATACACACCCACACACTAAAGCCTGCCTTCACTTCTCAGTAGGGACCTAAAACTGTTCCGCCAGGGAAGCCAAAGTGCAATCACTGTCCAGTTTATATCTTTATTTGCATCTACCTCGAATTTTCGCTCATGGCGAATGCCGCTTTTTCACTCGCAACCAAAGATGCAGCCGCTGTCAACAACTGGAAACATTTTTTGCTTCGTAGTTAATGTGAACTTCACAGCCAAGAGTGACATGTAGTAACATGTAGTAAAGGATTTACACTAAACAAGGCAATATCAAGCAGGACTACGCACAATGACGGACGCCTGCATGTTTTCGAGCCTTTAGCAACTATTGACCGTGAACATCGGCTAGTTCAATGAGCTTTCCAGACATATTTGATGAATACGAAATGATATGCTGTTTGATTCTCATGATATTATCACGAGAACTGATGGTCAGAGTAAGCTGATGGCAGTACACATTAAATATAATTATACAAATACACGATTATTGTGATGCTTACTAAATGAATGCTCCCTCACAAATTTCTAAGGGATTTATGTCATGATGTCGATTCGACAGCATGTTTAATTTGCCACACTGGTTAACCTGTTTCTCGCGCATAGCTAAGAGTTTTAGAGGAAAACTAAGCTTTACAGAAATAATCACTTCTAGCACAACAAGCAACATTTAATGCCATGATTAGACATAAACAAGTTTATTTTTACACATTTGTGAGCACACTCGTTATACCGTAACAAAAATAGTCACAGTAAAGATGTCAAAAGCATACCACATCAGTTTAACTGGCGAGGTTCTGCTTCGACATCATGGCGACGACACTCTGGACAAATGTATGGGTATGTACACTTAAGCATTCCCACTTCTCGCATTGAGAATCAGTCAACATCTTCCTACAGTACAGTAGTGCAGCTATCGCTTCTTCTTCATTTCTGCCTTTTTCTTTCTCAAGTCTTTCTTCATGCGTGGATCAACAACTTTAAACTTCCCCTTCACCCCAGGTGGTCGCCGCACTTTGCGCCCGGTTGCTTTCTTGGCCACCAAATACGTCACCTTGTCGTCCTTCTTGCGAAGGACTTTCTTGTAAATGGCTCGTATCTGTTGCGCCTTTTCTGCATCTGTCATGTCTAGCTTTTCCGTGATGGTTTCAGCCCTCTTGCGAGCCTTCTCGAGCTTTCGCGCTGCCCGCAATTTTTTACGAGCTTTAGCCTCTGCAACTTTCTTGATGGGTCGTGCATTGACAGCCTTTAGTTGCGCCTTGTACTCGGCAACCATTTCGGCAGTCTCTGGCATCATCTTTTTACTATGCTTCTTTTCTTCTTCAACAAACCACTTGGGCAGGTTGTCGTCGTTGAAGGTATATCTGTTGAACCCGGCATCTATGATGTCCCGCTTTGCTTTCCGAGACTTGATCATCATTGTGCCAATGGCCAAGCCCTCTGGATCCAGCTTCACTCGCTTTTGTTTCTTTTTTGGTGGCTCCCCACTAGTTTTTGTTGTGCTTTTAGTCTTCAGTGAGCCCCCGGTTGAAGTGGTCGTGCTTTTATCTGTTGCATCTACCTGTACAGCATCAGCAAACGTCACTTTTTTCTGCCCTTTTTTTGATTCACTAGCCTTCTGCTTGCCCTCTGATGATTTCGAGCGTTTCTCTGTGCTTTTCTCCTTTCCTTCAGACATCATCTCCAACTCTAGCAGTTCTTCCTCATCATCCATGTCGGCAAATGCTTCTTTTTCAAACCACAATTTTCCCATTTCCTTGCGCTTGTTTTTAAGGCTGCCATAAGCCACATCAACGAGCAAAGGATTCTCATCATCCTGAGGTACATTATCTTCTTCATCTTCATCATCTTTTGCATCTTCTTCGGCATCGCTTTCAAACTCCAGTTCCTGATGCTCATCATCATCAGAATCATCGTCTTCGTCATTTGCGTCCCCTTCCTCTGCATACCAATCTTCGTTTCGGGCATTCTTCTTGTAAGCAACACGCTTCTTCCGATGATCCAAGTCCTCGGTGTCGTCTTCAAGCGGTTGCGCGGGATCGAGCGTGCCGACATCGACCTCATCTACATTAGACAACTGCTTCTCATTCTTTATGGCCTTCAGCTTGAACAGGTCCAAATCTTCTTCCACTATGGCCTGATCATTCTTCAGGACCATTTGCAGGTTCATCCGATCTCTCAACTTTTTCCTCTGTTTCAGTACTTTCTTTTTTTTCTTCTTCAGCTCCCTGGCTTGTTCGGCTGTTACTTCCTCCGCATGCTTGAGAAGTTGAAGCTCCTCATCATCACTCTCTTCTTCAACTTCTTCTATGCCCTCTTCTTTATTGTCTTTCTCCTCCTTTTTGTTCTTTTCCTCCAGCCACACTTTCAACTTCTTTCTCCACGTCAACAAGCTCTTTATGTCTCCACGGCCCAAAACTTTGATGTCCTTGCAACACTCTTTGATTTCCTGCGTTGTGAGAGGATGTGCCAGCACCTCTTCATCATCAATCACGACTTCACTGCACTGTCCCAGTACCTCTAGGTGGTTTTCACACTTCAGGAAGTCCAACACAGGTACCCTATGGTACAATGTGTAATCATTTTCGGGGTATCCCTCGGCTTTCGGCTTCTGCTTTTCCGGGTGGGCAGGATTCAGCTTGGCAACCTCGCCAATGTCGACGTCGCTGAAAAGGTGTGCGGGGTCTAGAAACCTCGGGTCGATCTTGTCGGGGGCAATGTACGACTGGCACACGACGAATATCTCCGCAGACTCGTGACGGGACGCCTGAGGCTTGGTCGCGGAAATCTTCTTGAAGAGCTTCTTCAGCACCCACATCAGAGCTTGGTAGTCCTTTGAACGGAACACCTTGGTGATGAACCAGCCTCCCCTGTTGAGGAACTCGGTGGCCAGTTTGATGGCGTGGAGCGTGAGGACATTCTGGCCGTACGCGTCGTGGACCCAGCTTTTTCCGACGTTAGGCGCACCGTCGTTGAGGACGATGTCGGCTTTCCAAGTCTTCAGTTCTTTCTTGAGCTTGGTGCGGCAGCTTCCCGTCGTGATGTCATCCTGGATGGCGATCACGTTCGGGATGGGCCTTATTGGCACCAGGTCTACGCCGATGATGACGCTGGACACGGGCATGTACTTCTGGGCAACCTGTAGCCATCCTCCGGGTGCCGCGCAGAGATCGATCAGCACGCGAGACCTCTGCAGAAACTCGAATTTACGGTTCAGCTGTATAAGCTTGAACGCCGCTCTGGATCGGAAACCTGTCTCTTTGGCCAAGTGGTAAAACTTGTCCTTGCGCTGCTTCCCAGTCTTTGTTTTCTTCCCCATTTTGTCAGATACACGTTGCGCGACAGTTAACCACGTGCGCTAAAACAGACACAATTCGTTAGCTTGTTTGGCGTCTTCTTTTTTAAGCTGGCTATGGCTCGTGTCTGCTAATGTTATATTTCACGTTATTTAATAAACTTTGATTTATTTATTCAAAAGTTATTTTAATACATTTATTTTTAACAATACTTTGTTTTTTGTAACATTGGTCAGTTTTTGTTTGTTTTTGTGCTTTTCGTTTAGCGTTCGACGCAGTGGCTGCGCCGAATCGACCTTCTCATGCTATGTGGGAAAGTTGGCAAACCTCATGGTCATGGGTGGTTTATAGCCGGCTGTAGTAATGTGCAAACTTTCGTGTAACTGACCAGAGCGACGTAACGCAGGTGTGATAGGGCGCAAGTACAGGCGTGGGATGACCCTGACATAGTGGCTGGCTGCCGGTATACCTAATACTGCCGTTTAGTTCATTGTTATTACTTTCGGAACGTGACAATGTCGCCGATCAAATTTCTCTCAATTACGCAAAGAGTGTGCAGCCCTATACCGTCACTACAAAATTCGCCTCTTCTTCTGGCTGGAAGGTGTCAACACACTCACCCTTTGGCGGCAAAGGTGTTCAGTGTATTTCGCGTTTACGAAGACGTCGTTGGCCTCACCGAAGTAAAAGCGGCACAGACGAAGGTGCTGGAGGTAAGAAATGTCGCGTGATTTGGTGGTAACGCTTTTTGATAACGGGTATTCGACGCTGAAGTTTTCTTTGCCTGCGAGATGGCGTGGTTCAGTACTGCGTTTGACTACGCATCGGCGCGAGTTGGCGTAATGTCGTTACATACGCCTGTTTTGCTTCCCAGGCGGAACAGAAGTTTGTGGCGACGCAAGAGCAGCGTCGTGAGAAGCAGCAACGGATTTTACAACTACAGAACCAGCTGAAAGAAATCCACGCGGAGCTTGACAAAACGCACCGAGGAGAGGATCGCTACCTCACCCTCATAACACAGGTACGGGATGCGCGTCGAAATACTGGCAGCCTTACGCGCTAACTTTCGTGGGTGCACGTACTGAACTGCGGCAAACGAAACCTGTAGTTTAAAGTGACAACTTGAAGGACTATGGCACGTTCACAGTGATGTCCTTGGAAACTTTTTTTTCGACATCATTATGCACCTCTTCTGTAGTGTGAAATTTATCAGACTTAAATCACTTAGTGCTGCTCCGCTTGCCCTAAAACGATATGCTGCTCCAAAGAGTTACATTTGTTGTTAACCTCTCCGAACCTGCGTCAATATTGCGCTGGGAAGCTGGAAACCCTTCACGAGCCTTAAAAAACAAAACAAAATTTATATATCTAGTATGCAGCCTGTATGCCGGCTGCATATGCCAGTGTTACATGTACTCACTGCCTGTTTCGGAGGAATCTGTGTGAGATTAGTTTGGTATTATACCAATAATTAACTGCTGTTGTGAGACTTTGATGTGCAACTGATTACACTTACCCACTTAATCAGCTTTGGCCTCATTTTTGCCACCAAGACAAGCCTTGTAAGTGTATGGACTATTTAGCTTGATTTTTGAAATATTCTTTGGCCATTTTAGTGAAGTATGAAAATTACATAACGAACTGGTGTCGACTGTAAACTGCTGCTTCAGTAACAGTTGCATGGGATTGTGGCTACTTATGAAATTTAGCGCTGAGTTTTACTGCTTTTATATTATTTCTGCCTCGAGTGCTAGTATTTGTTAAAATATTTGTGTTTACTGGCCACCCAAATTCTTAAATATATCTTCCTTGCATTATGAATTTGTATCATATTTTCAATATGCTTAATAATAAATATTTACAAAATGCCTAAATGATGAGTTAAACCCCAGGTGAGAAATTCTTGAGCAGGGTATGGGTGCTAGAGCCGACGTTTTGACGAGCGGACTCATCAAAACAGCGTCAGAACAGCTGTGCCCTCTTCTCCTCTTTCGTTTGAATTGGAGGAGAGGGTACGGAAGCATACACACACCAGCACTAAGGCAATCATTTGCAAGCTTGAAAAGTCAGCTGCAGAACCCACCCCTGTTTACAAATTTCTAATCACAAGCTTCCATTTTCCCCATCTTTCTTTTAAACCACTGGTTTTTGAGCAATGTTGGTCCCAGGGAACCCTGCTAAGCTCGAATCCTGCTAAGTGTCAAGGACTCCCCACGCCTCCACTTTTTCTTTCTGTTCATGTTACATTTACGTGAAATAAATGCAAAAGCAAGAGTGTGAAATTTATTCACAACGTGCGAATCAAGTCGATTTCCTTGCACGAACAAATCGATGCAAGGCTCAGTCACACTCGAAACCAGCCACATGTGAGCTGCTTGATTCAGCCGATTCCTCAGAAAAGACGGGCTGCTGTTGAGTATGCCTCCTCACAAGCATATGTTGTTGCGAATGGCAGCAGCATGTCCACCACCTTATCTTCGGCAACTATCTTCAAAAATACGCGTAGGGTTAAAATAGAGCCTCCGAGTCTTAGGTACAGTTACATGACCAAGCGGCCTGTTTTCGGCGCCGTCTGGTTGGGTACAAGCTGCTGGCTGAATTTATTGGGCATCTCAGACGTTTTTTATGCACCGTGATGGTCTTATTAACACTTTCGCGTGAGTAATGGGAATTCCTTTGATCGATGGCACACTGTGATCGCCATCTAAGTGACCTGAGGAGGACTGAACCAGGAAAAATTTGTCAGTTACTCGCGGAACCCCCAGGTTACGTGGAAGCCATTTCGAGAAACTATGTTTTAAACACCTAGGTCAATGGAAATATTTTGCCATCTGCTCTGAAAACACTAATAGTTGCTACTAACTGGCATTTCTTCTGCTCCGAAAACACTTATAACCATTCCAGAGCACCATTTTTCCTGCTACAGAATCTGTTCCAAAATTTTTTTTCCCATCACTGCATGATTATACACAACAGAAAGCTGAAATAGAAAAGGGTTCACCTGGCTTGAGAAACCGCTACTTCTTGGTAGGGTATATTGCTTTGTCCAACAGTTGAAAGTTGACCAAGTTGAGAGATCAAGTCGAGACTCATTTGAACGAGTTGAGTCGGGTGAAATTTTATTCGGCCAAAAAGCTCACATTTTGTAGCTTTGAAAGACTGTGTGTTGAGGGAACAAGGTTTGTGCGCATAACGTAAACTTCAAATAGGGGTTAGTTGAAAGTTGCATAGCATGCACACATGAGGAAGGCATAATAACAGTATCTGGGTTTTAACGCCCCAAAACCACGATATGAGTGTGATTCGATAGTAGAGGGCTTCAGAAATTTCGACCACCTTTGGTTTTCTAACATGCACCTAAATCTAAGTACACTGGCCTCGGACATTTTTTTTCCTGCATTGAAAATGCCGTCACCGCAGCTGGGATTCAATCCCGTGACCTTTGGGTCGGCAGTCAATCGCGATAACCACTAGACCACCGTGGTAGGACAGTAAGGAAGGTTTAGTTGTTCTGAATGAGGTGCTTTCTGTGCATTCCTTTTACACAAGCAGTTTGCCATAGTTGACGGTAACGCACTTCATTTTTATAGGAGCATGCCGTCATCAAAGAAGAGCGTGCTTTGCTTGAGCAGTTCAAGAATTTGGAAAAAGCGGAGCGAGATTACTTCGCTGCTCTTTCCTTGGCACTCCGGGAAAGCCACGAGAAAGAGCGTGCCCAGGGAGAGCGCACCAAATACTGGTCCATCATCGGTTCTGTATGTGGCGCTGTCATAGGAATTATCGGGGCCACCATCAACAACCGGATACGTCTGAACCAGCTAAGGGACCTCGTGGAACGTTCATCTAGCCAACCAGAGGTACAACGTTTAGTCTACAGCCTCTCTGACGAGTTCAAGCGCCACAGAGACCAGATCGTAGAGTTTGTGTCTGACATTCGAGAGCTGCTCGGTGTTGCGCCCGTAGTTGCTGCTGTGGATCGTGGGACCAGGGCTGCCGCACTACCGGTAATGATGACCAAAGATGAGGATAAGGTTGCAGCCGAGTCGGACCTCGAACTTCAGATGCGAGAAGTGGTGGTGCTCGTGAAGCAGCAGCGTCAATTGCTAGAGAAGGAGACAAAAGAGATTAAAGCACTGTTGGCAGCCGACAGGGCCTTGGAGGAAGCTGAAGGGGACGTCAGGAGAGCAGCGGTGTACATTGGAGAAGACGTCAGAGACATAGTGGCGGACTCACAGCGGCAGCTGGAGTGGAAAATGAAGATAAACTCGCTTGCCATGGTGGCACTGGTGTATGGAGCCCTTGCAGTGACTGTCCCACTGTTAGCGGCATTTTTCAAGGGCTCCTGATGGTGGTTAAATAATTAGTGAATTGCGACCAAGTAGTGTAGTTGGTAGCATTTTATTGTTTATTTCAATATGTGGATGCATTAAGAGGACCAGTGAAGATTTCATTAGTTAATTGCTTTAGCATTCAGCTTTATAGTTCCTGCTAAGTGCCATGCAGTGCCTCAATAGCAGGAAAGTGTTCATTGCAAGTAGTACCAAACCAAGAGGAATATTCCCCAGTTTTTTTTTTTTTTTTTTTTTTGTGCTCTCTTTAGTGCACTGTGAGCATTGGCTTCCATATGAACGGACATGCACCTTAGCTTTGTACATGTTTTTTTTTTTTTTGCAGCTTTGTACTGTTCATAGAATATGCCGTTTTCTGTCTAATTAACTCAATCTTTTGTTGTAAATTATAAGTTCATACAATTTTCAAAGCAAATGAAATGCCATATTTTAAGATAAGAGTTTTGTTTATTTGCTGGTCATCTTGCCCAAATAAATGTTGGCTCGTGCACTCAATCTAGGAGGACCCTGCACCATGTGCACAACCACAAACAATGCCCTGCATGTGACAATATTTTCATGTGTGTGCTTATGCGGATGATACCATGTTAACACCAAAGTTTCCCGTTATAGTGCATACGTAAGCATTACAAATATGCAGAGTTTTAGCTGTGCACTATCACAAACGGTACCCTGCATATGACCATATTTGCCATGAAGATGCTTTAGTGTGTGCATAACCTAGATAACGCCAGGTTGTTTAGATTCTAAAGTTTATAGTTATCGTGCTCATGTAAGCATTAAAAAAAAATTAGAGGACATTTGAACTTCGCTTTCATATGTAGATCCTGATAGCTTGATCGGGCTTCATGCACATCTTATTGCCTTCTCAACTGTTAGCTTGCTTCGGTTCTCTGTGCATGCCTCAACCTTGCTGTGGGAAAATGAATGACTGTGCATGTAACAGCCATTTCGAAGTATTGTTTAATGCTCATTGCAAGCACACTTGTTAACTGCCCACTGCACCATAATTATTGCTTTTGTGAATCAGCAAAGGGCCCGCTACGCGTCAATAGAGCAGCACATGAACTTGTGCAGCTGGTAATTTTGTTGATGGTTCCACTCCTAATGATAAAATATGTCTGAGCGCTTTGTAATGAGTGGGTCTTTAAAACACCCACTCGTTGTTCTATTCACGTGTCTCGAGCCTGGCACAATGCTACACTTTTTCCGCGCAATATATGAGGAGCCTTGTTTTTAAATGCCCCGAATCTAGAACTGAAACTAGCACAAACAAGGCTTTATTGGCACATACATACTCTCAACTTCCCTTCATAAGATTAATAATAAATTATTATTCGTGGTTTATGATTACTGTTTCAGATAAAAGTTGAGAGTACTATGTATGTGAAAAAGGGGCTTATTTGAGCTAGTGTTGGTTCTGGATTTATACCATTTCGAAAAAAGCTCCTCAAGTTATGCACTGAAGGGACTCTTTCCAGTGCACGAAGCAGTTTCAACAATTCTCATGGCTCTGTAATAGAACACCTGCTTGCCACACAGACAGCCCAAATTGGATCCTCAGTTGAACCCGGAATTTTTATTTTTTGCATCTTTCCCGTTTTTCGGTCACATCGAGGTTTTTCGCCCACAACAGGCTACACTTCTTTACGCCACCTCCGATGCCGGAATTTCCACAAAATGGTTTTTAATGCTATTGTGTTAAATTATGTGCATTTTTATCTGAGCATCATTACGTTGTTTTGCTACGTAAATATGTTGAATGTTACAAGTGTTCTGATTATTACTCCACTTGCCATTTTCAGGTACTTGACACTTTCCAATATTTATGCCAGGGCCTAACAATTCTTTGTTAAACCTTGAGCACAGGGTAATTGCCATGTAATTGGTAGTTGCCATGGTTAATTGCCATGAAGAGAAATGTGATGGAAAATTCATACTATAGTGTAAATGCCGCATACACTCTGAATTTGGCAGTGGTAATGCAGGAGGTAACTTTATTGTCTCAATGCATATTGCATTAATGTCTACAGGCATTAATGTCTACATGCATTAATGTCTATTCACCAATGGTTTCTGCCAGAATTAGCTGAATGCATCACTATGCATTGCTTGCATAACAACGTGATAGCGTTAAAGACCTCGTTTTGCAGAAATGTGCAAATAAAATAAATAATAAAATATCACTGGTGTGAATGAAAATCGAACTCGGGTCGTTTGCATGGCAAGCGGGTGATCTACCACAAAAGCCACACGCATTGTAAATTCAGTGAAACTAACTTTCTCTGCTTTGAAACGCACTGAAGCAACATTCACGCCAAACGCACACGACCTGTGTACATGCTTCACTATACAACACGGGATATCGCAGTAATGAATGGTGGTACAAGCGTACATTGCCATCAGGCGTCAGAACATGCGATTATCATAATCACTTCATCGTTTAAAGCCACTCATCCTCTATAAAAGGTGCACACATTACTGCACTTATTCCCTTTATGCAGTGTACTGGTCTCAAGAAAAGCTCGAAGAAAAGATTTTACGTACATAATTGCCCATAGTTCAAAGCACAGTACCCATTACATAGAATGCAGCCGTATACGAAAGCTTCACTGACACAAGCATCTTTCAAGTAGCTGAAGTGCGCACTAATGATGGGATACCATCATCGATTTCAACTGTATAACAGCGAAAGCCTTTATTAGATCACAACAGAGGTCACAACAGACCGTAGTTGTCTGCCACGCTATCACCCCAAATATGAAAAAAAGAAAACAGTAAATAAAAACACCAAGGACACTATGGTGTTCGAACCCCGGTCTCCTGCGTGCCAGTCCAGTACTGTACCACTGAGCCATGCCAGATCTTGGGGCTCCTTTGCAAATTAGCCTTAAGCAGGCTTGATGTGGGGAAAGGAATTTTCGTCGCATTATTCGAATTGCACAACGAGTGGGTCATCAAATGCTCCAACCTCTTGCAAAATCTTGATCTTGTTCACCTATTAACAGTGGTGCATGCCCACTGTGTGGGATTGTGGGGATCACAGAAACTTGTGACAATTCTTCATTGTCGCCAGCCCCAGCACAAAAAAATGGCACAAAGTTCCTTTGCAAGTGTACAGCGGGTACCATGGCATAGTGCATGCCTGCTTACTACGCAATTATTAATGGTATAGTGGGTACCCTACAAGTGTGCTTGAAGCAGCAACCCAAAGAGTGTTAAAAAAAACTACTTTTTATTCAAATGCACATCTTTATAATCTGCACCAATTGTTAAACACTTTATATTTCTCATTTTTGAAATATGTACGCTTGTTAAATATTTTATATTTCATAACATTTTTTATTTATATATTGGAGAGTGCAAAAATCCACAACTTTGTTATTGCAACAACCTATACGAGCTCACTCAGTACACCACTTCTCTTCAGAAAATATTTACTGTTATGTAGGCGCTGAACCTGAAGTCTCAAATCGCACAACGTCCGTGTTGACAAACTTGAGACATTACTACACGTGTACTCACGTGCATGATATCAATATATGCTTCACAATATTTCATTCTACGAGAATGGCCGCTTGTAGGCATTTACAATTAATCTTGTTTGTGAAAACGCATTTTTACTTGGTAAAACATTAGTAATCGAAGTAACATATAATAGCTCTAATGAGTGCCGCATTGTGGAGGCCCAGAACAAACACCAGGCTTGAAATCGCAGTGTTGATGCGCCTCAGCTAAGCTCACTGCATCGCCGACAGTGTTGTCGGATGCCTTCTTCAAACTCTTCCATCTGCAGAGTCAGCTTGAAGACGTCAAAGTTGCGGCGAATCGTCCTGGAGGCATTGCGCCGCACTGACATGGCATCCGCACCAGGAACTGCGAGCAAAATGTCGAGTTATTGTAGATGACTCCCAAATGGATTGTGTTTCCTGTTTATCAACCAATGAGTGTGTCTACTCTATCGCTTTAATATTCCAAAATAGTGTCTTTCTAGCATAATCTTTAGGTATGACAAACCACGACCTATGTTTATGGTTACTTCTACTGCTCTTTGACTGAATTTTTGCTCAGTTTAACAATGATAGGCGACCTTCCAATAAACAAGCAGTGTTGAACGATTGCGAAAACAAGAAGGAATCGGGAAACTTTTAAGGAGCAGAAAAATTCAAGTATTGTAAGTGTATTCCTGTAACAATCGAATCACTAAACACTCAGTTAATTGTTCTTTAGAGGCAGTATCTAATCTGTTGGAGTTTGCTTAATATTCAGTTCTTATCGAGGTCTCCTTTCTTTTTTTTTTTTTTTGTAGGTCGTGTCTGTTCAGTTCTTTCGTGTTCTTGTAGCGGCAGGCAGTTTCTCCGATAATGAACGACGTAATTAGCGTGCTTCACTGCACAACTTTTCTGTGGTATTTTTTTTTTTCGCAGCTCACAACTGTTCTGCCTGCGGTGAAGCTAAAAAGCGAGAGCTGTTGCGCCTGAGTCGCCGCATTTCGAGGTCTAAGGCTGAGTCGACCGCATAATAGTTCGCGTAATATTTATTTCTCATTGGGGTCTTTTCCTTTATTTCCTCTTTCTTGGGTTGTGTCGTCCTTTCGCGTTTATTATTATTATTATTATTATTATTATTATTATTATTATTTTGCGGCATGCAGTTTCTTCGATAACAAACGCCGCAATTAGCGTGCTTCACTGCTCAGCTAGTTTTTATCATTTTTCACCTCGTTACATGACTGTTTTGCGGTGAAGCTAAAAAAAAAGCAAAAAAGTGTTGAGTGCGAGTTTGCATATTTTTTTAAAGACGCACCTCACTCATTTTTCTTCCATAGTTCGCAGTTCCCGTCAAGTTATGCGCCCTGTTTGATACCAGTCGAAGCAATGCCGTTTCGTCGGCGCTGATATTTCCGCTGAAGAGAGATCAAAGAGCAATTGCGTGCAGGGGCGCGGCTCGGCTTTCAGTATGCTACCGTGGAGATGAACGTGAGATAAATATACGTGCTGTACAGTGCTAAGCTACTTGGAATATTTTCACGAGACGTTACTGACTATATTTGATTGATTTGTAGGGTTTAACGTCCCAAAACCACCATATGATTATGAGAGACGCCGTAGTGGAGGGCTCCGGAAATTTCGACCACGTGGGGTTCTTTAACGTGCACCCAAATCTGAGCACACGGGCCTACAACATTTCCGCCTCCATCGGAAATGCAGCCGCCGCAGCCGGGAATCGAACCCGCGACCTGCGGGTCAGCAGCCGAGCACCTTAGCCACTAGACCACCGCGGCGGGGCTACTGACTATATTTCAGTGATTTTTCAACTGACTCCTGTTATGAATGTACCAGAATATGCTTGAAGTTTCCGCGCCATGCACACCTGCTCCTACTGTGTTTTAAAGTTGACAAGGGCCAACGTAGCATATCTCAATATTAACTTAGCCAGGCTTCTAAATCCAAGATGTCGCATGGCCGGCAGGCGCTGAGGATTTGGCGCGAAATTCAAAACAGGACACTGACTTCCATTTCCGAGAATGTTGAATCGTGATATAATTGTTAGGATTTCACGTCCTAGAACCACGACGTGATTATGAAGGCAGTCATGGCTGAGGGCTCCGATGATAGCGACGGCCTAGGGTTCTTTAATGTGCTCAACTCCAAATACGCGGGCAGCCAGCATTTCACTTCAATCGAAACGCGGTCAGCACGGCCGGGTTTCGATGCCGCAACCTTCGGGCCAATGTTGGATTCTGTAGAGTGCACTGGCGTAGTCGGGAGGGCGTGGAGGAGTTCGAAAGCCCCGGAAGCAACGTTTACCAGGGTCTACAAACGTTGCTCTGAAGCTTATCAATTTTGTACTCGTATCTACAGAAGCACAGCTTGACATAAAAAAAAAACGCGTACCATGAAATCCTTCATTGATGGTACGCGTATATTTTTCTGTGTCTCAGTATACGCATGCCCAGGAACAAGTTTTACGAAGTTGCAGCGGGACATTTCGGCCGCTTACAAAGTACAAGGACAATGAGCACCCAAGTTCTTCTGAAAACACACACGTCCAAACAGCCGCACTGCAATACAGACCGAGCACGACGTGCGCAGAGACGGCGATCTTGTCGAGGCTCAGCGCCCAGATGTGCAGGTCGTGCACGCGCGCCACGCCGTCGACGGAGAGCAGGAGCCGCTTGACCTGGAGGTAGTCGACGCTGTGCGGGATGCCCTCCATGAGCACGTTGAGCGCCTCCCGCAGGATGGTCAGCGTGGTGACCAGCACGATGACCGAGAACATGAGCGTGCACACCGGGTCGACGACGCCGCAGCTCGGGCAGAAGTAGATGACGATGGCCGCGATGAGCACGCCCACGCTCTGGATCAGGTCGCCCAGCACGTGGATGAAGGCGGCGCGCACGTTGATGTTCATCACGCCGCGGCTCTCGCTACGCGGCGCCGGCATAGCTGGGAGGACGTGGCCGGCCTCGGGCGCCTGCGAGTCGGCGACCGCGCCGTGTTGCGGCGGCGACTGCGCCGGGGTCGTCGCGCTTGCGGGATGACTGCAGGACGCCTTCTGCTGCTGCGTATCAAATATTTTACCATTGATCAAATATAGTAGAACCAGGTGAATTAGGATGGCCGTTTTGTAAACCACGAAACTATTGATGACAATTAACGGCCAGCGTTTTACGTCCCAAAACCATGATACGATTACGAGAGCCGCGGTGGAAGGCTCCTCGTGCTTTTCTTGAACGTGCGCCTAAATGTAAGCTGACGGGCCTTTACATTTTTGCGCATACATTGAAATGCGGTCGCCACTGCTGGGACTCGATCGATCCCGCCATCGTCTGGTCAGCAGTCGTGCACCGTGGGCCACCGTGGCGGGTGAAGCCATTTGGTTGTCCGCGATAAGAAGGTACAACACTTCGTTGAGCTGAATATAAAACGCATGTGTATTGCATCCGCGTCAAACAAAGCCTGAGCTGCGGCAGGCGGTCGCCATCACCATTGACAGGCGTGCGCGTACGGTTCGACAGAGTGTACTAGAAGCGTCTTCTGTAGTACATTATAGGAGCACTGCGCATACGCGCGCCTGTACAACGTGATAAACGGACGGTGCTTGCCGCTGTCCACGCTTTGACGCCGATAGTATGCATGCTTCCGTCCAGGCATTAAATCTACGAAGGCCCGGTGTCTTTCTAGAAATCGCTCGATCCGTTATCTGGCTGAGCGCACGAAATCAATACAATGAAAGACAAATAGGTGAGCTAAATGATAGCTATATTGCTTCCGAATTCTTTCGTTCTGTCGCATTGCAATGCAATACGACATGCAGCACTTCTCGCTGCATTCCTATTTCAGCGCCCTATAGAAGCGCTTGAGTGTGTAGGTAATATAAAGGTGCTCTTCAGAAATCTTCGAGGTGAAGTTCTCCGTGCTCATTAGCTCCTTAAACTTACTATATTTTGACCACCCGGCGGCGACGTTAAAAGATCGTGTACACCGACGGACGCATTAACTGCGGCAGTCCCGGGCGCAGCCAAGGCGTTGTCCAAGACGTTTCCGTTGGCGCTGCTGTCGAAGTGTCGTCGCATCCCGGAGTCTAACGCGCCGTTGTCTTCCGAGTTGCTCGAGGATTTTGCCTGAGCGAAATGAAAAGGGTCGAAATTCAGATGTTGAAGTGCTGAGCGCAGCAGCGTTTGTGTATTCGAATGATTGAATGAAGGAATGAATGAATATTTTTCAGTGAGCAATGAATGAAGGAGGGTGAGAAATAAAACCTCCTTGATAAGAGGAGCGCTGATTTGGTTAGGAAGAAATAACACACAAGAGAACTGACGTTCAATTGCAACGGAGTTATTTATTCGAAAAAAGCTTCACGCCAAGAAAGCTTATGCACATATGTGAACCCACAACAGGCACTGTAAAAAAAAAAAAGACAAATCGCCGAGAAATCTGGTAACAATCTAGAACGGGGGTACATTTATTCAGTTTAAACATTTAAGTGCTGTCAAGGAAGGTCGTTCTTTAATCGTCAAATGCACCGAAGGCACACTGGTGCATTTAGAAAAAAAAAAGAAAGCTGCAGAGAGGCGGCTTGAAAAGTTGGGTGCGCTGTGACCATCAATCCTCACTTTCTGTTCATTTCACACCTCAACACAACGTCATGCGTAATAGACGTGTTGTACATGACACAATGGGCAGAGCCAATATCTTTATTTCGGGTGCTCCTTCGTGGCTCAGTGGCTAACGTTTCACACTCACAAATATCTTTATTTCTTTTCTTCTTAAGACGAGAGGAACAGGTAGTTGGCGCTTTTGTTGACTTCTCTCGTGTATCTTGACGCAAACATCTATTAACTCACTCAGCTCTGTTAATCTAAGGAAACACGCCTTTGACCGAAAAGTGGGTGCTGAGCAGACGAATTCGGCGAAGGGCACGTGGCCTGGTCTGCGATTCCGGTTACGCACTCGCACTGCACACAACCTTGGTCCGTAGCCAAGAGGAGGGGAGGAGTGTTTGCCCTAGGGCCCCTACCGCTTTCGAAATTCTGATGAAGTAAGGTGTTTTGCCGAAAACAAGTAATGAAAGCGGGTGTATTTTGAAATAGTCAAGGTCTTTAGCTAATCTCCTAGCTCACCAAAGACTAAACTTACTTCAGTGGCTAAATATGGGTATTAAATCTAACAATTTCAATTATTAATAAATTATCACGACACTCTAATTCTATATAATCATAATATTCAGATTAATTTATCGTAATAAAGATTGAGCCAAATCTGGACCCAGTGATACAGACTTGCGCTGTTCTAGTACAAATTGCTCGTAATTCTTATATATATATATATATATATATATATATATATATATATATATATATATATATATATATATAATACAGTTACAAGTGCACCTGTTGGCTTTCGGGCGGCCCAGCGTTCGCCGTCGTGACCCGTTGTTCGGTCTTGTGATTCCGAGGAGTCACGGCTTTGTCGCGGTCCAAGGTATCGGTGTGGTGCACCGGCGGCGTTTCCGGACTGGACTGGTTGTACGGCGGCGACGACATGGATGGGGCGCTGGCGCTGTGACCGCTGGTTCCAACATCGAGTACGTGCTGTGGACTCATCGCTTGTAGGCTGCCTGCAACGGCGACGGCAGAGACACGCCTTTTGCTGTGTTGCACGTTTCACGCCATTCATCTCGCTGTGTCATCGTTTCTAGCATGCATAGAAAGATAACAGAAAAGAACATGGGATGGGACAGATCCCTAAACCACCTCAAATGATTTTTAACAAGAAACTGTTTATGCCGGTGTCCACCACTGGTACACTGACGTATTTCTGTCACGGAAGTGACGTTGTAAAATATACTGATAAATTGCGAAGAAAGGAAACAGAAGGCAAGCATTTGTCGCGCGGAATCGAACCAGCAAGTTTTCGATTTTTAGCGCGCGGCGATTATCGCTCTTAAGAGACAAGAAGAGAGCAGAGTAGATTAGTGAACAGACGGGGGTTAAGAATGTCATAATTGGAATCAAGAAGAGGAAATGGACATGGGCCGGGCATGTAGCGCGTAGACAGGATAACCACCGGTCATAAAGGGTAGCTAACTGGATTCCCAGAGAAGGCAAGCGAGTTAGGGGGAGACAGAAGGTTAGGTGGGCAGATGAGATTAAGAAGTTTGCGGGTATAAATTGGCAGCAGCAAGCACAGGACCGGGTTAACTGGCGGAACATGGCAGAGGCCTTTGTCCTGCAGTGGACGTAGTCAGGCTGATGATGATGATGATGATTATCACTACGCCACAGAGCGTACGTTGTCCGGAATGCTAACGGCAAGCCACTTATATACACTATACACTGTTTTGCAGTCCTCATAGCTTCGAAACTTTAGAGCGTTTTCGTTATCAGTGGCGAGGTGGCGCGAAGCGCTCGCGTTGGGCGCGCTCTAAAGGTCGTCGCCTGCGCGAAGCGCCGCCTCCACGGAGCGTAGTCTCTCCTGCGCGTGCGCGCTTATCAAACTCGTAATTCGGGAGAGGACGGAGGTCACTTCGCAAGCTGCGCGGCCGAGTTTACGAATGGAGCGCGCCGCTGACACCCGGCGCAGGAATATTTGTGGCAGTTGTTCGCGCTTGTCCAGCGTATATTTGTGTGCTCGTTTCGTGCGTTTTTCTCTTTCAACAGCGCGCTTTAAGTGTCGCGCTGCGACAGTTGTTAGTCTGCGTTTGTTCCTGTGCATACATATTTCCTGCGTGCTTTCTGCTTGAGGTGTGCGCTCCAGGTATCGAGCTGCTTGCCGTTTTTAACGTGACTTTGCGATTTGTTGCTGTTCCTGAAACAATGCGCAATAAACGCTAAACTACTTCTGCAAAGAGACGTTTCACATTCGTGTTACGTCGATTCTTATGTAGGGACATCAGCCGCGTCTTTTTTAGGAGCGAAGCTCCTTAAGGCGCAGGCTGTGCGTCCCCTGTATGTAGCCACCTTTCGTTTAGTCCTTGCAGTGTCCACCAGATGGCGGTACTTGTAGCTGATGATGAAAAGATGCGAGATGTTATAAACTAGACGGCGGTACTTGTAGTTGATGATGAAAGATGCGAGATGTTATAAAATAGGAATGATGTCACATATGGCGCGTGTCATTGGTGGAAGGCAATCGTTCGATTTAGTACGGCGACGTACGCAAGAGGGAGCGTTGTAATAAAATCGAATCGAGTGGGCAAAATGATTCATGGTTTACCAGATTTACCTCCGGAGCTTCGCCCACTCATCGTCATTCACTTCGTGGATATGGCGGCACTTTTTTCACACTGACTCACTCATTTTCAGGTTTTTAAATAATGTGGGACATCAGTATATAATACGAGCACGTGATATTCCTAGAAGTAACTTGCCTGGAATGTGCAATACATGTTCAAAGAAAAAAAGAAGTAAAGCGACCACGGTCATTGTCGGCAAGGGTAATAGACGTAAACACGCGGGAGTGCATTTCAGAATGAAAAAGAAAGCTTGAGAGTGTTTTGGTAGTTCATTGTGCACAGTAGTTTATCGTACTGACAAGAAGCTTCAGAGAAAAAAAATGACTGTTGTCTTAAAAGGTTGCTCCTCAAACGACAATGCGGAACTGCCGGCTTGCACACGCACTAACTTGGTGACGTCAGCGTAAGTACAGTAGACCTGCATGGAGACTCTGCCTGTCGCGAAACTTCATGGTACTTGCGAGTGTGCACAATTAGTACACCCATCGGCGTCTTTGCCATACCCTATCCGTGCTAACTGACCCCTTTTCGATCTTTTTACGACCCTTTAAAGCTGGCTTCTCCTTTGTAAGAAACTTTATGTGGTGAAGCAGCATTCTAGGACGCGAATCGCATTTGGCAAAGACGCCAATGGGCGTCTCTTTCGCGTGCTCACAGATGCCGAGTAGTTCCGCGTTCCTCGATAGGCAAGACGTCTATGCAGGTCTTTTCGGGCTCATGTTATAGCTAGCACGTGTAGCTGCCGATGGTGCCGCGTTGTCGTTGTAAAGCGACCTTTTCTTACGATCCCTTTAAAGCTGGCTCTCCTTTATAAAAAAACATATGTGGTGAAGCTCTTTTAATGCTACCTCTTTTCTTCAAAGGGGACCTCTGCTCACGGACGCGAGGTCCCGCATCCTATATGTGTGCTTGCTTCTACGTCCACAGAAACCGCTTTAAGATTCTCATAGAATAAACACTCTTCGACTGACAGGTGAAATTTTTTCCCCGCATAACTCAATAATTTGATGGACTCTTTAGCCGATAGCTAAGACATGCCTGTGCCCAGCGCTGTGCGCGAGCCGACGCCACGGACGTCGTTCAGGTGGTTGTACTGTCGCGACGAGTCCATCTCGCTGCTGCTGGCGCCATGCGGCACGAATGGTTCAGTCGAGGGCAGCTCGAAGCGGCGCGTCGAATCCTCGGACCCATGGCTGTGGCCCAGGGGGCTCGTCGGGTGTATCTGCAGCGCCACGCCCATGCTGCGCGCGTAACCGCAGCGTCGATCATCCGCGCCCGCTCTCAAGCACGTCAGCACGCAAGCATGCAGCATTAAACAGAACGCCGTATTTAAATTACGCGCAAGTTGCCGATTACAGCGGCGGAATGTATACAAAGAAGGGCAGGGGTAAGGGCCGTTCCACGCGCTTCCCGCACAGCCGCAACGCACGTGCCGGGACCCCTACCGCACGCAAGCGGGGGACAAATAAGCCAATCGGCGGCACTGCGGAGGGTGAAAGAACGTCGCCAATTGGCTTATTTGTCCCCCGCTTGCGTGCGGTAGTGGTCCCGGCAAGTGTGTCGCGGCTGTGCGGGAAGCGCGTGGAACGGCCCTAAGCAATGCCACGTGCCCTCTCTCTATATATAGAGGGAGAGGGCGCGTGGCTACGCGAAGTTGCACGCCCGCTTTCTCCGTGGGGAGAGGGTGCGGTGGTGCGTCAAAATTCCACGCGCTGACGCGCTGCAACGGGTACGTGTGGTCAGGCCTTTACATGTGACGTAAATGATCGCGAATGAAACCTTTGTGCAGGCACCTTTCTGTAATTGGGGCACACTGATGTCGATGGTAAGGTGAGTGAGAGTTTCTGATCGCATACAACTTAATTTGTTTGGAGTAGAGAATTTCTTCACAAATGCAGACAATTCCTTAAGTAGAGCCCTTCATCTCAGCTAACCACCGTATTTACTCGGATATTATGAGCGTCAGCTACCTATACTATTGGCTAATGTCGTAGCTGTCCACTTTTCTAGCAGAACAATCCGTTTAGTCAGTCAGTCCAATCATTGTGTTGTCAAGCGTTCGTATTTTTATTGATGTATTTATTTGTTCGTTTGTTCATTTTATTGTTTGCTTATGCATAATATCACCCAGTTTTTGCCTACGTAGGCGAAGAAGCGTTGTTTCTTCCAGGAGTAAATTCTGTAGTGAATGTGTGCTATAAGGGAATATATTGCTCAAAAATTGCATCCAACGCTGTCCCCGTAAGGGGCGTACACCGTCGTGCAGTCGGGAACAACAGTTTATGAGGCATAGCTACAACGGATAATCTCAATTCCTTCGCTGCTCGTTACGCGATGTGCCGGGTGCCGTGTCCATCTCGTACAATTTAAAAACACTGTGTGTCATATTTGATGGAGTTTAGCAAGCTCAATCGAACGAAAAAGACATTGAAGATATCAGGCCGCTCACATTATGTTGACCACGACGCCGACGGAGGCGGATATGAGCATGATGGTGGCGTCGATGTTGTACTCCTTGTTGATCATCCTCTGGATGGCCATGTAGACCAGCACGCCGGTGACGGCCCAGATCATAATCACAGATGTCAGCGCGCCGATCACCTCTGCGCCAGTGCGGTGTACAGCAGCATAATTAGAAGAGCATAATTATTATGGGCAGTCGTGGTAACGGATGGACTGCATTACATTACGTCGGGGCAGCCAGCATTGGCGAGCAACTCTATACGCGAAACCACTTCCTTCGCTTGTTGCCTCGTAGTACGCCACGTATTGGGTGAAAACGGTTGGCCGCATTTTTTTGACCGATGCGCACTTGCGCGCCTGCGTTGAGGTTGTCTAAATAGCGGCAGCTCTAAAACCTACCGTACAATCTGGTATGCATGCTGATCACGTGAATGACACTTCTTGGCTTCAGTATATAGGGTTGTGAAATTCTGCCTCCCCCTCATTTGATTCTTCTCCACGATGGTACAAGCCTCCGATGGAAGGTTGTCCAGCTAGTGCATGCGGCAAAAATTGATGATGATGAATGATAATGATGAATTATGATGACGATGATGATGATGATGCGCACATGTCGTTTTACGGCACGAAAGCCAGTAAGACCGCCAAGTCATCTACAACTGAGGCTGCTTAGCGTACATAGGTCATGCAATCGATGTTAGCGTGGATGCCAGAGCGTAAGAACTTTACCAGTTCGTGTCGGTTACGAGTGAACGAAGCTCAAAGTGATATGCGCACCTGCGCGGTACCAGCCAAAACTGAGGCGTTTCGTGGCGGGTCTGGCACCCATCCACAGGGAGAACAGGCTTATCATGAAGCTGGCGAAGTCTGTTAAGAGGTGCGCCGCATCCGTCGCTATCGCCAGACTGTTCGCCAAAATGCCGCCTGCATGAGCAAGACACATGTTTGTCACTACATAAGTGATCATGCCGGAGAGTTCATTGCATGCTTAGGGGGCTGCGGCACAATGTGTCTCTAAGGCTGAAGGGTTGATTTCGTGCTCCACGGGCGTTTCGCGGTATTTTCACCGTTGTCCCGACGTCACCAGGATAATCTCATGTCAACAGCAGAAAGAACTTGTTCGTCTGCCTGCAGGTGCGCGTGCACCCTACTCCGAGACAACGTCCAGAGCCTAGCGAAGGAAGATCGAAACGAGCGATGGCCGTATTTCGATCATGAAACGCGCGTAACTCCTCTATTACGGCGCTATTAGGAATGGCGTGCTGTAACGTGAAAATTGCAGGCTCTTGCGGAACTGAAACACCAGAACTACGTACATTTCGACCTCTGGGTGGTTGCCATATAGAACATGAAATTGGAAAAGCATCCAGACGTACATCTACTTTCTTGCTTTACTTTTGTATAAATTGAACCTAACTCATCGAAAGGTCGACCACAAAAGCCGCAATCGATCTTGCCGCCGACCTCAGCGTAGAAAAGGTGCGCCAACTGGAACGTGCTTTTCTTGTCCTACCAATGTAAATGCTGCGCTTATCGGAAAGGAAAATATTTCATTGTTTCTGCCCGATTTTTGCCCATATGTTAACGTTCAAGTGTGCACTTACCGATGAGCTCGAAGAGCATGAAGGTGAGGCAGAGAATACTGGCGCAGATGAGCCGCCGGCGAGCGCTCAAGTCCACGTCTACCTCTTCGTTTTGGTTTTTGTGGCAGTGGATGGACGAGACCTGTGCCGGGACTCCCTTCGAGTATAATGCACGAGACAAGACAAGGAAGCCTATATTGCTTCAGTTGGTCATGCGGTCATGTTCAGTTGGCAGCTTCAGACACGCGTTTAATCTACAAAGCCTATTCTCGCAGCTGGGAAAGCTCACTTATGCACAATGCGATGTGGCCCAGTAAACTCGGGCTAAGCAACCACCCCCCCCTTTTTTTTTGAACGTGGGCAGTACAATGGGTCATCAACGCCCCCCCCCCCCCCCCCATTCATTTTTTTTGTTAGGCACAGGCCTTAAGCATAATGCTGATTTACTCTGTTGGCACAGGTCAGAAAGTCGTGTCGCAAAACGCAACTATGCTACAACCACACGGGGGCATAGGTGAGCACACGGGAAGGTAGGCGGCCAGGGACCCCCCCCCCCCCCCTTTTTTTTTTTTGCAACCACGGCAATATACTTATAGTGAACTGTATGCAGTCGGCGCCATTATCGTTCTCACTAAAGCGCTTTCTTAAAATTAACTGCTCTAAGCCGCGCCCAAGACCTGCAACAGCTAACTACTAACGGTTGGATTCCGCACAAATAACTCCGCCACAGCTGGAATCCGACGTTGTTCTTACGACACTATCTTGACAAGCGCCTGCACGTAGTCGCGAGAGCAGTACAGGCCTCGGCCGTTTACGACTCGGTGCTGTTTCGCATCTGGCGCGCGAGGTCAACCTGAGCAGAAAAATGCCCGGACTTACGGCTTGCAGCTCATCCATAGAGAAGACCCGAGATTCGGTGCAAGCGGCTTGCGTTCCCGTCTCAGACTGCACCCGAAGCGATGCAGCGCACGAGCCCCGTTCTTCTTCTTCCTTGAAGCTCGCGGTAGTTGTTGTTGTTGTTGTTGCCCCTTCGCACTGGCACATACCCACTATGGGGGATTGGCCATGAAATCTAGAAGTAACCTATATGAGATATATTAAAAGGTTTATCCTTATTGAAAGACTAATGATGTAATAGAAAATAATAATTAACTAAAAAGGAATATTAAACTAAACAAATAATTGAAGATTGAATCAAGAAGAGAAAAGGTGAGGTAATACTACAGTGGAAGACAGAAATTTTGAGTAGACCAGACAATCGAGCTTATCTCACCCGGTCACAATCAAATGAATATGCAAATTTCATTCAAAATTAGACAAGTGTCGTCAGAAATATATTTAAGCAGGCATTATTATGACATGCGCTTTGATTCTCGAATGAAATTGCATACAGCATCGAATACGCTCCTGTGGCAATGACCCAAGCTAAAGGCACCGAAACTTAGAACATTATCTGCAGTTAAATTTAAACCTACTGCTTGAAACGGAACAATTAAAGTCTTTTCCTAATTAATGAATAGTTTTTACATGTTATAAAGTAATGCTCTATTGTTTCCGTTTCTTCACAGAATGGACACAGGGGGGATATCGCCAGACCAGCTCTGTGCAAGTAAAAGTTTAATGGAGGGACACGACATCGAAATTTGGTTAAAATAACTTCTAACTTTTTAGATTGACTCCACTGAGGTTTCCAGGGGTATGTTAGGTGCTGATAGTCCGTATATTTAGTAATATTTTCCATAATATCCGTATAAATAGCCCATTTTCTATATCTGATCGACACTATGTGTTCCGATTCTGGTAGTACCGAGATCACAGGGCCATCAAGTGTGGCTCGAGATAGTGAATCGGCTATTTCATTCAACCGTATGCCACAGTGTCCCGGGACCCAGACTAACTTCAGGAACTTCACATGAGGTGGAACTAATGTTTGTAATGTCGCTAGAGCTCTTGATTGTTCTGAAGCTGTGAGAGTAGTACACAGCGAAAGAGAATCAGTAATTATCGTTGCACTCTCTTCGTTTGAAGGAAGTTTTCGTAGCGCTAGAATAATAGCCAGGAGCTCAGCTTCGAAAATCGGAGTGAAGTCTGGTAGTCTTACCGAGAATGACCAACCGAGGTAATCTGAGACGATTCCTACTGCTGCCTTTTCTTTATTCACAGAAGCGTCTGTGGCTATTATGTTCTTTATTTCCGCATGAGCTATGTAGTCTTCTAACCTGTCATTTAAGTAACTCGAAGATTGAAACTTAGATAGAGGGGGAAAAATTTCATCACATTCTATCGTAATATTGTGATTTAATGCTTTGGTTCCAATTACCGATCTGATATCCACCTTTATGCTTTCAAGTTTCTTTTGTACAAAAATAATCTGGGGAGTACGAAAGCGTGGCCAGTGAGCGAGGAAGAAGGCGTCGGGGTCACTAATAAAGGCATATGCAGACCGTCTCGCTGATAATCCATAAAATTTCAAGTATGTTTGTACTGTTAAGATACGGAATCGGCAAATAATAGTTGGTATGCGAGCTTCCTGATATAGTACATTAATAGCGACATACCTGGGGAGTCGCAAACACAACCGTAACGCTTCTCGCTCTAATAGAACTAACGGTTTAATTTTGTACGTAGGGCCACCCGAAAATAATATACACCCAAATTCGAGTATTGGGCGCATGTACATTTTATATATCATTAATAAGGTGTGTCTACGTAACCCATATTTTCTGTTGCTCAACCTTCGCAATAATCCTGAAACTCGTTGTGCCTTTGCCACGATATAGTCTATGTGAGGGCTCCAGTTAAGTTTCTCGTTATAAATAATGCCCAAATATTTGATAGACTCTACTTGTGGAATCGGTTCCTGATTATAAAGTACTGAAATTTGAATAGAATCTGCTATAGGGAACACCAGGAGCGCACTTTTACTGATGTTTAGAGACAATGAAATTGAATGCAGCCAAATTTCAAGAGAATACATGTACTTTTGCAATTTTTGATGCAAAGAATAAATGTCACTGTCTGCAACGAAAAAAGCAATGTCGTCTGCATAAATGTAGACAGTGATATCTCGTTCAATGGGAATTGAGCTCATCAGCACATTGAATAACAGCGGAGATAGGACCGCCCCTTGAGGTACTCCACGTTGCTGTTTGAATTTAGATGAGTGACATCCATCCTTTGCACAATAAAATACTCTCGATTTTAGAAACTCTGCTACCCAATCAACAATATATCGCGGAAAGTCACATTCGTGTAAAGAATTCAATAAAATTGAGTGCTCAACGCTATCATAAGCTTTAGCTATGTCTAGTGTTACTAGTACCGCGTATTGTCGTCTTTTTCGGGCAAGCTGTATTCGGCTCTCTAAGTCGGCATGAGCACACCAAATTGAGCATTCGCTACGAAAACCTATTTGAAATGGTTTCAATATTAGCTTGTCAGCCATCCAAACTTTTATTCTATTATTGAGAACTCTCTCTATAATTTTGATCAGGTGAGATGTTAGAGAGATTGGTCTGATGTTGTCAATGTTAAAGCCTGACCCTTGTTTTTTTAATATGGGAATCACTCTAGCTATTTTCCAGTCATGTGGTATCCAGGCATTGCTTAAGGAATAGTTTATAAGGTTGAGGACGTCGCCGGGTGATATCTGGAATAAAATTTTAATGGCTCGCGGTAGCGCGCCACTCTTCTTCTTTCCCGCTCAAATCACGTGTCTTTGTGCAACGTTGCGGCGCAGTGCCTTTTTCTCGCCTCATTCACACAGCCCCATAGGCGGTGTGAAACTCTGAACAAGAACACACATAATATGAACCATCTTGCATTAATCCGCAGTCAGGACCATAATTGTTGATATTGTCGCGGTACAACGCGAATAAAACACAGGTACACCTTGAGGCAACGTAAGCAGCGTGTTCTCAACAGCTGAGCCTTTGTTTGTTTGTTTGTAGCCTCTAATCCATAATTGAGCCACAAGATTATCTTCTTTGGTCTCGAGTGAAGCTAGAGGCCCACTACCTCGTGTCCACTAAATCCCCCATCATCGTTTTCGTCCACATGTAGACACGCGTCAATATTATTGCGGTATATCATGTGCACTCTCGGGGGTTTTTTGGTGTAGCCGTGATGTTCCACATAACCGGGCGTGCTGCGCAGGATTACCCTTCGGTGGGGGGGGGGGGGGGGGGCACAGGTTCGTCGCATCGCCCCCTTCTATATGTCAATGACTACGAACCTCCCCTCCCTCTGCGCACGTCTATGGGCGGTGTTAAGTTACATGCACATCGCCCCGGGCAATGCATGTTCCACGTACGAGTTTAAGCCCGCGAGTGCTGCTGATGAACGCGGCTGAAGCAAAAATGGAGTGAGCCGGCCATTTCAGTCGCGCGAAGGGCGCATGTAATGACATCGTTCCACGTGCAGGGGCTCTTGTAGATAGGTCCTCGAGCAGAGAAGTGCTCCGCCGGAATATCAGAGGCCTGAGGGTGGTGTGGACTGCGTTTTTTACAGATGAGGTGTGCACTTACAGGGCGGCCATGCGGGCCATGGTCCCGTTCAAATGACTCAGAAGCTCGGGCCCACTTTTTTTTTTGTAGGGGCGAAGCTTCTTAAGGCGTGGGTCTGTTCATCCTCCGTCGTTGTCGTACGTAGCCACCGGGATGCAAAAATGGCGGTACTTGAAGTGTACACTACTTGGACGCACGGACGGACGGACAGATAGACTAGCAGACGGATGGACGGGCGCGCGGAGCGGGTATGTGCCACATGAGATGCGAGGTGGCGGTACTTGGAGTGTTCACTAGATGAACGGACGCGCGGACGTACGCCTGGATGGACGCACGGATGGTCGCGTGGACGGACGGAAACAAAAACGAACGGACGGAAGCACGGACGCTTCGTCCCACTGACCATCATTCACTCCGTGGACATGCTGTCATTTTTTTAAGTAAGCCCGATTTCGCATCTCTTTATTGCCTAAGAGCATCCTCGAAAAGCTGGAACTTCTACCCGTAATACTGTCGTTGCAAACATGTTTTTAATATTCTTTTTCTATCATCCGTGAGGGTTTTTTTTGGTGGGATTTCTAGAAAAATGGAAGATCGCGTTTTTAAATATTGATTTCTCAAAAGGCTTTACTGCCAACGAAATTGAAAGTTTGAGGACATCTATAAAAATATGTTTTTGAGGTACAGCAGTATTGACAGGCAATATTGCGAACATTATGTTGTAATAGGTCACCAAGTTGTTTTTCACTAGCTGGTATGGCTTAGAAGAAAAAAAAAAACTTCATATATAGCAACTTTTAAAAAATGTCACTTGTTCAGACATTTTTCAAAAACATTTTGCTTAAGCCCATAGGCTTCAAACAATGCTGCCTCACTCTTCATTATCTGTACATTTATTTAAAAAAAGATCGTCTTTGTCACCTTAATATTTGTGTTTTTATATCATCGTTAACTTTCAAAAATGACAAAAGACGAAATTGGTCCTTCTGCTCAAAATACCTTGGATGTTTTTTTCCTCCTAATTTATGCAGTTAATAAAAAAAAAACGAAGTTCACTTTCCGGCTACTGGGTGGTATGTGCACAAAATATTAAATAAGCAATCAAATCTAAGACAACAACTTTCGGACCCGGGCCGATCTCTCGTGGAATCACCCAGTATACTCAAAGTAAACAGAAATTTATTAAATGGCAACACTGCTTAAATGGAATAACAGCATCCGATATTCGTTTCATACTTCTGTTCAGCTCATTTTTTTGTTCACCTCTCAGCCAATGGAGCTCCAGTTAAATGGAAGATTTTTTCCTGGTCTCTTCAGGTTCCATGTAATAAGAGCCTACTGCAGAAAGCAATACATACTGCTATGAAACTATACTGGCTTGGGGAATACATGCACAGTATACTTTCTAAATGATGTAAAAGTGAAGCAATCCTTCAGGAAGACAAGGTAATTTTTATGACACTTTCATGCCGAGTGTAATGAGCAATTTATTGATCAAAGGTTACGTATAAAATATGTTTTTGGCATACATAAAGTGTTTGAAGAAAGAAAAAAATGGTAAATAAAGTTCAACTTGCACACAAGAAATAGTGTACATAGTCAGGATTCGCACCACACTTCCTGGAGGAATGCCTGTTGTATAATGAGATAATAAAGTAGTGCTTTAATTATCACTGTCAATATAAGTACACCTTTGGCTTAGTGCAACCAATTTGATTTTATCACAGTCAACAATGCTCTCAATGCAATAACTTGCCCCGCTACCATGTCACAAAATGCATGAATTCGTGCTTGCTATTTCTGCACTTCGTTTAAAGCACTCAATGTTCACATCAATCAATGAGAGCATAGCATTCTTGCTGAAGTCCAGCATTCAGAGATCACCCAAAGCAAGTTTGATAGGCACTTCCTTGCAGCCCGATTTTGAGAAAACGGGGTAGTCCTCCGGGTAGAAAGTAAATCCCTGCAAAAGACTATCAACACCGCCAGAGAGGGCCACTATTTTGGCTCGTGATTGGGGTGTTTGTTCAGCCAGTTGCCTCAACAGGCACTCTTTGACATGATCCTTGGTCAGGGGCAGGAAAGGCACGATTTCCGCACTTCTCAACCACGACGGAAACATGCTGCGATATGCTTCAATCAGCTTTTCGACATCTTCCGTAGTTTCCCGCTTGCGCACGTCCTCAATTCGCTTCAACGCGAAACCCTCCGCCACGCTGCCTCCGCCACTCAGAGATAGAACGAAAATCACTGCTTGCCCCCTCTGCACCTTTGCCTCTTCCCAAGATGAGAGGACAGCTTCTAGTTGCGTGCTAAATAAATCATCCAGTGGAATAGGCCGCACCGTATCGAGTCCCAGATCGATGTCGTCAATGACAATGACATTTGGCCGCCACGATGACAGGGAATACCGCAGCCAACGCAACAAGTCGTTGCCAGTTTTGCGTGTGAGTGCTATCTTGTGCGAGGCAACAAGAGCTTCGGTATATGGGTAGTGCTTGGCAATCAGCGACGACGCATATGTTTTTCCACACCCGGAGCAGCCAACATACACGAGCACAAGCGGAACCGGTGCTGTAGATTCACTGCTACTCAAATAGCGCGTGATGGCAGTCACTGTCCGGTTTATGGCAATGTCTTGGCCAACAAGATGCTGCCGAAGTGTAAGGGCAAGTGCCTCCACCTGCAACAGAAACGGGAAAACGTTGACAGGGCAGTTGATGCAGCTTGCTTATTGCAGATACTGCCATGAGAGAAGAAGCTTCAACGTGATCCACCCAGTGGTTGTCTCTCTCAAAGTTTCATGTGGCATGATAGTTCATCACATCAGAGATGTATATAATAAGTCACAGGTACAATGAGGGAAGAAGTCAGTAAAACGTTAGCAATCATAGACTGAAGCATATCTAAATAGGTCAGCTAGAATAACAGGATAAACTGCTCTTGCATGCACTTGAGAGAGCAAATATATAAATATTAATTTTGTTGAGCTTAGAGGTGTGCATCACAAGTACGGGAATAAGGTTTTTTAATGGCATACCCGGTCACAGCTCAGATTCCCAGCCAACACAGCCACGTTACGACGTTTCGGTACGGTCTATGTTATGACACACGAAGTACCTTGCCTTAGAAAGGAAGAGGTACACAAAGGCTGGTATATATCAGGAGAAGGACAAATTTTCCACGCATTTACACCACATGTCATTTCATAATCGTGTTATATGTGATAATGAATAGTGATCATTTCACAACGCACCCACAGCGCGTATCTGTCGCGCGGGAACCAATCCCGATTCGCAAACGCAAGTATGTCACCTACCTGCAGCTCTTTCGTGTCGAGACAGGTGGGATTAAAGAAGAGAAAAACCAGGAAGAGGCAGCCTAGCGAGACGCAGGCTTGCAGGAACGACCATACGACGGGGACGCAGCGCGTGAAGAATTTTTTTGGAATCCTACTCCACTTGGTCTGCGAAAAACCGTTCACACAGAGCCACTGTCTGTCTTCAACTTGCGATGACGGGGTTGTTTCTCTGTGACGGTAGGCGTCCCCTGCAAGTACGAATAGTTAATACTTACTTGTAAACAACACATCTTTTTAGTTGCATTTAATGACGCGATCGGCATACTCACGAAAGCATTTCTTCGTCGATAGCCTTCCCTTCAAATCATGCCCACGATAGCTCGCCGGTAAACGTTTCTTCGACACCGAGCCTGCAAATAAGCGACGGGCAGATCTTGATTTAAGACACAAGGAGCATCCATGCGACGCGATAGACTTACTTGTTGCTGCGCACTCTGGCTCATATCCTGGATACGTTATAGCCAAACGTTTCTTCCCCATTTTACTGGCAGCGTAAACCACTACCTGAACATTACCTGGATTAAAACGGATGCTCACAACTTAATGCGCAAATCGCCGTTGATTCTACTTGCGTGGTCTTGCTGCCAACGCTTGACACCGAAGCCGAAACACCGAAACCAGAGCTGAAAGCGTCCGTTAACTTGCGGCTGCTTTTGCGCCTAGGCAGCTGACCCCGCTTGACCTCAAATGGCCGGAGCGTTGGATGTATATGTACTTCGATTGGCTAACGGCATTTTTAGAAGGCTGTGGCGCTGTGGTCGCCGCCTCGCCCACAGAACACCTACTGCCTCGCCATCATCGGTGGTTTTGGCGGTTTCGGTTTGGTTGTTGCACGACAATGGCGGCAATGGTAACGCAGGGTAACGTGCGGTGCAAGTTGCAACTGACGCGACTTGTTACTACGCTAAGGTCGTAATTTAAATATTGCCAAGTGGGTTAGGCCGCGTTACCACACGGACGATAAACGTATCGCCAGTCTATATGTACCCGCGCCGCGGTACTTGTCTTTGCTGCCAAGCAGGGAATCTCGGGACCTGAATATTGTTCCTGCACGTGATAACTCAGGTCAGGTAAAACTATACCAGCACACAAAATGAGAAACATAAATTAAGTGCAAACAAACCTAATGGGTCCCGTTGAAAGGGTACTCAACACTGCAACATCAATGTCGTCCTCATTTGCTTTCATATGCATTGCATAACAATGTTTGTTTTCTTCCGCACATGCGCCACATGCCCAATCAGGGGGATGCGCCAAGTGATGTGTAGTCTCCAGTAGAAGCTTAAAAATAATAATAATAAAAAAGAATTGTTGACTAGCTTAATCTGCCTCTTTCAGTTAACGCCAGTTTTCTTTTCTTTTTGTCCCTCACTTTTTTTTAACAATCGCTGAAAATACCGATAAAAACGCTAAAGAAAAAGGAGGCTCCAAGGAAACCAAAAGGTGCATAGCTGTTACCTATTCAAGTCCTGTCGCGAATATTTTATGTACTCAAGAAGCAGTTATTTCAGAACATCATGACAGAGTTGTAAATTTCGAGAACATAAGTCAACACATGCTTCCTTTCCTGCCTAATTTGAATATGATGTCTGACCCACGAATTACTGCATGAACTAGAGACAATTTTAAATGAACACCAGGCCTTTATTCAATCTTGTAATATGCTTCAACCCTTTCAGCTGAAACCTTCTGTTTCATCCTTCAAGCATTGAGAGTCATTCTGGTGTGGGGCAATTCGATTCAGTTGGATCGGCCTCGAGCACTGTCGCTTTCACACATACACTGTAGCTTTAGTCCTATTTAGAGAACATTTCTAAATAGGCTAGAAGCTCAACATCAAAGCCAGACACCCAGGCTACTTTAAGGGGTATTGAACAAAATTTTTGCCACCCAGATTTTGAGCCAAATTGAAAGACTGGGTTAATGAATCGATAGGGACAACTTTCATCCCAGGTAGAAATTTCAAGGAAATGGTGAATTTAATGGGTTCTTCACAAACTGCCGCGTCTAGCTGCCTCTCCGTGAACTAGCCAAGACAACATTTGGAACAGCAAGCCAACGATACTAGCTGTCACCCGCATCTCCCGATTGGCTCAGCTCCCTCATCCTATCCGGTAGCGAGCGATGATCCCGGTTGGGTAAAGGATCAGGGCTTTTGTGGAAGGGAGTGAGTGGGAAGAGGGGAACATGTGCACTCTGCATGTGCCTTGGAGTTTGCGAAGTCACGGCTCACACTTGCGTTCAGCCGGCGCGCGCTGACAATCCATCTAAAATATAGCCATCTATTCAAAAATACCCGAAATTACCTTTTCTATTGGAACTGTCGCACCTTTCGAGTAGAATTTTGAAGCTTCATCAGTTTTTCCAATTTTCGTTCAGTATCCTTTAAGATCATGATGTTGGCTTTTTGGTGTTGTGGCGGCTGAATACTGCAGCGTTAACTTTCAGTACATCCTACAAATGTGCACAAGATGAAGGCACAAACACAACATGTAGGGCTTCAATATCAGCAGTTTATTCATAAATAGGCATCTGATGTCATAGGGCTGACTCTCTATTAATTTAATAATTACAGTTATTCTAACAAATATACAAAAAACAGAGGAGGTTTACTCACTCACATTTATTCAGGAACATCCTATTGCTATATAGACCAAGAAATGGATATTGAAAGATGTATTATAAAAATCCGTGCCGCAACATTTTATGAAAATCATAAGTCTTTAGTGACATGCTGACAGAAACATTAGGCAGAGAGTGGGTTTAGAAGTCTACGAAAAGGCACTTCAAAACACAATAACCATTTCTAGCATGCAGTTGCTACAGTAAATTTTGTCTTTGTTATGAAACAAGACGAGCAATGAGCATAGTCTAGCACACATCTAAAAAATATCATGTATGTATGGATGGTCTTCAAAGGTCATAAATTTTGAACATGGTAAACCAAACAAGAAGAAGTCATGAACCTTCTATGCAACAGTACATCATGCTTTGTAATAGCATGAACCGCTGAACCTCGTTATAGCAATATCTCACATGATACGAAAATGCCTTGGTTAAGTCTCAATATTCAATAGAACCAATACACATGCTTCATTACTTAAACATATCCAATTATACTTGCACTCATTATGTTGAGGCCTACTGTACTGCCTCGAAATGTGAACTATTTAAAGTAGGTAAATACCTTTTTCTGCAATAGATGGCAATATGTTTTCGTAAAAGGACAATACAGTTCAGCAGCACCTACTCAAAAAAATCATATGAAACATCAACAAAAAGCATCAACACACACACCAAAAAGGTGGCAGCATTAAAAACTCTTCAACCAAGTGCACTCTTACAAAAATAAGCAAAAAAATAAACTATCCATTACTAAACTCAGCAAGAACAAAAATTGAGATTACAGTGTGAAACAGAACTCTAAAAAACCAGCTTCAAATTTTTACAGCAGCAAGGTACCAAAAGCAAGCACGATGACGCAATGAAAGCATGTATTAGCAGCGTAATGTTACAGCAAACAATCGACATAACACATTAAAAAAAAAAAACACAGCAAGAAGACCGTGTAAAAGAAAAGAAGCATGCAAGCCGCTCTCAATTTGCCGTAAACTGTGCGCTGTACTCACAGCGTTCTTCCCACCACACAAAATTAACGTAGCGGTAAAAGCATCATGAAGTTGAGCAAGTTTGTGGACAATGGAAATGTCACGCGAGTCATCAATTTCTTGTGCTTCATCTATAAAGGGCGCCACGTCAACATGAACAGTGTAGATTGTGAATGGAGCGAAAATGTGTAGTGACGCAATGAATAAGACAAAGAAGGAAGAATGTCCCGACAAACACCGCGAGATTAGTGGCAGCATTGCCTTCGTAAGAATGCCACTCAAAACAGAAAAAGGACATAAAAACTTCGGCACTTGTTTCTTTCATTTAAAACGACAGAAATAGAACCGCCAACGATATAAACCAAAATGAAACAACTCCGATTCTCTACGAAACCCATAGGCTGTATATCAAAGCAAAGGCATAAGAAATAATTGGCACAGCGAAATCTAAGTATAAGTATATACTTTTATAATAGAGCTAAAGCGCCGAGCCCAGAACGAATTCAGTCGTTATACCTATGAAAACAAGCAACAAAAAAAAACATACAAAAGAGGCTAACAGTGTGGGAGACAGCAATTTCCTAGTTCGAACTGTTGGGCTGCTAATATTTATTGCACCAGGACTGTTCCACATCTGACAAGAACGGAGCGTGATTTGCACGGGATTCATAAATAGAGGTATAAACGCCTGGCTAGAAGGTGCCTCAACCACGTCCCAAGTGGGCAAAAACTAGAAAATAAATGTGTCAACCAAAGTTCAGTACTGGGCTTTCTTGACTCAGCAGCTGCTGTTTGATATGCCGAAGCTGTGATACCTGCGACTGCCCTCAACTCTGTCGTACCACATACGCACTGACTGCACTAATACATTTCATAAACGTGCCAATTTCAGCTGCAAACGTGTTTCTTTTCGTGTAGGAGCACAGCATTGTATGCTTCAAGAAACAAGCAAAAGAGGCAGCCATCAGGCCAACGCATAACCCTCACACATAGCCCACGCACAGCCCACACATAGCCCACACATAGACCATACATACTACACAACCAGAAACACCTTCCATTTTCACTGTGACACAGCTATTACAATCTCTGCAGACTTATTTATGCATTGTGACTAATTTTTGGTTAAAGAAGGGTGCAGGCGGGGGTGTTTTGGTAGCAGCGAGCGAGAATTTTTGACATACAACACGGCAGCGCATAGCTGATGCAGCATCGTGTTCTGGAATGCTCGTCACGTAGGACTTGTGGTAAATGCTCATAAGCAGTGTGTGAGTCTGGCACTAAAAAGCGTCCCTAATGTCGCATTGTAGTGTAAAATAGAGCATACATTTAAAAAAGCTTCCATAAAGCAAGCAAGGGGGACGCTACCAATGGAAAAGTAGCAAAACTTTGAAAAGAAGGAAAAAATATGTGTCTTCATTATGCTTAAGATCTGAATAAACATTTGCACACATACTCTCAAACATCTACTATGTGTCCTAAAAGGGTGCATCAGTAAAATAATATGCACAACTAAATTAGATATCTTTTTTTTTTGTGGTACTTATATTGCAGCACCAATATGGGTGGCTAAAGGGCAAATATAGTTCAGGTGTTAAAACGTCTATACAAAGCAAAACAGGAAGTCAATGAAGACACTACTGACAGCTAGAAAAAAAAAAAGAAACGGCCCAGAAAAAAAAAGATCCTCAAGAAATAGTGAAGGCGTGCACAGGGAAATCCACATTACAAGTCATAGGTTTCCATACGGTCATCAAGAAAAGCCCTCCTGTTCAAAGATTAGCTCTATGGCAGAGTAGATGTTGTCGACCTGGTAGACAGGCTCCTTGAGGCCAACTTCTACCGGCAAGAAGTCGCGTGGCGTGTGCTCGCATGTGTCGTCGTGCAAGTCCTCGTTGTACACGCCTGTGTGCACCAGTACAGATGTGCAGCTCACGGCTCCACAGTTGCTCATCATCTGCAGAACACCAAAATAGTACAAGCAGTGCCGTTAAGAGAAGACAGCAACCTATCTCCCCACTCACCCACCCACCCACCCCCGAGATAGCCAAAACGAGTGCAATGCATCGCAGGGAATGCACTAGCACTAATATTTAAGAGTTAGTAGGGGGTTTGAATCAGTCGCATACCAATGGACCTCTGTCTGCTTGTGTACTCCCATACTTCTTAAGTATTCTTTTGTATGAATGTCCGATGATTTGTATTCCCCTAATAATGCTTGTGCTGAAGCTAAATCTAAGATAAATACAGATGTAATTACACAATGTTTACCTTCCCCTTTCCTTCATTATTTGTCATTTTAACTTAGCTGGGGCGAAAGGCATAGCTGATATTTTCGGGAAGTTGCGACTCGTGGCTTTGACAACGGCAGAGATGTCACGAATAGCAACATTCTGGCTACTGATAGCCGTTTTCTTTTTCCATCCTGCAGTGTCCTGCAACACCTATGGCCCCTTCGCCAAAGGCTAGAAATTCGAAAAATGATTTCAGACCCTCTCAGACTGTTTGATTGAAATTTTACAGAAACACAAAAGCTCCTCTCAACCTGCTGCCCAGAAGCAATATGAACGACATTCTGTCCATACAAAAAGAAGTAGTGTCAAACCTTTATGCTGTAACAAAGTAGTACAACTTGCAGCGGAATGCTTCATTATGTTGTGAATTTCATGAAGACTCCAATGGAAATATTGGCAGCACATACTAACGGGACGCAAGGAGAAGAGAAAAACAAGCGCTTGTTTGTCCCCTCTTTTTGTGCCCCGTTAGTTTGCACTGCCAATATTTCAGTATGAATCTATAGCTACTGGCCTGCTTCTCAACCCTTCTGCAAGACTCCAATATTTCAACAATGAGATAATGTTAAACAATACGACAGATTAGAAATACAGTCCTGCTGTTGCTCCACGCAAGAGGCCTCATGCCTTGTCAATTATCTCACCTTGACCATTGGATCGATGGACCATTACATAGCTTGCTGCTAGACCACCTGCATGAATCACTTTGTTCATGTATCTTGTGAGAGCCCTTTTTACTATGCCTAAAGGCACGCAATCGAAATCAAAATGTAAGAAATAGTTAAATTAAACTATACACATGTAGTAGGTGACGTATGGCATGGCCTGCTATATTAGTGAGTTCAAACCTCATTGTAAAAAAGTTGCATCTTACACAGAACTAAGTTCGTTATAATCTAAAGTTCGTTATAAAGGTATGTTCCCAATACTATAGTTCTACAACAGCATTTTTCATTTACTTCGTTATAACCAATATTTCGTTATATCCGGGGTTCATTATACCAAGGTTTGAATGTGTTTGGTTGTCTTGTAGTAATCTACCAGCTGGTCACCATGGCATACTAATACTCTCCCGAGCATGCTTTATCAGAGTTTGTAACAGGGGGTCACACACAAACCATCACTCTACTTACACTTCTGCATGGACGACCACACAAAATCCAATACTTGAGGTAACAGTAGGCTCAAGAAACAGGGACATACAAAGGCCTTCGTTGAGGAAATCCGAGCTTACCCCAACAGTGGACTGGGAGTCCTTGGACATGGTGGAGTTCGAGCCTGGATGAGCCGAATTGGATCCAGCTGCCAGAATAGCCTTTGGAAAGTCATCTTTTCGCCGGCGCTCCAGGTAGCGGTTGTACAAGTTGGCACCATAAATGTCGGTGTTTATGTTGTCGCTTGGCACGGGGAAAGAGCAAAACCGGCATCTTAGACAAAAACTAGTATTGGTCCCAAGGACATACAAAGAAGTCAATGTGAACACACAGCAGCTTCAGTGATATTTAAAACATGAATCTACGTAAGATACTGCAGCTTTTATTTGATGAGTATATTTCAACCCACGAACCTCTATGCAATATTACAGTTAGGGACGGTTAACCCTTTGGGACGTTCTGTACACGATTGTGCACACCACTAGTTTTTGCTAGTTGTGTCGACCAGTGACTCCGGAAGAACAAGATAAAGTGAGCTTTGGATGAATTTAAGCTCCCCCAAAATAAGTGTGCCATCATCTAACTTCATTTTGCAGTGTACATTTGCATATGGTCACTTTGCTGAAGGTATACCACATTCAACGTGCCACTTCCATCTATTTCACAATGCATCTATTTTCACAATGAGCGAAGTCAAAAGTACAATTTTTCTTTGCTGAACATCTATATAAGCAAAAACGAATTTGTACATTTTGATCTTGAGAATTGACTGAATTATTGCAAAAAAATAAGCACAGATGACTTCAAGATTAAAAAAATATTTAATTACAATTTAGTTAGAAATAATTTGATATAACACAAATAACGTATTACAACAATGTTCTTGTTGCAGTAGAATGTCATGTGCTTGGAAATAACGTGTCGATTTGACACATTTACAGACACTTCTTTATAAGTGGCATCTGAAACGGTTAAAGAGGATAAAATGAAAGCGCTCACCCAATGGCAAACAGGCGTCGCACTGGGTGAGTAATGCCAAGTCTATGGGCTTCTTCCTGAACACAGGACTCGGCGTGCAGGTATGTTATCTCGCTAGGCTTTCCAATGAGTGCTGTGTAGATCATGTCCCTACCAGTTACCTTCTGCAAGAGGAATTGTTTCAGGAAAAGTTAAGTGCACAAGCAAAACAACACTGCAGCAAATTTTCTGAAGCAACACATCATCGCACACATTAACACAGACATAATTTACAAACTATTTTGTGACAATTATAATCCCTTCAACAAGAGATAATCCACTAGACAAAAGCGAACCATGAATCACTTCCTGTGCTTCAAACCACTGACGGCCGCTGGCAATAACCAGCAATAGTCGAACAGGTTTATTGGTTAACAAGTTGGTCCTTGTGAAACCATAGTTTCGCCAGCCCACAGAAACTATCGGGAAAAGTTGAGACCAGCCCCGTGTGCGAGCCTGCACCAAATTATGGCTCAACACACGAGATTGGCAGATTTAGAACTCTGGAAGGCGTGTGGACATGACCGGCAGCTTAATATAGAGCAGTGCAGAAGAATGGCCTCTTCTAGCATTATCAAATAATTCCAGCCATGCGCCAGTGAACATGTACAATGACTGTAACAGATAAGCTAATACTTTGCCACTTTAAGAAGGTTGCTTTTCTTGTACCTTGCCATTAATCTTATTAATCGGTATGTTCCAATACTCACCGTAGACGGCTAAACAGACAGCTAAGTGAACGGCAGCCATCTAAAGCGCCATCCCAATTTTCACGTCGCCGGCAAAATAGACAGCTTTCAGAAGACGGCATCGTAGACAAAAACGATGCAGGCTTCTTTGCTGTCTAAACAAGATGGCGGCTCAGCGAATTGCTTGGATAGGTCGGATATCGCCGGAATGGTCGTCTGCACATAAGCAGACTCTTCTCCAAACGCTCAATGTGAGTAACTTTCAATCTTTTTTTTTTTACATTTTAACACTAAGATAAAGAAAAATAACAAACGTAGTTGTTTATTTTAGCTTTCTCTTCTGGATGAGAGGTGGCGTCTCGTCGCATAGACGCCACCCAGATGCATTTTATTTCACGGACAACATGGACTCGATGCCGTCTTCTAAGCTGTCAGCATAGACTGTTTACGATACTGTCTAGAATTTAAACACAGCCAATATAATACATATTTACATTGCTTGCAAACACTGTTTTAAAGTGATCTGGAAAATTCATTCTGTAGCTATTACATTTTATCTTCCTAGTTTTACACACAGTTTTCTGCTCCATCAATCATTGCATTGTCTTTGGCTTCGGGACTCTTAGCAAAACTTTAGCACAACATTAAAAATTTTCACGAATGAAAACTACCAGCAAATCACTACAGCCTTCAAGTCCATGTTCATAAAGGGACTCGGCCAGTGAAATATATAGCATAGCCATTAGGCAATAGCACTAGACAATAGCATTACCTGAATGCTAATTAAGATATGCTGAGGTATGCTATTTCACAACTCATTGGCTTGTACTATACCTTATACCATTTTTTAGTAGAAAAAAATTCTCTAGAATGACTAACAAATGATTAATCAACTATAACTACAAAAAAATGGTGTACAGTTTTATGCGCAAACATGACCGATAGTGCAAATACTGCATTGCTAAAGAATAAACTTGTTTATCTCTATTGTGCTAATTTTTTTATAAACCAGATTTTCCTTATTGCTTTCTCTCAATATGCGAGGGTTCATTGTCACTGTAAATATAAATAGACCAATTATTTCTCTATATTTTACCACAATTTGTCACAAATAATCAAACCTACAACGTCATATACAGGAGTAGGATAAAAATGAATGACTACAGGGGTCATTTTTCTTACAAAAATTGCTATTTTGTTTGTTATTTGAAAGATGCTATTTGGGGGCCATTTTTCCTTGTGCCAGATATAGTAGTTAAAGAGTTAGGTTAGAGAAATCGCTTCAACTGAAAAGTTGAGAGTGAAAAATTCTGCCACTCAGAGACAGATAAAAGAAGTCATCTTTGTATTTCATATATCTGTTATAATGAAATTGTGGGACGTTAAACCCCATATATTATTATCAAAAGTTAGTCGACTTCATTGTGTTGCAGCACTCCGAAAAGGTATTAAATTGTAGTCCGAGCAAGAATAGCACAGTCACTGGATTCTAAAGTGCAATTTTTTTCCTGCAAACAATACTTTAGACAGCATGCAGGTTATATTCAACCAAGATATTATAATGAATATATCATGTTCATTGGAATTAGGGCTTATCGAAATAGTATGAATACAATTAACTGCCAGATAAAAAAACAAAAAAGGTTAAGTTTATTTATCCATTATTCATGCCAAATTACTGAAACCATTTGTCGCTTTCGCACAACAGTTCCAAGGGTAGGTATCGCTCTTGTGCCATGTCGAATTGATAAAATATTTTGCTAAAAAAAAAAAGCCTTCGACACGGCTCATCTTGCTATGAAAATACATAAGACCTAAACTGGACGGCAATCAAAACCTTAAAATTACTGAACACAATACTATTAAAAATAAGAACGCACTAAGAATAGAGCAGGTTAGGATGAAATCATGAAAGTCGAGAGGTACTGTATGCTAGCTTATTGGTTTTTAGAGATCTTATGACCTTTTTCTTCAACTATTGTGAAAATACCTGCGTTTTACAAGCAAGCAGTGTCAGCTGATGTCTTACATCCATTCGCCTCTAGCATCAATGTCTTTTATAGAAGGGTTTGACTATACTACATTTGCTAAAGTGAAAAATCTTATTGAAATAGTAAAGAGCAAAGTGCCATCACAAAAATTTGGGTTTTTTTTTTAATACTTCTTGCCACAGGTAGTGTCAATGCATATACTTACACAAACAGGAAAGAAAAAAGAAACACAAGCCAAATGGCAGGATGTTGTGCTTTTGAAAAGAAAAAAAGTTTATTCAATAAAACGTACAGAGGTAGTTGGCTGTCAGGACAGCTGGCACTCAAATGAGTGTGAAGTGCAGACATGTTTAGCAGCTTGTCTTTTGGACTTGCTTGCAGATAACACCGACCCAATATCAAAGCTATATTGTATTATTTGTCATCTATTTTCACAATACTGTAGCTTTTGGTCAAACATCAACATTGCATAAAAGTTACGATGTGCAGGGGCATGTTATCAATTTGGACTTCTTAAGGAAAATGGCAGCGACGACAAAAATCCGTCGAGAGTGTCCATATAATTACTATTGCAATAAAAACGAAGTTTTTTTACCACTAAACAAGTGTTTTGGTTTAGCTCAGTTTTCAGTTTCCGTTTTGTTTAATTTGCACGTTTTTCGAAGTTTTGTACTGAACTTGCATATAACGAAATCTTTTTTATAACAAATTTTTCCGGGAATCGGTCAATTTTGTTACATCCAGGGTTAACTGTATAAGAATGCGAGGTTGGCAACAAGCAGCTGTTTATTGGGTGTGATTTCTAATGTGTGTATATTAAGAAAGATATGAGACAACATTACCTTGTACAAATTCTCCAAACAGACTAGAAAGGCACCATGACCAAACCTAGGCGAAAGAAAAAAAAAAGATGAACTTATTTGACATTGCGAGTACACAGGTACATGATGTCCGGGTGCACATGAACATTTCCTAAAAGAGCGCCTTGAATAGGAAGTAGCAATGATGTTTTTGGCTTGCGATCATATCTTGCCACCTCACAGTTAAAGCATTGAAAATCATTTAGAAAAATGACCATTATAGTTCCGCAAACAATCCACTATAGCACTTGTTCCGATGAAGCAATTTTGGTTTTGGCATCCAGGAGGTACATCCTGCATGAGGCCATGAAATGCCGTCTTGTTTCGTTCAGGCAATGGCTACGGCTGCTATATGCAGATATGGCCAAAAGAAATGCACATGCTCTTGCTTATTCCTTCTATGAGCAACACCAAAACAGCTAGTGTTACTTAGAGACAATGGAAAACTTTTCTCGTTGCAAATTAACAATACTTCACGTAAAAATACACAGGCTTCTAGCATTCACTGGAATCAAATATGCGATCCTCAAGTTGGGTCGATCTGAAAATTATTAGACCACTTCAATAAGGAAACACGTTTTTCCTGCTACATATTACAGTCAATAACATACATAGGAGGAAAGGAGTGTCTGGTGACCCGCAGCAGCTTTGCAAGAAGGGCTGCAAAGACATGCGCGAGTATCTCCACTTTGACTTTTTTTTTTTCAGCAAGAGCACGCAATCAGGTTATTGGTTCAGAGATGCGGTTAAAAGACAATGCTTGCTGAACGTGGCAACAGAATCAAAAATAGAAAGAAAAAAGAAAGAAGGCACGACAAACTGGAAAAAGCCGAGGACATCTTTCTCCTGTGGAGCTTATCTACCGGGTCCAAAAGACGACTGATAAGCTTAACGTGGCCTGGCGTTTAAGGACCCGGCCAGAACACGTCTGCTGCGCTTCCGGTCTAAATGCCCTCCCGGCCTAAATTTTCACCCTGTATTTTTCTGCACCATTTGCACAAAATGTAGTGCTCTGCATATAGCATAGCTTGTTTGAGTCTATCCATGGATACGAAGTTGTTCCATTTCAGATGATTCCTTTTTTTTTTTTAAGTAGACTTACATTTAATTAGACATTTCTGAGTACGCTTCCCACTTTATTGTGTCCTGTTCTTCAGGCAACCAGCTAATTTTCCCCACTGCAGAAAGAAAACTTGCTTTCCATCTTATTGCTTACATTTCACTTTTTTTAAACTTTTTGTTATGACCAGCTGCTGCTCTTTACCATTATGTACTGAGACAACTTAAACTATAGCAGTCTCTCCCATTATGGCTGCTTGCATCTGAGATTTCCTATCACTGAAGACGATTACGAGACAAGTGTAGTTTTAGCAATGTTGTACTACACTGAACCAACTAGTCCTGAGATATTACCAAAGCAGCGTTAAAATTCAAAAAGTAGACTACGTGAGTATGGCTGCTTCAGCATGCCAGAAGAGCCCATTGAGCACCTGCATCCTAGCTTAGAAGCATCTGTGATCCCATCGATCCCATATTTTTAAAATTGGGTGGCACATCATGAACAAACACTTTTCAATAATAAAAGTGAGAAATTCTGCGCCACAATGTGCTTGCACAGTATTCACTGTATTTGGCATCAAACAGGTGCACGAAATCAAACTTAATTCATTCTACAGCAAGCTAATAAAACGAGTAAGTTAATCCTCGGCATAATACGTCTGCATGAAGGTACAGGGCAAGCATAATATGATTCAGCACTTGGCACAGTGAAGCAGACACCACGACTAGCTGGTCTGTTTCCAATATCAGTGAAACTTTTACACCGTTGAAGCCCATGCTATATGAACTGGCATGTAACCCAATGCAATGGCTGATTTCTCCTCTACAACAGTTGTCATCACCAAAACTACTTTTCTTGTGGACAGCCGATTATAACTGTCAATTTTATTCTAGTTGCATTTTTCTAGTGACAGATTACCTGTGTATATAGTCTTTTGCTTTAGCGTGAACTTCTCCCACGCTTGAACCAGAATTCCTACCTTTCGTTTGTCAAAATGCTACATTCCAAGAAACACAGTATACTACCATAATTTTTGCCACATTTTGCGACATTATACTTCACCTCCATTACACAGGTATAAAGTCTACCCTTTTTTTAGTACCTTGAGAGCAAAACAATTCAAACAAAAGAAAGTGTGAGAAAAGCACAACTGTCAGACATGCCCACCTTGGAAGACATGCCTCAGCCATCCATTGCAGGTCCATGTTGCAAGCCAAGACGGGCAGGTGGGGGTAAGGAATGGAAGGAGCAGCCTGGCATGGAAGGCCGTTTGTCATGAGCACATCTATTATCAGCTGCAGGCTTGTCTCCCACCTCACTGGCTCACCAAACAACACCACGGCTGAAAAAAATGGTGGAATAACAGGTCACATGTCCACCTTGAAAACTTGTGCTATAACAGGTTCCTGTTATCAAAGTGAAATACATACTACAAACAAGAAAATATCTGAATGCCTGCTTGCCCAAGCTGAAACAAGAGACAAAGAAACAAGCAGCCTCCACGGAGTTATCAAACTTTTAGTTTGCCCAGATATACATTACTTCTCAGAAAACATTTGTTACCAAAGATGATGTGCGAGTAGCCATAGAGTTTTCTAAAATTAACTACAGTCGATCCCGGATCGAGAATTCGAACTACCAAATATGCATATATAGGCCCCAAATTGAAAAATTTCAGGCCTCAGATATCGTTACAAGAGCTAACATAACGATTCGCTCAAAAACAAGGTGCGAACTGCAGGTTACCGCACTTTATTTAGTCCGTAAACTTCTCTTGCTTCTTGCACGCCATCAAGTTCCAGTCATCCTTAATATTGATACGTAACAGCCGCTAAACACGGCTGCATGAAAGAGGAGGACGTATCAATATCATTGAAGCTTTCCAAATAAGCGAACTTAGCTCTTTCGGCCACAACGTTGATTGAATGCAAGCTTTTCAGGGCGGCGAAAGCTTGGTTAGCGGTGGAAGCGAAGACGTTGGCCCATTCGTAACCGCACCGATACAACTCCGCGGCACTGGCAACAGCAGCTAAAATCTTGGCATCGTTGCAGTCAGAAACATTGTCATCTGTACCTATAAAGTCGCTACTGTTCGAGATGGTGCCCGAAAACGCTGCTAAGTTGTGCGCCATTGTCAGTGGTCATGACACACCCAGAGTCATCACCTGGCCCACAAGGATTGTTTGCGAGTGTTTTACTTGACGTTGCTCCAAGCACCAGTCATAATTTTTATCGATACATGCGGATTAACGTTCAGTTCAACTCCCGAATAACTTTTATTAGAAATGAGGCGAGAAGGCCACAAGGTGCAAAAGACGCAACGCCGAGTTCTTCGAAGTTCTCACTGTCGACATGCTGGTCGTATCGATGTCACTGTGGCTTTGTAGCTGGCAACCGATGCTTTTAGCGGCTTTGATGCAAAATGATAAAACGAACGTAACCTCCGAGACACGCGTTCTGAAACCGAAAACACTGAAAAAATACGCGACAAGGTTGCACATCTCGAAGACCACGCTTTTCAGACTCGCATGCCATTGTGGGCTAACAAACAAGGAAGTAAATGGGAACCACATGCGAACATTGCACTGAGGTCACCGAGTCACTTCACATTCTCTTTCAGTGCCCTCGGCAATCGGTCTTTTGGAAAACACTATGCCCGCACGCTAAGACCTGCAGATCGCGCAACGAACCAGATCAGCGCGATAAAATGCTACTGTTTTTTCATCGCCTGCGTGCACAAAAAATCAGAACTCGTTAGAACGTCGCTTAAATTGATCAATATTTGCTAAGAAAAATGCACTTTCTGGGCTTAGGCGCGGCCCAGCGTTCAATATAGCGGATGTCTCGCTGTGCGGAGTTTATTATAGGGATGCACCGGTCCCATGCTTTTGCATGAAAAATTCAAGATGATTTTTGAACTGTTCGATATAGCCAACAATTCTATGTATCTGAGTTTGATATATCCAGGATCGACTGTAGAGGGGACTCTGGCGCTGCGATCGTTCAGCAAACATGGGAATGACGGGTAGTACATGCATTTGCCTAGTCTTCGTGCTTGAGGGCTTTCAACGCAGTTGTGGCTTCATTTATTGCAGTGTGCCGGTTTTGTCTCGAATAAAAGAACAGACTTTTTTGAACTTCGTGACCCAATTAGAATTGGTGATTAAGGTGGTAAAGTTGAGATCAAGATCGCCATCTAAAAGATTAAGGTGGGCAAGCGTAACTGATAAACTATTACTGATTGTTGTTTCGTGACAAAGCAGCTTCAAGCCATGCAAAGCCAAAATAAGCATAAAGTATGAAGATCAGGCAAATGCATGTACTACCCATCATTCCCATGCTCGCTGAAGTGCCATGCGTTGCAGCTCCTATAGACACTAACGCCAGAGTTCCTCTAGTGTATTTATAGAAAACTCTACGAGAGTGGCCGTTTTAGTGCTGCCATCGTGTTGCAAAGAGTTCAAATAAAAATGAAAATAATACTGCCGCAGTGAGCCACCATATTCTGCTTTGCTTCTACGGTAAAGTTCTGGTAAAGCACCAAATACAGTTATCATTTGACGAGAATGTTTGCATCACACAGAAACGTACAGTATGTGTCAGCAGGATGTTACTACCAGCATTTTATATCCACCAGCCACATCACTAATCATTTGGTGTTTTGTGAATGTAATACTGCACTATATCATATTTTTTACATTATGACTACATATCATTGTAAAGATAGCTTCTAACTAAACAGGGTGGTTTACACAAGCAGTCCACCAAATGGCTTAATGAGATACATAATTAAAAGGAGCTGGAGTCATTCATTCATTGTTCTGCTTAAAAATGCTGTACTTGGCAGGTTTGGATAATGTGTGATCCTTCTGGGATTGTGTAACTTTCACCAGAATGTTGTTCAAGAACCATTCTTGTATTCTGTGTCACTTCAACTCCAGCTGCCATGTATAATAGGCCAGTGGACTCAAGATTAGGAACAGAATGTCATAGTCATGCATTAGCGTGGCCAGTGAAAACAAATGAATGGATATGTGCAAGATAAACCATGCTTACCTTCAACCCTTGGAAAGTATCGTTCATAGGGTGAAGGCTGCAAGATGATAAAAACAAGTGGACGGTACATTGAAGATGCGCAGTGTGGCTTATTTTAACATGGACAATTAAATATTGAATAAAAATTACAGGTTATGTCTTTTTGTTTAGATATAAATGCTGGCAAAACGTACTTTACCATGACCTCTAATCAGTCATTGCTAACCTTGAAATGTGGATACAACCTGAACCAAGTCCATCCGATTTGATACGGTCCATACTTATAGTTTGCTTTCACGTAAACGTCCAGTTATTAAAAACATTTAGTTTGTACTGACGCACTAGGATAGCTTTTCTAGAGGTAACAGTGTTGTATAAAACAAGGTTCTCACTTAAAAGCCCACAGAAGCTTACAAGTTATTAATGAATATCTAATCCTTAAACTTCACAAGGTATTTTCCAATTATGACCGCAGTTACAGACATGTTTGGTTTGACATCCGCAATGGCTTCAGGCCACAGCAATGAAGTGCACCCCCCACAACAATAATAATATTAATAATAATAATAATAATATAATAATAATGGTTTTTGAAGATCTTGCATGTACAAGTTTATAAAAAACATGGTTACCTATTTTAACCAGATAACAAAGCGCGGCTATGGGAGCTGTTAAGTTTGCAACTATTTCGTGGAGCCATCATCTTGCTTAGATAACACACCTTAATTTCTACTTTAATGTTTCGTCGAAAATGAAACAAAATTTACGATGGGCACAGTCTGCTCAGGCTTCATTTAGCCACCAATATTAAGTGTTAGAACAAAACTATTAAAGACCCCATTAACAGCACAACATTATGACAAGATCAGCTGTTCACCTCGGTTTGTCTTCGTTTGTGGTCAACAGCGTCCAAGAGTGGAAAATGAGATCGCAAATGATCGATCGTAGAGACCTTTGTAAAACCTAGCCTGGAAAGGAGGCAAGCAATACGACAGTCAATAGTATAACAAAAAAATTAAAAGCTGAAGATCTCACATGTGTATGCGGGCTTGTGTGCGGTAGAAATAGGCATTGGCACAGTTCTTGGAGTTATCAGGACATTTATCCCAACAGTGAAATAAATGAGACATCGAGAACACGCTTCTCTATGGTACTCTTCCAGAGTTAGGTTACATTCACAACATCTTGCTAACCATATTCTTGGGGCGATACATAAGCCCGTGAAGCAAAAAACACAAATTTGCAACAGAAAATGAGCTTATGTTGCAGTATTGGTGTTCCCAATGCTAGCCAAACAAGTGATGGGTAAGGATGTACAGGTATACTTCATTGAGGCAAAGTTGTATGCTTACATGAAATTACTTTCATTAAAAACAGATTTGTGGAACACAGATAATGACAAACATATTCAGCTATGTTCATAAGTGTGCGCGGAGTTCACTTTCAGGGGGTGCAATGAATTATCGCAGCCGCCTCCCATCAAGTAAATGTCGCCTTGTCCCCCACCTCTTCCCGGTATTATTAGTTTTAGTAGCCTATATATACACACCCACATACATAAAGTATAGTTGAACTCCCCTAGAAGAAAATTTCTGGCTACTCCTCTGATGACCAATGACTGCTCTATACACATTAGTACAGTGAGTCAAGGCAAACGGAGAAAGTGGAGAAAGGTCTTCTATTTGAACTTTGAACTTTATTATGAATAAACAACATACAGTAAAGAAAAACATGTTAGCAACATCTGGATCCTTAGCAAAATGCTAGTATGGATCCATGCAATTATAACATACATTAATTAGAGGCAGAAGAAAGAGTTGTATAATGAACGACATTTTAGTTTAAGATGCAGATTGTTTTGATAAACATATCACTTATACACAGATACCAAACACATTGAAGAGGAAAAATCCAACTTATACACTACACTTTAACTACGTTTTTGGTTTGCATACTTAACGTAATACATCTAATATTTCTGTACATCTGGTAATAACATTCCTGGTCAGCATACAAAACATTAGTTTAAAATCATGTCACTTTTCATCATTTCACGAAACTTATCAGTAGTCTAATAGAGCTCTTTGTAATGACGTTTGAGCATTAATGTGAAAGCATTATGTTGTTTCACTTCCACTGGTAGGTTATTCCACAATGACATTCCAACACTATAAAGTCGTCTTTTGCCATAAACATTTTTAACCAGTGGTTTTAGGAAGTTACCACAATGACGGGCTCTTGTTTGCAATTGTGAGGGAATAAAAAGGGAGCGGTGAAGAGGGATATTGCATGTTAGAGACTTTTACATCATTATTGTTGTTTTATAATTTATTACTAGTTGTAGAGGCATTACCTGGTACTGTCAAAAGAGTGGTTTAGATGAGGCCATATAGTTTGCGTTTGATATAAATCAGATAGCACGTTTTTGCAGGACTATAAGTGGCTTTAGGTATGAATCGTATGTATGGCCCCAAGACTCAATACAGTATGAGAGTTGGTTGTGAAATAGAGCAAAATATATTGTTCTTAAAGTTCCCGCATCGAAGTACTGGCGACATTTGAAAACAGTATAGCAGACTGCCGCGAGTTTTTTGCAGAGAGAGTCTATATGCATTTTCCAGCTGAAATGATGATCCAACACAATTCCAAGGTATGTTAAGCTACTTACTCTTTCTATTGTTTCGCTCTCAGCCTGAAGCACACACGAATCCAAAGCAATAATTTCGTATGGGGAATGAATTACCATATATTTTGTTTTACTAACGTTTAAAGCCAATTTATTGGCTTGAAACCAATCACAGATTTGTTTCAATTCTTTGTTTGCCATGCTTAAGGCTCCATCGATGGACTCGTGTGCGCAAATGAGAGCAGTGTCATCAGCGTACATGACTGGGGTGAAGTTATGTAATATTGAAGGGAAGTCATTCATGTACAGAGAGAATAAAATAGGTCCCAATACCGATCCCTGCGGTACTCCCGATGTAATGGGCAAAAATCCTGAATTAGTGTTAAAAAAATGAACCGTTTGTTGTCGAGAATTTGCAAGGGAGAATGAAGTCCAGCCTCCTCATTCAAATAATTGTAACCTATACTTAATTTCTCCTCGTGTTTGCACACAGGGCAGCAGAAGAGTGCATAATGTAAGAAGCTTACCCATGTGCAATGTCCACAATGGGACCTTGTCCAGAGATCAAGCAGTGCTTGTCGTGAAACTGCTGAAACATGCGCAGCGGACTGTGAGACATCACCACCTGCTGTTCTGTGATCTGCAAAGAAATCATCCAACATTCAACACCAACATCTTTTGATGAAAATCTGCTTGGCAGGGTGAAACACATTACACATTGTCAAGTACACAAGGTGACACATATGGAGCAAGAACCTCTCAGGCTATGTTGGTAAGTTCTGATAACTCAGCCTCTTCTAGCATTGCAAACATTACAAGCCTCTGCTTTTTGCACTGCTTTTGCTTCCTTTGTTTGTGCAATTGTCTGAAGCTGGTAAAACTCGGAGAGGCAGAAAAATCCGTGTTTGGATGACCGAAGCAACCAATCGGCTCTGCAAATAATGAAACAGTCTCACTCATGTTGTCTGCCACGTTCCCGTTGGCAGGATCACCATGTCTCTGTATACTGCATTCTACACTACATGTCTCTATATACTGCATTGCATTGGTGCATACCTTTTGAGATGCAAATTCAGCTGTCTTCTAGCATTGTACCCGAGTATTGAATGTTTGCACTAAAGGGTTTGTATCACTAAATTGATTAAAATTATCTTTCTGACTGATTACAAAATGACGTGTTCACTGAAGTTCTGACTGGACATTTTAATATTCTACACTTGCACAAAAGTATTCTGTGAAATTTCCTATAAATTTTGTCCTCTTATGTAAAAAGGCTGTTAATAGAACTAATAGATGTTTATATATCCACATGAAAGCAAGCGCATCTGTGTTCTCTGTATCTAAATGATTCTTACATGTCTCTGTACACAAAATACAACACTATATGCAAGCAGTCAACAGATATGGGTGCCTCACATGGACTCCAAGCCATTTTGAAAGTTGATCGGCTTTGTCTTGTCGCCGAGAGTTGCCGGCATTTGTAACGAATATGGTTGGCACTCGGAATCTGCCTTTGGTGTCCACCAGTTTCTGGAATGCCTTGACGGCGTGCGAGATCACTTTCCGGCCTCGGACGATGACCCCGTCAATGTCGAGGAGCAGACCAAAGTGAGCCATAGTGCCTGTCTATTTCTTGGAAGCACTAGTGCATAAGGTTTCATAGGCTGCAAGGTAAAAAAAATTAAGGATGTGAGAGGGCTTGTTGGTGGTAAGACACTGCAAAACTTGAAGCACACAAGGCATGCATGAAGAAAGTGACAACAGGACGATGCTCTTACTTCCAACAGAATGGTTATCGAACAAGGGTGAAACAGGCATGTTGACCAGTTGTGCGCAGGTGCTGATGATTGATTGATATGTGGGGTTTAGCGTCCCAAACCTACCATATGATTGAGAGACGCCGTAGTGGAGGGCTTTGGAAATTTCGACCATCTGGGGCTCTTTAACCTTCACCCAAATCTGAGCACACTGGGCCTACAGCATTTCCGCCTCCATTGAAAATGCAGCCGCAGCAACCCGGATTCGATGCTGCGACCTGCGGATTCAGCAGCCGAGTATTTTAGCCACTAGACCATCGTCGCAGGGCAAGCATGTGCCGAGAGTCCTTGATGAACTAACAAAGCAAAATCAGCTAGAACAATACTAAGGTGGTGGGTGCAGATGGTTTGAAGCATTGTCCCATCGTCACTGTCTTCGTTCGAGTTTTTCTTTCGTGCACTACAAGGTTCATCCCAGGAAAGGCTGTCTAATGAGCATATCAACACAGCAGACAGATGTGAAACTACCTAGACATTCAGGTTTTACAACATACTGAAATCAGATTAATTCATTTCAGTGTGTCTACAATATGACTGTGAGGCACTTGTAGTGGAGACTGGGGTTCCTTTTAGTGTTCAGATAATTCAAACCACACAAATGTTTTCACATTTCACCTTTATAGAAATGCAGCCACCGTGGCCAGGAGTCGAACCCTGCTCCTTCAGCTTAGCGGCGTTGCATGTCAGCACTAAGCCACCACGGCGGTTTACACCTAGTTTGCATGTACAATTCTGAATTGTATTAGCAATACTACCGGCAATTGTGTTGGAAGAGGCAGGCATGCTACATGATTTCAATATATTACTATCAAACTGACAATTTGAAATGTCAAGTGACCGTAGAAAAGCTAGTTAAATAGGCAAGTGCATACGTGTGTGCTCTTGGTAACGCTGCAGGCGCTTAACATACAATAAAAGATAGAACGAAGTTCACAAGTAATCAGCGAACGGCGGCACTCGAAAGAGCACCGCAAACGACCTTGCAGGCAAAGAGGTTGCCGGCAAGCAAACGACGGCGATCGAATTAAAGCAGCCGCTGATTTCGTTCATCCACAGCGAGTGAGCTGCTTGGAATGTGTAGCGAAATCGACACGTCATAAATTACTGTGAGATCACGGTTCGCGCCGAGCTGCCGAGAAAAAACGCAGCGGGAGCGTTGCTAAACAGCTGTATCCCGGTTACGCAATCAGCTCTCGCCCGATGCTGGCAGCGGACTCCTTGCTCAAGGTTGAGAGATGCTTGCGCCAATTTAGCGTCGTTACGGGCTTTACGTCTACACATACAGTTAAGCAAACACAGGAAATGCGACGCGGCTTTGCGGTTCGTGTCAACAAGACAGCGTTCCTCGAGCATAGCGAGACAGCGAAATGGCAAATGAGCTGTCCAGCAGACGCGGCATATCAGCTGATTCAATCGGCAGAGAAAGGAGCGCTTCGGATGAGGACCGAAAAGTCAGTGTAGCGCACCGTGACAAGCTGTATCTGTTCAGCGAAACACACTGGAGACTCGATAGGTGATATTCGATATCATTACGTGTTTACGCGAAGTTTAATACCATCAGATCGCACATTTTCGGAAAGCGGCCTGTCTGACCGAACCAGAGAGGAGGAGGAGACCACGGGAAAAGCCCCTTTTATCCGCTTTGCCCCCCCCCCCCCCCCCCCCCAAGGCGGCAGTTCACTGAGGACGACTGAACAATAGAGGCAGCGTCTTGCCTTTTCCTGTGAGATTCCAGGGTCACTTTGTGTCCTTGACGAAGCATCAGACTAGCGCTCCTGGACTCCGTAGTGCTGTTACTAGGTTACACAAATCGGCTTGCACTACCTGCCATGGCGACTGAGGAGTTCTCGCACCGATCCAAAGGAGAGGTGTGTGCGCCGACAGCCAATCAGGTGCTCCGGTTTCATTGACGTCACGTTTTGAGCAACTTGACAAGCGGCGCGTGTTTTTTGTTTCTCTGTATGAATTTTTCGGTATGACGTCCGCCGTTGCAGGGACGTCTGGCGATGTCGTGCGTGGTACCGTCTGCCGAGGCAGTTGTGATTATGCCTATGCCGCGAAGCGAGAGATGGTGCGGTGTGATAAACAGGTTGCAGCACGTCGGAGTTCGTTGCGATTCCGTCCACGCTTGTGTGCGCCGTCGTACGATTTATTCGTCGGGTTTCTTCCGATATGTCGCTTTTTTATCGCGTTTTACGGGCCGATGCAATTCGTTGAGAGGCGTTTCACCGCACCGACAGCACTTGCCCATTCACAGAATAAGCTTCCGAAGCGTTTTGTTGCATGACACAAACAAGTGTAGGTAGTAAACAAGCAAGTGATTTGTTTCCCCGGAAGCTAAAATTGGAGCAGTCGAGAGTTGGGACAAAACGGCAGCGGGAGGCGAGAATAGCGTTTTTTTTTTTTTTTTCTTGCGGTTGTTGGCTTCATAAAACTCCCACAGACTCTTGTACATGCCGTTATATCTCTTAGAACGTGAACTTAATTCTGTTTCGACTGCGTCAAAATATCACTCATGAGCTGCCGGCGAGATCAGCTGGAAACGAAACTAAAGCTCAGCCTACGGAGCAAGGAATTCCTCCATTGCATCTGCCAAATGACTGACTCTGACTTGCCCACCAATCCAACGCAAGTAAGCAGCCGATCTGCACTCGGCTACTTGTCCGTTCTCGTATGTGTTATGTGTTTACTCGCGGTTTTCTCGTTCTCGTTTCGCCACTTTACAGTTCACGCTTTTTCCTGCAACCTCTTTCCTCCGTTGAGGCAAAGCTCACGGATCCCGAAGCCTGTTTCAGACGAGCATATACTGCGCAGTCGGACGGTTAGCGGTGCGGAGTCGTCGTTCGGTTTCGTCCCAGGTGTAATCGCACGGGTAACCGAGAGCGATGTTTCTAATCGGACTGACTGGAGGCATCGCGTCCGGTAAGAGCACGGTCGCCAGCATCTTGGTTTCTCTCGGAATCGATGTCATAGACGCGGACAAGATCGCCCGGGAAGTGGTCGAGCCCGGAAAGCCCGCCTGGGTCAAGATTCGTCGCGAGTTCGGCTCCGAGGTGCTACTCAGCGATGGCCAACTCAACCGCCCCGCGTTGGGCCGGATCGTTTTCAACGATCACGACAAGAGGCGGAGGCTGAACCACATCACCCACCCGGAAATACACAAGGAAATGGCCTTCCAGAGCTTCAAGCTATTCCTCAGGGGTCGCCAGTTCGTGGTAGTCGACGTGCCGCTGTTGTACGAGACCAAGACGATGCTGCGCTTTATGCGCAAGGTGATCGTCGTGAAGTGCTCATCCGCGCAGCAAATTGAGCGGCTCATGCTGAGGAACGGCTTCACCGAGGAAGAGGCGAGAAAGCGCATCGACTCTCAGCTCCCATTGGAGCAGAAGTGCGGCCTAGCCGATTACGTCATCGACAACACGGGCGATGCGGGGGCGTTGCGTGCCCAGGTTGAAGACGTCGTTCGCCAGCTCAGAGGATCGTGGGCGCATTGGAAAGTGCGCGGCGCCGTACTGGTCCTTATGGTGGGACTGTTAACGGGTGTCACGTGGTTGATAACTCGCGTCTCTAGTGCACTATAATTTCAACCCTATAACCTTGCCACGTAGTCTCACCCTCCGTGGACACTGCAACGTGCTTCTCGAAAGCTTCCGAATCTTTCTGTACCTGACTGTAGTAGCGCTAGGACAACATCACCAGGTTCCATTGCAATCCTTCAAAGCCTGAGGAAGTGAATCACACATGCTAACGCTTCGAAATTTTTGGCATAAGCATATACTACTGTATGCCTTGGAAGCTTGGGAAAGAACTATGCCCATCTACTACTGACATTGCAAGCTCTAGACATTAATCAAGTACTCATAACATGGAAACATAATCGTAATGTTAAATAATATATTTCAGTATTGGTACAAGGTGTATATACGCAGGCTTTTATAGCAAAAATATTTTTGTATTCATGTACAAGTTGTGGTATAAAGTGATTAATATATATATTATCTGTGATTCCAATTGGCTATGTCCCGTGTCATTTTAGATGGGGGGACATCTCATTTTTGGATGAATGATGGAATTCCTTTGATGCACTACTGGATTTAGAACTGCAACTGCGTCTTGATAACGATGAGATGTCGATACTGCTGGGCGGACTTTGATGCGTCATTTCACCGAGCTTCTTCACCAGTGTGACCATCTGATTCATCTGTTGGCACTGCTGTACATCTAATCGATCCAGCTTTTCTTTCATTTCTGTAATGCTCCACAATGCTGCACTTCGCTGAAAAAAAAAAACAGTAGTGGAACAAATTAGGCAATTGCACTATGTTTGGTATTGCTGAAATTAATATAAAAAAACAGTGCAATCTTGGAAAAAAATCACAGCATATCCACAGAGTGAATGATGAAGAGTGGGGCAAAGCATCCACGCATTTATCCATCCGTGTGTCTGTTCGTCTGTGCATGGGTCCATACGTGCAATCGCGTTCGAGAATGCATACGGCGCGCAGGTAACACCGACGAGACCCGAGCCAAGGAAGCCGAGCGCGAGCGTCTTCAACGTGCTCGTCGCTTTGCTTCGTCTATGCCCCACCAACGATCCGCCATGTACGGCGACTATCCAGGAGAGTGAGAGAGGCACCCGTTCTCTGCGTATCCAGGCACAGCCCGCGCAGCAGCCCATCGGAGTGTAGAGGTACAGCGCTATCTAGAATATCCTCACTCAACTGCAGTTTGTAAGTACTTCTATGAGACACTGCCGTCTATTATACTGTTTGGGAGATACTGCCTTCTTTTCTTTCTCGTCTCTTATTCTCTCCGTTACGCGTGACGCATGACAAGGTTAGACTGCGAAGAGCTTTGCCCCTAAAACAAGAGCAGAATGAGTCAGAATTGTTGGCTGTTTCCTAGATAAGATTTTCTTGTTTACGTTTTAGGAAAGAAGGAAGCTACAGTCGCACAAACTTGCAAAGAAAGTTGGTTGAAGGTTTGTTGAGATATCACTATCATCAAATACAAACGACATGGTTTGTAAGTGCTACAGAAGGAGGTCCCAAGGTAAATACCATCAGGGAGACCTCCTATTGGGAATGTATTGATAAAATACAGGGCACACAAGTGACGACGAGAAGCGCATTATGAACCGTGAATTTCTCAACAAAAACAGAAAAGCAAAAGCGCAAATAATTTTAAAGTTGCTAGGCATAGAACGTCAACAATAACGAAAAACTTGTAAATAACACACATATTCCAAAGAGTTACATCAATCAAAGAAAATGAAGAAACACAAGGTAAGAATGCTGAAAAAATGTTAGCATGAAAGCTGAGAGAAATGGTTCCTTAATGTCACTTAAAATATTTTTATATTATGACAAACTTTATTGATCAAGGGAAGAAAGTTTCATAGGCAAATACCTGAAAAAAGCGCTATTTGCCATAGTTCGAGTGTACTATCGGCAACAGTGAGCTAAGATCAGAGGAGAATCTAGTCAAATTTGTGTTTGCTAGGAAATAGGGTGGGATGCTTTCTAGTTCAACGTCAAGATGATGTGCACAAAAAATGAGAATACCCAGTTTCAATGAGATGGAACAATTGGTGGGGAGAATGCCGAGATTGCGGTACATGGGCATGGCAGACTCCCTCCAGAGACTGAAGGTGATAATTTTTATTGCTTTATTCTGCAAGTGAGCAAATCTTGGAGAGATGAATCCTGTAAGTGTTTCCCCAGGAAGAACAGCAATATGTTGAATGACTATGAATGAAGGCGAAGTATAATGCACGATGAATGTGCAGTGGAAAGAAGGGGTGAGTTTAATTAAAACAAGAATGCCGAAAGAAATTTTGGACGAAGTTGCTGCAATGTGTTTATTAAACTTTAGGTAATAGTCAATGGTAACACCAAGGAACGTCGTCGTATCAGAGGGGTGAATAACATGCGAGTCAATTGTTAGAAATGGCATAAATGGTGTGGTCTTACGTGAGGAATAAAATAGCATGAATGTAGTTTTCAGTGGGTTAATTTCTGCGGCGGTTTTGAATAGTTGGTGTAAGCAGAGCTTTGTGTGATCCGGAAGGATAGGGCAGCTATCACGATATGCATAATGGACATCGGCAACAAATTAACCCCGCAAAAGTTAGCCAAGGCACTGGTGATTAGTACCACTTACACTAGCTGCAGTGTGTAAGCCTCTTAGACATCTCAGAAGTGTCACGTAAGAGGACACATGCTTAATTGTAAATTGCACGTTAGTTCCAGCTATCTAGGAGAACTCCTTGGCATTAGCCCAAGAAAAATATGCAAGTCTTTATGGCTTAATGGTTAGAGCTAAGGGCTGTTCTGGAAGACCACAAGGTTTTATTGCACAATCAAGGACAAACTAATTTTTGTCTTCAGTGTGGGCCATTCAGCCAGACAGCAGCACACTGCAGCCTTGGTTAGCAAAGTTATGAAAGATTCACCAGTATAACTTAGCTTTAAGATTTCTTTTTGCCCCCTCGTCTGACAATTTAAAATTCTTTCGGTTCGCCCACTTTACCTCTGCACTTACGAAAAGTGTTCGGCAACAATTCTTTCGTCAGTTTCCAGAATTCAATCCTTTAAAAAACAACAATTTTATTATTAGATTGTGAAATAAGGTTCTTGCATGACATGTTGTAATCTGAAGAGTATAACTATACAATTACAGTTGTTACAACATGCTTGATATGTGCATATGCATTGACTACAACAAAAATAAAGTTAGTTGAAAGTTTGAGCTCATCTCTGTCTTCTGTGGCTGTGTAAATAAGTGCGCAACTATTTTTTACTGTCAAGTACGAACCAACTCCTCCACCAGTAAGCTTTATCGAAGGTGTTAAGCCAGGCAATGAGTAAGACAGAAGTAACACTGTGAGTCGCTTATCCTTTATAAAAAACTTCCCTTCAGCTGGCATTGCATGGAACGTGATGGGGGAGGGGCCTTTCAGTGGTTGTATATTCTAGTTAATGCTCACACGATCCATTACCTATTGCTGCATTGCATGCAGCTGTAAAGTACACATCATTAACAATCAAAGACCTAAATCAAAATTTGAGAGGAAGTGCAGGATCTCACAGCTTGGAAAAAAACATAACAAAAAAACTTGCAACACATATGACTAAGCTTAAGATCCCTTAAACACGTGTGTGACGTTTTTTATATCTTTCATTTATTCAAGTGAAGCCTCACATTACCGCTGATAAGGCACCACAAAATGCTAATTGGCAGTTTCTTCAAACAAAAAAATGCATGTTCAGGTAATGGGATCAAGAAATAAATGTACGTACAGTCTGGCACAAAAATTTACAGACCATGCGAGCACATGGCCAAAAGTTTCTTTGCGACACTTCCGCTACGTTAGCGGCAATTGACAGCACCGCAGCGCCCGAGCAGCAACCCTCTCATTATCTATGGCCTGTCTATTTTCTGACTGGGTAGAAATAATTTTCACCTTTCACTTTCTAATGTAACACACTTTTTGGCACATGCATCGATGTGCTTCTGCCTCGAGAGCACTCTATGCGCATAACTGTCATCAGTCGCAATGTTTATCACAAAGTGATGACTTGCCCATGAAACGCCGTTCGAGGCACAGCGTGATAGCTTTGATCCTGCTATGAAAATAGAAATGTGACGGTTACACAGTAGATAAGCGCTTTGCGTGAAAACTGCGAACTAACAATGCATTACACAGCAGTAGAAAATATAAAGGCTAGTGAATAACAAGGAAGAGCCGTTTTTGGTCTAGCACGATGGTCGACGATCGATGGCGCACCACTAGGTGGCGTGAACAGACAGTTTGGAACATGCTTGTGTGGTCCGCAACCTTCTGTGGTTGACTGTACATGCTTACTCTGCTGTCTTCAACCTCCACTATCTCTTTATCAGCCTCTGTGCCAACTTGAAACATCAAAACAAAGGGACTCAATATTGAAGAAATTGTCAGTGTTTGCATAGCTAAACTGTGTAACACATTGTGTAAAGGGATCCCAGACTTGTAAAACTGTTGATTGGTCTTTTTTTACTGCATTTTGTTTAGCAAAGGCACATTTTCAACATGCAATACTCTATAAAGCTATTCTCTTGACCGTACTTACATCGTTTGAGCGACATAAGGAGCCAGTGGTCCTCCCTGGAAGAGTGGGAGGCAGTTCGAGCAATGAGCGAAACTCAAGTTGTTGCCTTCTTAACTTCTTCAGCTCATCCTGGAGCTCCCTGTATATATCTGGAGGTACACTCTGCCTGCAATGCAATTTTTTTTTAGTGTGAACGACATAACCGAAATGAGTAACCAGCCACTTCCCTCAAAATAACCAAAAGAATATATATTCTGTGACACGTTTCAATTCTGCTTTGCCCCTACACAGTTCTGGGACGAACATCTACCAGTCAGTTAATTGCATGGCACTTATTCCCGTGCCAACCGACTACCACTGCCACACAGCTGAGATTATTCATGTATCTCGAATGAAACATTTCATAATTTGTGCTTCTTCGATTTATGCTACAGCCGGAATGGCTGCTCTAGTGTGTGGAAAATTAGTGTGGTCATTCGTCTTCGTTCTGCATACATGTTTATCACTGGTGTGGTGCTGTTCTTTGTCATTAAGTATGGCGACTAGTTTTAACTGTGATCTGTGCCTTGAGTGGGAATTAACTTTTGGTTGCAATAAAGGTTGGGTCTCGGTGTACGTGCTATCAAAATTCAGCAGACACCTTGAAAGGTTGTATGTCAAATGTCAACTGATGGCTTCCTAGCAGATGTGACAAGATAAATTCATTGGTTAGCTCTTTCATTAATGCTTCAAGGTACGTGAGTGCAGTGTCTCATGAAAATGCGAGAGTGCGCCACACAGGTGACCTTCAATCTTGTCATGTAATGGAACAAAAGCCACACACTGAAGGTAACACGCCATCGAAGATAACAATATCAGACAGTACTTTAAAATGTGAACGAATAAAAATGTCAGTGTGGCTTTCAGCTTTCAGGACTAGTTCATTAATTTTATCAAATGATAACAGAGTGCTAGGGATATGAACGAGGAAGACACGCTACTGTTGCATCTTCCTATGACACCTTTTAATGAATGGTGGCTAGCGCTATGACACCTTTTGGTGAATAAAAATGTGTAGCGAGAAAAATTCCACTTGCAATTCGAACTTGTGGACTGTGTATTGTGGAATCATTGATCCGCCCCGCCGTATCTTTTGATATACATTTCAATTAAGTCACCACCATAGGTCGGAAAAACTTGTGGAGCTCACTCAGACTCGTGAAAATTTTCCTGAGCCGGGATCACTCGGACTCACACTGGCAAACATTTTCTTTAGCCGGACTCACCAAAACATTACTCACCTGAACTCACTGAGACTCGTAACTCGATCTGAGTCCGAGTGAGTCGACTCATGAGTCCGTCAGCCTAGAAGTAGCTTTTTCGATCGCGGTGTCAATGCACTTTAAGACCAATATTTCATGTAATCGGTGCTCTTCTTGCTGCCTTTTGACATAGCATCTTCAAAAACGAGTTTTGAGTGCTTCCAGACTAGTAAGGTCATTTTTCTTGAAAGAGATGAGAGCATAAGACACAATAATGAACAAATTCCCTGGAAGAGTTGGTGGGTGGGGGGAGGTCAAGGCACTCCCATAGGTAATTTACGGCTGTAATTGATAAATATTGAAATGGTGTATAAACCACAATGCTTTAGAATACCTATGAGTAAATGCGAATCCATATAAGGCTGATAGCAATGCTGAAAATGACTAGATAGAACCTTATGTCGGCAAAACAAAATGTAACTCATTCAGACTCGCTCTAGAAACGTATCCTGTGCTTAGGACTCACTCTGACTCACCAAAATGTTCCTGAGCCGAATTCACCTGGACTAACACGCAAATTTGATTCCACCGGACTCAGACTTGCGAAAATATTAATCACTGAAACTCGGACTCGCAGCTCCGAGTCTGAGTGAGTCGACTGGTGAGCGAGTTTGCCGACCTACGGTCACCAGACTGACCACTGTAAATTTTGGCAAGAATACCTGGGTATTGATGAAGAAGTGTCCAGCAGTAACTATCTTGAATACATCCCAACTTGCTTATTGAGTAAAAACACAGAACAAAGTGCCTTGCTAATTCCTCTAGCTGTGGCTGCAAATGAGCTCGTGTGGCTGCAAATGAGCACGCGTGTCGTGCGTCTGCAAATGAATCTTCCTTTGTGTTTGTGCATTCAATAGTTAAGCACTAGGTTGTGCACATTGCCTGCTTTTCTCCATTGCTGTGGGAGTGTTTGTCCGAGAAGTGATCCGATTTGTGTTATAATAAATTTGTTGGCAGTCAGGCATGTAATGTGAATCCGTCGGCACGAGCGGCAGCTCTATTCTGCATGAACTGTTCACTTCGGAGGCGTATAGCAGAAGAAGCTGTGTGAGCCCTCTACTTACCTTACGTGACCAGCTTCAGCATGCTTTTCTTGGATTTCCGATTTCAGGCTTTTATCTTTGATCGGTACGAATGCACAGCCTTACGGTACTCCCTGTTTCTCTTCATGGCGTCAGGAGAGGCGTAGAAACGAAAGCAATGCAAAAGAAGAAGTATGAAAATAATATGATTTACACGATGAACTTACAGTGTTCCTGTAAGACCCGCAGGTCACATGATTAAATCCTGGCCACGGTGGCTGTATTTTCAATGGAGGTAAAAATACCAAAGGCTTGTGTACTTGGATTTAGGAGCATGTTAAAAAAACTAAGGTGGTCAGAATTTCTGGTGCCCTCCACTACGACATCTCTCATAATCATATCATGGTTTGGGGCTGTAACACCTTTAAAGTATGTTATATATTGGCATTCCTATAAGTTTAATAGTAACAATGATGTATTCTCACCATGTATTACCACATATAAATATAATGGCTTGCAATCAGGGAAAGCAATGCTGTATTATTCAAAGATTCAATGCACAAATCAACCAGGAAGAAAAAATAACATAAAGATATCAGAAACTAGGTGTAGACCAAGCCAAATTCACTCTTAATGATTTGTATGCAATCATTTATACTTAGTTTTTCCACTAGTATGCATAAAAAAGGGTTTGAAGGCATGGTTTGTATCAATCTGGTCTTCAAAAGAAGAAGCACGGGAGTTACATGATCTTGAGGCTCCCCAAAAAGGACATTTTTCATTGCTACAATATGCACTATCGATGCTCTCCACACACCGGAGCTGGACAACACGTATAAAATCATTTACTTTGACATGAAAGTTTTTGTCACCCAGAATCTGCTGATAAACATTATCACAATGAGTCAACACAGTTTACCGAGTTTACAAACTCTGCATCCTGCGTGACGCCTAAATCGCAGAAATCGCTGGACAACAATTCACTCATTTTTCACGTGAACCACATGCAACAGACAGCGAATAACAGAGCTGCTGCTAGTACATCATGAGCTGCCATGTTTCCGTGACATCAGACTTGCATTGACAAGTTCCTCGTTACCAAAAACAAAAGTGCTTTGATGAAGTAGTGGTATTAAGGATACATGCAATGAAATTTCAAGCTCTGCCGCGCTCTTTATAGGGTCCCCGACACCTGTGTTTTTATTTTAGAGCAACAAGCTGAAAATATTATTTAAATTTTGTGTCAGCACTGCTTTAATAGTGTCGACAATTTTCCAGCAGCTGCTCTTGTAAAAAATGTATCGACAGTATACATATGTTATGGTAGCTGGGAAATGGTGGAATGCCATGTAACTTTAACACTACCTCATCATTGTATGAATGATCAGATGTCTAAGACCTGCTCAAAGCTTGTGTTTTTATACTCATGTGAGCATGCAAGGTTCGACTCACTTGCTTCAAAGCCCTCAATTTCCAGTTGAACTCTTTATGGGCTTGCCGTAGCTCAGCTTCAAGCTCCTCAATTCTCTTCACAAAGTCGTATTTCTCTTGCTCCCAGGCCAACTTCATCTGCATACCAGTCCTGTTCGCTTTGCTCCGAGAGTTTAATAGTATTGACCTGAGCAGCCTGAAAGCATGCATGCGCATCTGTTAGTAATGTTCTTATGGCATCTCAGTGATTATAAGTAAACCAGAATATTTAACACATTGTGAATAGGGACAAATTAAGAAAAAGCATCAGGTTTGCCCATTTACTTCTTTTGTTGTCCTGCAATATGCGTCATTTTCTGAAACCCACCAAAACATGTGATGACAATGCAGAACCAACACCTGCTCCCCTGTAGCTCTGTGATGCACCTAAAGTTATAAAAGCTAGTAAAACATCAATCAAATTATTGAATGGTTAGACATAAAGCTTATGAAAATATTCCTTAAATCACATTTTTACAAATCAATTCAGCATGTATTCAATGGCTTTAATAGCTTTTCTGTTAACAATGCTTCAGTGATTTAACACGGATAAACTAGAAGGTTATGTTGGATGACAATATATAGCAATGATGATGCAGTTTTTTAAGTTGGGACTGAATGACCTTGCTGCACTAAAATGGAAGAAATTACAGGCATGCACGATCTGTTTGAAGAACAAGCAGCTATTTAACCATGCTTGATGTAATGTTTCAGACCAAATACTGTGTCGTCTGAATCTTCTTGTTCCTTTTGATGTTTTGAAAGCATTACCAGTCAACAGAGCCACAAGTGCAAAAATATGAATTTGTTTACATCAGTAATTAAGAGATTAAGACAAACTTCTCTGACAAGTTGAGTCCCCAAAAGAAATCTTGCGCGTACATTTTCAATGAAGGAACCACCGAGTACCTGCAGTTCAAGTTGAAGAGCCTCAATTTTTCTTGTGAACAGCTCCTTCTGCTCCTGCAAATCCTTGAGCGCTGCATGACTTTTTTCAAGTTCCTCCTCAGACAGAGCCAGACGTCTTTGCAAAACTTGGTTCTCAGCAACAACATTGTTTGTATCTTCCCGTGCACTTGACACTGCCTTCAGCTTGGCCTTCAGTGCAAGCACCTCTTCTTCAAATTCCTGTCTTTGGCTGTCCTGCGCTTGCTTTAAATGCTTAATCTGCTTTTCACTTTCACCGAGCCTCTCAACTGCGGCTGCTTTGGCAGTGGCGATTTCTTTGAGTTTAGCTTCCAGAAGAATCTTTTCAGATTCGAGTCTTCTCGCACGATCCCAGTCCTTTGTTCTTGTGGCATGGTGTTTTTTTTCAAGCTCCTTCTCTTTCTCAACCAAGAGCTGTTTCTGGTCAGCGGTGCCTTTAATGGCTATCTCGGCATCTGCTTTGGCACCTGGAAAAGAAGGAAATGTCTCGTTTCTGTATCGCACTGCTCTTACAGGTGATTTGCAGGCTGTAGTGGCACACAAACAATGTAGGACTTACTTGCCAGCTCCAAAAGAGCTTTCTCGTATTTGGCTTCAAGCTCAGCCCTTTGGTGGACAGCATCCGTCCTCAGCTGTAGAATTTCGGCCTTGTGTTTATGTTCAGCCAGGGATATCGTGTTTCTTAGGCTGAGCTTCTCTTCTTCAGAAGATATGAGTTGTTGCGAAAGTTGGTTTATCTCTTGTCGATATCTGGGCAGCATCTCCTCCAGTGCCTCTCTTTGGGACAGGGCACCTTTGAGCTTTGTTTCTATGATTTTGTTGGACTCCTCGGCAAGTGCGAGCTCTTCGACATGTTTCTGTAGAGCTGCTTGTTTCTCCAGAGCAAGGTCATGTTTTTCATTTCTCAATTCCTTAATTCAAGAGAAACACTCTTCAGCTTGCCTCGTAAGTCTGCATTTTCTTTCTGCACATCAAGGAGCTGCATCAGAACATCTTCTCCGCCAGCATTGCTTTTCTCGGTCTTTAAACTTTGGATTTCCACTTTGAGTCGATTCATCTATTGAATGACAAACAGTGAATGAATGGTTGTAAATTGTGCAATTTTACACTTGCTAGAGGTTTTAACGTAAGGTGTGACCCATTTAATACAGTACCTCAGCTCTGTGCCTTGAGATTCTGCTCCTGAACAGCTCTCTGGTGGTTTTTTTCTGCACTTTGTAACATAGATTTCATGTTTGTGAGCTGAACATTCGCTTCGTGCAGGGCTGATTTACATCTTTCATGGTTTGTCTGAAGCTGCTTTGTGTAGTCTGCAAAACTGTTACGAAACTCCTCTTCTATTTTTTTCCGCAGATCATCCTCGCAAATAGAGCTTAACTGAAAGAAAAGAAAAAAAATTGTACACGGAATCACGCATTACCGTATCACGTTGTCTAAACCTATCGCCCGAAATTTGTAACACTTTCCTTACCTTTACACGAAGCTCTTTAATTGTGGCCTCTTTTTCTGAAATGATCCTGTCGGCTTTTTGCAGTATGTTGACATGATTGGACCGGACGTCTTGAAGGGACTGCAAAGTGTTCTTCAAGTCCTTTTGGAGCCTCACGTAATCTTCTTGAAGACTGATCAAGGAAATACCACGTTCACGCTTTCAAAATATTACTGTACTCAGTGTACTTACCTCACATGGGCAGCTTTCAGTTTTTCAAACGAGTTTCTGTGCGAGTCATCTGCGCGGTGTTTTTCGTCGTAGTTTGGGACATCATCTATATCGTATGGTGAAGGGTTTAGCGTCATTATCTTGCTTGCGTTACGCGCTGAACTACTCAGCTACATTCAACATAGATGCGGTATCGAGACATTCTTTCCGTGCACGCGCATTTCAACCGTTGGTTCGCATCGCGTATCCACAACAAAGTTCATAACAACCGCTACAGAGGTAGCGCCATCTACAGAGCACTTGCTTTGCCGCATTACATGCGCATTGATGAGTTTGTTGCGATATACTAGTGTATATATCATGTTCTATAGCAGTCACTTTTGCCATTTAGTGGCCCTTGAGTGATAAAGGTTCAAATGCGGTAAACAGCAAACGACAAACTAGCAACAACAACCGTATCAACCCAGCAGGCCACGCGGCCACGCTACGCCTAGCGGCGTAGCCGAGAACTAGAGCGCGCAAGTTGATTAATTCGCTCGATCCGTGAAGCAACCGAGAACTGCCCACGCAAGGCACGGGTTCACTCAGAGCTTGTTGGCGCTTAGTGGGGGGCGCGATGTCGACGCTCAAGATGTCGCTCATCAATGTTTTCGCAAGAACAGACTCGAATGAGGACTGAGGGGCTCTCCGGACATCGGCATCTGCGCCTCGTCCGCTATGCAACTCCCGTCGATGGCCCGATTCTCCGTTTGATGCGTGCCGCGTGCGGCAAAACGCCACCACTCACTGACGTGAACACGACGTTTGTGCAGCCAAGATGAAACAGACCTCTTCGTCGGACTCGGGAACTGCCAACACAACCGATGTTTGCGCGAACGACGATGCTGCTGTCAAGAAGCCATGCAGAGTGTGGTTGGTGCCCGCTTGGATAGCGTTCAGCTTTGTCGCCGTGCTGGTGATCGCACTGGGAATGCTCGCATTGTGTTTGTTCAGAGTGAACGCTCTTGAAGGAAAAGTTGCGAGCTTGGAGGAGCGCACGTACCAGCTTGAAGTCCGGAGTGATGGCCAGGCGGCTGACCAGCTCTCATCGGCGTTCCTCGCAGCGAGGACGGCGAAGACGGCGGCGAGACGTCGAGCCCGCCTGCCTGTGTCCTCCAGGACCACCGGGACGACGAGGAAGACGTGGAGCGAAAGGTGAAATAGGAGAACTAGGCCCTCCTGGTCCGCCTGGGCTCCCGGGTAAACCAGGCTTTCCGGGCGCAATTGGCATCGACGGCCCTAAAGGCGAACCGGGCCCCATGGGACTTCCCGGTGTGGCAGGATCGAAGGGCGAAAAGGGGGACAAAGGTGAAGGCGTCTTCGTGCGTTCCACTAAAGGCATGAAAAGGTCCGTGACTCGGCTGCATGGTGGCACGCTTGGATACACTGAAGTAATCGCCATGAAAGGTGCTCCTGGTGAACCGGGACCGCCAGGACCTCCGGGACTTCCGGGTTTCGATGGAAGAACAGGACCGCCGGGGGACGTGGGACCTCCTGGTCCAAAGGGTGACAAGGGCGACCACGGCTTCGTCGGCCTGCCTGGGGACCCGGGCATTCCCGGTCTTCCCGGCCCGAAAGGAAATATTGGTACGAACGGCCGTGATGGGCCCCGAGGTGAGAAGGGAGACCCTGGCGGTCCGGGCACTCCCGGTGTGGACGGTGAGAAGGGAGATAAAGGAGAGCCCGGGTCGGTTGTGACAACAGACGGTGTTTCCATTCCCACTTCTTTCGTGCAGGGCCCCCCTGGCCCACCAGGTCAGAAGGGTGAGGCGGGTTCGAAAGGGCCGGTGGGACCAAAGGGAGAGAAGGGGGATGAGGGTAAAAAAGGCAAAAGGGGTCGAATTGGCATTTTCGGTAAGCCGGGAACAAAAGGTGAGAGAGGAGACCTTGGCCTGAAGGGGGAACGTGGAGTAACTGGTGAGAAAGGAGAAAAGGGCAGTTCTGGTGACCCAGGCCCTATTGGTGAGCCGGGAGAGATGGGGCCACCCGGTGCCATGGGTTTAATGGGCGAAATGGGGCTGCAGGGGCTCCCAGGCCTTCCTGGCTATCCGGGCCCCAAAGGTGAAAAAGGAATTCAAGGGGATTATGGGCCACAAGGAATGATGGGACCGCCTGGGCTCTCGGGCCCTCCAGGAAGGCAGGGATCGAAGGGAGATAAAGGTGACAAAGGGGAATCATCAGTAGCCAAGTATGCGAGGCACACTCTTTTGGGTGCCATGGATGACAGGGCCTTTTCCATGATAGGTGGGCCTCCTGGTCCACCTGGCATGCCTGGTGAACCTGGCCTTCAGGGGCCGCCCGGTATCAAAGGGGCCAGAGGAGCAGACGGGCAGAAGGGAGAACCAGGAGAAAAGGGCGAAGCAGGCAGTTCTGGTCCTTTGGGCCTCCCTGGACCTGCTGGTTCGAAAGGAGATCCAGGGAAACCAGGTTTTGATGGAAGGCCTGGCTTAACTGGTGAACGAGGTGAACAAGGACGTAAGGGCGACAAAGGGGAACCAGGAATGCCTGGCCTAGATGGCCTTCCAGGTCATCAAGGGGAGCCTGGTATTCCAGGTCTTAGAGGCAAACCTGGGCGAAAGGGGGATAAAGGTGACAGTGCTTGGTCTGCAGACCCCTGCCCACCTGGACCGAATGGTTTGCCGAGCAAAGGCTGTGCAGGAGATCGCAAAGCGGATGGCCTGCCTGCTGCTGCTTTACCAAAGCACCTAAGCTTCCATTAGTGCATTCTCTTCATTTTATAACTTCTGTTGTGTAAAATAATGCGTCAGAGGGTGGGTGCCTTTGCAGACTTGTGCTAGTTTGTTTTCACTGTGGATAGGTCATATTTTTGTGTCTTGGTTGTGTTATGTGCGTGCATCATGTCTGTCTGTCTGAAATTTTGTGAAGTCTTTCATCAGTGTCATGCTCTTTTATTTTGTCATAGCTTCACTGACTTTAGGATTTTATGCCTTCATGCCATCAGAACATCTTGTTCATAGAAAACATCCTCTGAAATAGTTCCTTTTTGCAAGAATGCTGCAGGTATTGCTCTCAACTTTGCACAGCTGTGGATTCAGCTGCTTTATGGCTGAATAATTGCCTTGTAAGGTCTACAAATCCTCTCAAGTTGTTGCTTATCCTTGCATACAAGTATCTAGCTTCTGTGATGCCGTCCTAGCAGTTCAAAGTATGCACAACATATAGGACTACGTGCTTTCTGAGTGCTGTTTTAACCTGCATGGTGCATTCAGTCTCAGTAACAAGCTTTTCAAGCCTTCGTATGTGGTTAACCTGCAATGCTGTGCTCCATGGCAGCTATGGGCAGTCTTTTACTGTGAAGGCCTACCATGCATGAGTTTTCAATAGGGGCAGTTTTTTTCACTGCAGTAGGAATGTAAACATAGATATTAGCAATAGAGTACTGGTAGTACCTGCCTTGGATTGATCTCACAGAGCCTCTGTTCCTGCGAATCTTGTCCTCTGCTACATTCCGTGCACTGCGCAGAGTTCTTAAGCAGCGATACTCTATGAATCTGTTTATACTAGTGCCAAATACAAGTGCTTTTATACACACTTTATCTGTACACCTTTTATACTTGTGTTGTTTTATTTTGCAACAGGATGTATGCAGCTTTATTTATATTATGCTAATACAAACCTTTACTTACACTTTTACCTCTCAATTCATGTAGCTTGGCATGATGTACTCTAATATAAATACATCTGTTTTTATCTTCTTGCTGCCTGTATAGAAGGAAAATAATAAACACATCTTATGTGTGATGGAGTGCGTGGTATATCTCAACATTCTCGCCGAGTTAATGGCTGAAAATGTGAAGTCGTTTACTTAAACCATTGAAGCATCTAAATCGCTATCAACAGTCAGTGATTCTTGAAGTCCAACTTGAATTATACTTTTTATTCATTTGCATCTCAGAAGCTGAACATTTTTTCTAATTGCCTTCAGAAGTTGACGCTGCCTACATATATTGCCATTGCAGTTGGTTGAGAGCTTTTAAAAAAATTCTTCAAATGTAGATGCTAGTCTGTTATGGCTTAGTGTGCAGTTTCATCATCAACTATCTGCTTCAAACGGTGAGGAAAAAGTTTTCTGGAGTGTAGCCATGTTTCCTGCCTTGCTTGGAGAATACTAATCTGGGTACAACTGAAGAAGTCAGAAGAGCCCCCACCTAGAAGGTTGAAGCATGGTGATTGGTCGCTTCTCTGTCCAAAAAATAGTCATACTGATGCACTCAGCAACAGTCACAAAGGGCTGTCACCGGCCATTTGACTCGCGACATCATCTTGGAATGTCTGATTATCAGTGAAGATTTTTATGCATTTGCCTTTGAGGAGGAAATGCTGCAGACTTTTAATGTACCTGATTGTAACGGTTGGTGCTTCTGCGAAGAATTGATATTGCTACTAAGTTAATGTAGGAAGCTAAACCAGGGTTCCCAAAAATGAGCTTATTAACTAAGCCATGGTTTCTCAAAGTCCTGCAGAAGCTCCTTGAGGTTTCGCAATCCACTGATAAATTTTTCCTGGTTTCACGTGTGCCAAGTCATTCGGACGGCATACTTGAGGTACAATCGATGTAAGGCACTTCCTTTACCCACGCACATTTGTTGGTTCAAGGAGAGTGAGCTAAATTGCATGTCAGTAAATGAATATTTATTTACCCTTGTCTTTCAATTGGCTGTACGTGAATATAGCTTTAACTGAATGGAAGATGGTTGCATGAAAGCAGGGTGGAGGGGGAGATTTCTTGGTACCTAATAAAGCTTAGCAGGGTTCCGCAGGACCAACATGTTTAAGAACTCCTGAACTAAGCCATGTGATGTCGCATGTGCAAGGGACAATGGATTGAGAGGGCCCATTTTTGTTGAGACAAAATGACATGAAGCCGACGTATACTAAAGTTGGGAAAAACGTACGGGGCGATTTCTTTTTCGTAATTGAATTGTAATAATTATAACAAATGCCAAAGTGGACGAAAAGGCAGCTAGTCGCCGATAGGGACCAAATTCACAACCAACAGCCACTAATTATCATTGAAACATGAGGGACTGTCTGAATGGGTACCTGTACGTCAATTGTCTTGACTTAAGCACACATCGACAACTTGAGCAGAGTCGGTGATCAAGTTTCATCTGTAAATCTCGGTGGCTATATGTTATACAGTAGGCCCTCAGTAAACAGAAATGTCCTGAATGTAACTGCAGTTTAAATGGAACAAGTGCTTCTGACAAGATAGGTTTCGTACTTGTATTCTCCATCCTTGTTTATCTCTCAGTTAACCGGGCGCTTCAGTTTTGTCTGGTTCCATTCAATGAAAGTGTACTGTAGCCGCTCATAAAACCTAAGTGCATACAAGCTTCTGTGAATCCTACGAACACATACATGTCCAATATAAGCTTGCTCACCCAACAATTCCAGCGCTTGTTTGTGTCTCTTCTCTTCGTCCCTTGAGTTTGTGCGCTGTTTCTGCCCATAATGTATCACCAACTAGCCCAACTTTCAGTCTTGCTTAAGCTTGATAGCTTGTCTAGAATGATTGAGCGAGCAAGTTTATTCTGGATGTTTGACGTCTGGCAGTATCAGCCGGAGTCAAAGTTGTTAGAACGAAGCTGTTACTGTGCTGGCTGTATAAGTGATGTGCTAGGATGTTCCATGCGATGTGCTAATATGTTGTGCGCACATGCAAGTTTATGCAGGGGCGGATTCAGCCAGTGGTTTTTGGGGGGCCGGTCATCTGAAGTAACATTGGAGAGGGGGGCATGGTCATCACTTCTTGATCTTAGTAGCGGAAAAACCCCTTGATAGCATAAATACTGTTCATGTGTGTTGACAGTGCTTTTGCTCATTAGTCCTAATTCATGATAGGAGGTGAACTACAAGCACTGAAGTCAGGAGTGGTGCTGACACAGACATTGGGGGAGAGGGGGGGGGTGATTGCCCCTACTACTCCCCCTCTGGATACACCACTGAGTTTGTCTTACAGGTTCAGGAACCACCATTTTTTCTGAGCTGTGGCTCTGTCTTCAAGTAGGTGACATGCAGCCCCAAGCATTACAAGTTTGCACATTCAAGATGTTTGTTCTTTTATAATTAATTTAAAACTCAGCAGATGCTCCCAGATAAATCTTAAGTGGCCTAACTGGTCAGGCTTATATACCTTTGCAATCAAAATTACTCTGTGTACCACATTTGAGCCTGCATTGTCAAAAGAATTTTGTTCGGGGACCAAAACTCTAACAGTAAATGTTTTGAATGTAGAATTCGTAAAGTGTCGCCATTTACCCCATAATGAAGTTTTGATAGTTCTTTTTTGGCCAGTTTTATATGAAATGATTTACATCCTTTAATATGCCCTAAAGCCATTGCTTCTGCAATAAAAATTTCAGTGTGACAAAACTGCTTTTGTAACAATATGGTAAGTATTACAGCCTGCTACGTCACAGTAAGCAGCTGTTGTAGCACCTGAACTACTAGAGTTGTTTTTTTTTTTCGATGGAGTAAATGGTGCTCCGCAGGCCAAGGCCGTCTCGCCACAAAGCACTCCGTGAGAACCATTGAGATATGTACATCACATGAATGACGAGACCCTCTCCAACATTTCTTTTTCAACATGTTGCTCCAGCTATGGGTTACATATTGCAGTTTATGCTGAACTTGACGGCGTCATTGTAACTCTGCAGTTGATGAGCTGCAAGGCACAGAATGGTGCCACTGGTTGAGACTTTGGTTGTGGCGGCCATATTTATGAATCAAGAATGAAATGACAGGACACTCTGTGCAACAAAAAGTTAAAGCACTTAGGGTGGTTTGAAGCAAAACGTCAGGCCTGCATGAAACACGTACCACAAGCACAGCAAAAGCTGAAAGTGCAGCCTTTCTTTTGGACTTTGTATGTTACCACTTATTTGCAATTTAGTGAGTTTTGCACAGCACAAAGTTTACTGACCAAACCAAAAACACTTTATTTGCAATGCTGTTGCAATTCATAAATACAAAAATGGCACAAATGTATACAAGGTGTCAAGGAGCTCTTGCAAAAACGTTTCACCTGTACGAGTTACCATATGAAACAGCAAAACAAAAGTAATCTACACTTAGAATAGCATTTCAAAGAAGATGTCACACTGAAGCATACTTCTGACAACAAACTTTCAAAGAAATGGCAGGTGCACAGCAATGAGCAGGGTTGCCAGAAAGGAAAAAGTGTTTGACAATGGCTCTGAAATGAAATCAATGATCAGACATCAAAGCTGGTCAGGTAGTTAGGTTTTGCCACGAGAAAAAGGAAGCATGCAGAGAATAGGTGGTTCATACATATCGGACATTTCAGCTTCTGCAAGCCAACACCAACGTATAAACAGTGAGCTTAAATATGCGAGTTAGATATTAGCATCTTGAAAGTGCATGCCACTGTCACAGTGCAGTGTTCTGTTGGTGGTCGAGGAACTTTGGGATAGTGTCGTGATTTGCTAATTCTTTCCTTTGCAATGATAGAAGCCTAGTTCCTAATCACAACACTATGACAAGGCTTGCATTATTGACAAAGATGTTTGAAAAGATCAGATCACTGTCTCGGGTCTTCTGCTTTTCAGATCATGTGGTAACATAGAAAATTTTCCACCTGCCTCGGTCAGCTACTAAAACTCGCTTAATTTTACCAGTTAGTGTTTGCCAACAAAGCTTCTGTAGACAAGCTAAGAATTGCAGAACTTACTAGCAACAAAATGTGCTCGGAATAGATTTTTTTTTGCAATGTAAGCAATTGTATTGTAACTGCTCATGAAACTTGAAAGTGTTTCATGTTTTGTGAACAAAGTACTTCTGCATTTTACAAGTATGGTTATGAGCCTGCTCCGCATTTGCTTTAAATAACTATGCTCTGAAAGGGCTCCCTAGTCACATGAGAACAGCACCAAGTGTTCATAGGTGCATAAATATGGAATAAGGGCCTCCAAGGCAATCCGACATCAATATTTTCTATGATGGTAACGTTACTTGCGGTCGAGGTGTCAGAACAAATGTTGTAGCACACTAAATACTGATGACACTGATGAAACGTTTTTGTAAAGAGTGAACAACCATGCGTTATGTATTTAGATGCCACATGTTAGTTTTATATTATGTTCCAAAATGGAACATTGAAATAAAATGAATATATGCTATAATAATGCAAATATGTACATTTCCTTGTGTACAAAGTGAATGCCAGATAATAAAGGATAGGTTTAAGAGCCTCTTATAGCCATGGCCAGCAACAGAATGCATTTGGACACCCATTTTTAGATCTGAATTCTTGAAACTAGAGCTTGACTAAATTTTTGGAAATGGATTTGCTATTGTCTGACACAAGAAATAACAAATAGAAGCTGGAAACTAATTTGTAGCACCTCACTGCGCTTTGCAGAAGTCGCAATGAACCAATAGTTTCACAGAAGCCTGATGTGCAAGCATAAATATGAAATGTGTGCTCCCTAAATGCGTGTAAAAATGTTGCTGGCAGTACAACCGAGAACAGGCAATTAGAGGCATTTCCATACTCAGTGGACTTAACTATAAAGATCTTTTTTGTGCATAATAATACAAACTTGCACACGCTCAATGGTGGCCGAACTCTGGTCAGCACACGCTGCGACAGAATACTCAGTTTACAAGGTAAGTTCAGCTCATGGTCGATACTCTGACTCGGAGCCCCTATCCGAATCCTGGTCTATTTCCTCTTCTTCCGCGTGGTCATCATCTTCACGCTGCCGCTTTCTTCCCCGGTACTGACGTCCTGGTGCTCTCGCCACAGGCTGCTCAGCTTCGCCATGGACAAGGCTGGTACGGTAAAGGATCAGCGGCTGCCAATCATCAGCTCGTGAAGCAGGCAGTTTAGCTTGGACGTGTCTGTCCAAATACTGAAGTACGACCTTCTTGTCCAGCTTCATCAGCTTGTTTGTGAATTCACACAGAAGCTCCAGGAAAGGAAGGTTTGGCGGTGGGCCCAGGGGGTTGAGCGGATTCTCGAATGGCGTGCATGCGAAAATGATGCCTTCACGATGAAGAGCTGCGACCGAGTCTCGATTCTTGACCTGGTCAAGTCCAAAGGACAAGGCGAACCGCTTGGCCAGTTCCTTGATGGCTACAAAATTTTCGTCTTGACGGGATATGTTTCCCAGTTGGTCCCGCTCGAGGGCGCTGAAGAGGGAAGTGAGCGACTGTACCATGGTGCGTGCACAGTTGACTTTATTTATCTCGCGAGCTTTCCCCAGAGTTGCTTTGATGATGTCCCCGTAATCATTGTAGAATCGAACGTAGTGCTTGAAGACGTCTGCCGCTGGGCGCACACTGATGACGTTGTACACCACGAGCTTGCAGAAGGAGGCCAAGAAGTTGCGGCGCTTATGCAGCTCTTCAATTTTGCGATGTTCATCTTGCTCATCTTCGGCAGCCGAGTTGTCTTCCACGAAAACGTTGTTCTGGATGAAGTCACCAAGGTTTGCCTGCAGGGCACGATCAGGTTCGTAGACTAGAGCATTGAAGGGCTCACTGTCGCCCAGTTGCCTGCAGAAGATCATGAGCAGGTCACAGATGCTCACAAAAGCCTCTTCTTGCAGTGCTCCGGTGCAATGGCGAAGCATATACACCATGGTGTCCATGAACTCGCGGAGACGGTTTCTCAAGGCGTGTACGTGCGCCATCTGAATGTTGCCTTCATCCAGCACTGCCAGATCCCACATGATACCTGATGAACAGCATGAAATTGCATGCTTCACACCTTCCAAAGACAAGCTTCGTTCTCCTGCACCCTTTACCCAATAGTCGAAAATTCCTTCCCAGATGGTCCAGGGACCCAAGTTGTGGCAACCGTAGAATATCGACACTTTCTTGAGTGCCGACTGCACTGCATAGATGTCATCGTCATCAGCGTCTTCTCCAGCTTCAGAATAAGCAGACAGGGCCTGCTTGTATCGGCCCACAAGAGAATCGATCAGTGTTCCCCTTGACACAGCACAGCGTGAATGAACAGCTAGTTCTTCACAGCACAGAGCCTCATAGGTTCTAGCGCATGTTTCAAGCACTTCCGTGTTGTCATGACGCTCGACAATCTCTTGTATAAGTTTTAGCAGCGAGTCAAGAGACTTCTCTTGCCGACTGGATGTGTAGATCTCCAGGTCAAAATACTGAGGAAGCACCATCAGGTTAGCAATTTTTTCCTGGTCCGCGATGTACTTGCTGAGGAGGCTTGGGAGTGACTGTATGAAGTGCTCAGTTAGCTTGACACGATCATCAGCAACCTGCTTCATCTCCTTGTTTGACATCTGTTTGCGATTGGGTCCTCTTCCAACTGGTGGCTCACCTGTGGCAGCTTGTTTGGTGCAGCAGACCATAATCTCAATGAGGGAGGTTTCTTGTCGATCATCCAGCTGCTCTTCGTCTGGCCCCGGCTCCTCAAGGAGAAGGTCAGTCATGCATTCCCAATCTTTCATCATTGGGTTACTGTCAATGAGACTGTCCACAAGGTAGGCACCATGCTCGTGCAGTTCACTCTCAATGAAAAACTGCACTAGGTCACGGATGAGTGGCGTGTTCACCGAACGTTTCTTGCCACGCCGTGTGCGCAGACCTTGGACTGCTGCTTCATCAGGCTGGAAGAGCCTCTCATTAAGGAACTCTCCAGCAGCTTGAGCAACGGCTCTGTGTGAGCTGTAGACAAGTTCGTAGACATGCTCGCAGTCCTTATCAGTCAAGATCTCCCTGTGAAACTTGTGGATGCTAATGACAAGCTTGACAGCGTGGACAGCTACTTCGTACTCCTTGTCCAAAGTCATGGTAACTATGCGGTCTTTGAACTTGTTGGTAAAGAGCTCCATTTTACTTGTTAGCTCCTCAGATGAATATAGGGGAAGAAGCGCTTGCAGGCATCGCAGTCGTACATCTCCCACTTTGTCATGTAGGGTCCAGCCTAGGTACTTGAGGTAACTGTCATCAAGAAAGTGCTGGTGAAACCGCTTCATCCACTGGCCAATCTCCAACATGCAAATGGAGCGAACTTCAGGAAGAGTGTCCCGGTAGCGGTGGACAAACACACTTTTGAACATGTAGGTGAGCATGTTCTTAATTTCTTCCATGTTTTCCTCCAGGTCCTGTCGCTTGGTCATGAGCAGTTCAAGACGTTCAGTTGCACGCTTGTCCTTGTTTTTCTGCCGCTCGGCCTCGTACTGGCGTTGAGTGTTGTCTAAGCTGATGCTCAAGTTGAGCGCGACATCAACAAGTGCTGTCATCAGCTTCATTGCAGCCAGTGTGGATGTGTGTCTGAATGCACGAACCTGCACGAAAGCAAGTTTCACTAAATGAGGTTACAAAGAAGCAATAAAATACCATTGCAAAAAGAGAATGCAATGCTTTCTTACGTGAAACCAATAAGATGCAGTTACTTCACTTCAACTTGAGATTAAGGTAGCCTTGTATAAATAATCGGTGTCTCAAAAACAATAGCAAGTAATAGCACACAATCGGAATGTGCATTCTCGTTTCATAGAATTTCCTTGTTAATACGTTGGCGATAAATAATTCATGCGTATCATAAATTTACATTGCATTTAAAACCAAATGAGCATTATAACGTTATTTATTTAACTTGGGCAGGTTTCATTTATTCATAGCCTGAATGTGTCACTTCGAGGTAATGTGCGGACGATTAGAGATCTATGTGTCGAACCCACCTGTGAATCGGACAATCCGGTGAGTATGGAGATCACATTGTCCATCAAGAACTGATCGTAGATGATGCTGTACTGGCACTGGCGCACCAGAATCTGTACAAACTCGCAGAATGTCTGTCTGAACTTTTTCCACTGGGGGCCCGTCATAATCAGCGGGTAGTCACCACTCTCCTCGTCAAACTCTTCGGTCATTTTCCTGATGATCTGGTTGTGCTCCATGGTGACCTGCATCTGAGGAGTAATACGGCCCTTGCACCCGGAGCAGTGAAAGAAGAAAGTCATCAGGTCCAGAAGGGCGGCATCTCTGTCTTGCTTGTAGGACTCTATCCAGTCGTCGACCACGGCGGTGAGGGAGTGACGACCAAGTCGGACCACATCGTAAAGAGTGCCCGGGTCTTCGCTTGTTATGCTTTCCGACGCATTACGTCTCCCTCCACGGCCCCTGCCACCACCGCGGCCGCGTCCTCTTCCACGGCCGCCTTCGCCTACACGACGTCGCTTCCCGCGGGACCTGGTGCCGAACTCGACTTCCGAAGAGTTATCGTTCGACTCGTTGAGTCCATCGTCTAACTCTGAGAAGAAGTCGTCCGGGTCTAAACCCGAGTGGTCGGTGCCATCGTCCTCACTTTGCCGTGTACGCTTCCGCCCGGCGATTGCGTTTCGGAGGATCATTGCCGCCGAATCGAGCTGCCTTCACTTTTGAAGTGACTGGTCGTTGCCTTCCCAGCCGACACAGTTACACACGAGCTTTACATAGACAGCTGAAGTACTTCTGCTAAAATATTTTCGGCGCGAACGAGCGCGACTTCCGCCATCAGGCGTCTTTACTCGTGTTGTCGATGCCAATTTAACACCGTAGTCAGCATTCCTTCCTCCATGATAGTCAGTATCGTGAAACTCTATCCTTCAGAGTTAACATATTCGACAGCATACCTCAAGAAGGTACAATTCTTTTTTTGTGCAGTAACATTAAGACGAACCACTTTGGTGATTTGGTACAAAACGATGATGATGCCGATTTTAATAAGTGCGCCACATGGGGCAGCAAGAAAGCAGGGGGCAAGGAGGCCAGTTGGAGGCCAGCGAATGAATGACGCGCGCACTGCGATTCGCGGCGACTGTGCGCTCCCATTTGACTCGGGTCTCTAAAGCCAACGTCCCACGGAGTCGCACCGTGAGTAGAAAACAAATACACATTACTGTCTTTTTATTTTCCTCATCGCGCCAGACACCTACTTCGTGTTAACCGAAAGCACGCAGTACACGTTTGGTGCCCTTGATTTCGATTCCTTTCTTGTTGGATTCTGTTAACGCTGTCACGAAGATAAGGTTCATCGTACTCGTTAAGAGTTCCCGCGCATGTCGTTCTACTCGTTTCCTTTGTTGCTGCCTGCAACATATGCCTATCGCTTGGAGAAACGAAACGTGCGCACGCAGCGCAACCACGTGCATGCAACGAACGTTTCCACGGGCGGGAGCGCTCGTTTCTCAATTTTGCCGCGCCGATCAAAGCTTGACCTGAACACCTACATGCGTTCGTTCCTTGTGCCAGTGAAAACCGTCCCGTCCCCAGCCTCCAGTCGCCGCAATGAAGTACATCCTGGTCACCGGCGGCGTCATTAGCGGCATCGGCAAAGGTGTAATCGCCAGCAGCGTGGGTACCATCCTCAAGTCGTGCGGCCTCCAGGTCACGTCCATAAAGATTGATCCGTACATAAACATCGACGCCGGAACATTCTCGCCGTACGAACACGGTAAGTGGTCCCTTTCCGCCCCGTCTTTACGGCGCCCTATCTTTCTTCGTGGCGTACGTTAAGTAAAAGTTTGGTTTTGTCACGCAGGCGAGGTGTACGTTCTTGATGACGGTGGAGAAGTGGACCTTGATTTGGGAAACTACGAGCGCTTTCTGGACATCACGTTGCATAGAGATAACAACATAACGACAGGCAAGATCTATCAGCATGTCATCAACAAGGAGCGAAAGGGAGACTACCTCGGCAAGACTGTGCAGGTAATTTTTGATGGCCATATGCGCCTTACTAGTAATCGCTGAAACTGCCATGAAACATCCGTGGTAACTACTTCTTGTGTCCCAGCGCACGTTGTTAAAATTAGCTAAAACGATTTTTTCCATTAACAGTGAATGCCATAAAGTAAACATGATATGCATAGAAATGGGACAAGCAAACAGTTCATATTTAAGGCATCAAATAAATAGCATAGTAGTGCTTTAACATAGCTATAAGTTGACTTGACCGGAACATGTAAGCATATTTATACAAGCTACTAAAAGGAAAGTGTTGCATGTTTGAGAGGGCCACTGCTTAGTCTAGGACTGATAGTGCAACATTATCAGTGCAACAAGAGTACTGTTGGATAGAGAAACGTAAGTGCACTTAGACTGTAGCCGTCTACATTGTACATTGTCTAAATGAGCATTTGATTGAAAACAATATAATATCACTCACTTAGGCATCGCAAGCTCGTTCTTGTAGTGTAGCACGTCTGCCTCACCGATATATTACGTGGCATTTGCTCTGTGCTTTTCATTTCATATTGGTATGCCCGCAGGGGCGCCTGCGCAAGTAGGCGTTTGGTGTGTAGCGACACCACGGACCCGAGCTAACGGGGGAGTTTCTACTCCCTCCCACGCCTAGCCGTGCGTGGCTTTGCCGTGTCCGGGGAAAAGGGAATCCTGGGGGTTGAGCTGACGCTGGGTGATTGGACCTTTAAGGCCCCCCGGCAGAGGCAACACACCCCTTTGGCCCCGGCTTCACGTAGACGGCACCCCTGGGCTGACCCACCCAGGGGAAATCGGCAGTCGCCTTTTCCTATCTCTCTCTCCCTATATCTTCGTCTTTTGTTCTCACTTTACATCTTTCCTGTCTTCTCCTCACTTCATTTTACTTCCGATTTTTCCTGGCGGCAAGGGTTAACCTTGTGTGGCTATCCAAACTAGGGTAAACCATATTGGGTTATAGTAACTGCGTACTGCTGGCGTTGCGCAGACATGCCCACATGCTCTGCCACGTCCCCTTGTTGGACTCCGTGGTGGGTGGTAGGCGCTGTTACCGAAAAATCCACATTTTCCCATGGGATCCTCGACCCCCTCTCTAACTGATCGTGCCTCGAAAAGGGTACGCACCGACGCAACTCTACTACTTTGGCCCAAAAACAGAGAAACTTTTCCAAAATACCATGTTCTCCACTGCGAACAATCATCTACAAAAGCTAGAACAATCTCACCCTTCCTTGTAGCTAAGTGCTTGAGAGAAACCATTGGAACCGGTTATAAGGCCACGAAGATGGCAAGTGGTGATCTGCTTCTCGAACTAAAAGACAAAGAACAGTACAATAAACTCTCGCACCTTGTAGCCTTTGGTAACATCCCCGTCTTGGTGAGCGCACATCGTACTATGAATACAGTGAAGGGCGTGGTATCGGACGAAGACTTGATGACACTGAGTGAAGAAGAGCTCCTTGATGGATGGAAGGACCAAGGTGTGATACATGTCCAGCGCATCAAAATCAGACGTAACAACAATGAAATAGCAACAAAGCACTTGATACTCACCTTCAATTCAACCACTTTACCTGAAAGTCTCGAAACTGGCTATGTAAAACTCCATGTCCGACCTTTCATTCCAAACCCGAGGCGTTGTTTCAAATGCCAGCGATTCGGTCATGCATCCCAGAGCTGCCGAGGACAGCTGATGTGTGCTAAGTGTGGCACAACCGGCCACAGCGCTGATGAATGTAGTCATGACGAGGTCCTCTGTGCTAACTGTGAAGGTAGTCACCCCGCATACTCCAGAGCGTGCCCAGCCTGGAAAAGAGAAAAAGAAATAATCACTATAAAAGTTAAGGAAAATATCACATTCAGGGAAGCAAGACAACGGGTCTCGTTAACATTAGCACTAAAAACACCTTTTGCCGAAGTGGTGCAACGAGGGGCGGCACCACAAAGGCCCTTGGCAGTTGCCCGGACCGCGCCTAGCGTGCCGAGGCAAACGCCACAAGCCCCCATGGGGGGAGCAGCCTCGGCTGCCCCACCCTCCTTGAATACAGCCCCACCGAAGGCTCCTGTGAACCTTGGCAGCAGCCAGGGCACCACACAAACTAAAGAGGTCCCCTCGACCTCCAGCCCGGTGGGGTTTAAGGCTCCGTCTGTTACGACGAAGCCTACAACGAAAACATTATCTGTCGCCTCTCCTGAGGCGATGGACACTTCAACTGCACCGGCGCAGACTGCGCCAAAGGAGCGGCGGGGTTCCCTCGACCGCTCTAAAAAAGACAAAACGGTAATTACAGGGCCTTCTAAAGGCTCTGTAAGATAAATCACTTCACTCTTTAGACACCAGCCACACTCATTTCATGCACACAGCACTTCTTTACTCCCATAATGGAGACACAAATTATACAATGGAACGTCAGAGGACTACTTCGAAACCTCGACGATGTCCAAGAACTTCTACACAAACATTCTCCAAAAGTGCTGTGTGTACAGGAAACACACTTAAAATCCAAGAATACAAGTTTCTTGCGTCAATATGTTGTCTTCCGAAAGGACAGAGATGATGCTGTGGCGTCATCTGGTGGTGTAGCCATTATAGTTAATCGAGGAGTAGCATGCAGTCATCTACCACTACTAACACCCCTAGAGGCAGTGGCTGTTCGAGCAGTCCTATTGAATAAGCTCGTCACCATCTGCTCTCTATACATACCGCCGCAACACCGCCTGGAAAAACATGATTTCCAGTCTTTAATAGATGAGTTACCAGAACCTTATTTGGTTCTAGGGGACCTGAATGCGCACAGCGGGTTATGGGGTGACTGTCGATGTGATGCACGAGGTCGTCTCATTGAACAGTTCCTCTTTTCATCAGGTGCTTGTCTGTTGAATAGAAAACAGGCAACATATTATAACCTTGCAAACAATACTTATTCCTCCATAGACCTCAGTATCGCATCTCCTTCACTTGTACCATTACTTCAGTGGAAAGTCATAAATAACCCATACGGAAGTGACCATTTTCCTTTAGTTTTGAGTACACCAATAACATATGAATATCCTCCACATGTTCCCAAATGGCTGGTGAACAAAGCCGACTGGGAACAATTTCAAAAGATTACACACCTAAGTTGGACCGACATATGCGGATTAGGCATAGATGAAGCTGTGCAGTACTTCACGGCTTTTCTTACTGACGCAGCAGCCAAGTGCATTCCACAAACATCTGGACTGCCCGGCAAACGACACGTCCCGTGGTGGAACACTGAGTGTCAGAATGCGCGAAAGGAACAAAACAGGGCATGGAGGTTGCTGCGCAACTCGCCGACAGCGGAAAACCTTGAGAGCTTTAAGAAAATAAAATCTCGTGGCAGGAGAACGCGTCGGCAGGCCAGAAGAGAAAGCTGGCAGAAGTTTTTATCAGGGGTCAATTCATACACACAGGAGGCTAAAGTCTGGAACATGGTCGGTAGGATAGCAGGGAAACAAGTACACACACTTCCACTCGTAAACACTCAAGGGGATACCTTGGAAGATCAGGCAAACTTCCTCGGGGCACACTTTGAACGGGTATCCAGCTCGTCCCACTATACTGACACTTTCCAAAAATACAGAACAAGAATAGAAAAGCAGAAACTCGAACACAAATCCACTAGATACGAGGCATATAACCAAGCTTTCAGTCTAGCGGAGCTCCGAACATCTCTAAACTCCTGCAGCACTTCTGCCCCAGGTTTTGACCGTGTGGTGTATGAAATGCTAAAAAACCTACCAGCCGAAACACGAAAAACCCTACTTTGTTTGTACAATGCTATCTGGTATTCTGGCACTATCCCTAGCTCCTGGAAAGAGGCTATTATTATTCCCATTTTGAAAGAGGGCAAGGACCCTTCTTTAGCTTCAAGTTATAGGCCTATTGCACTTACAAGCTGCTTGTGCAAAGTATTCGAAAAAATGATAAACTGCCGACTTGTACATATCCTTGAAACAAACAATTTGCTCGACCCATTTCAGTGCGGGTTTCGAGAAAGTAGATCCACCACAGACCATCTTGTTCGAATCGAGGCACAGATCAGAGACGCCTTTGTCCATAAACAATATTTTCTCTCTGTGTTCCTCGATATCGAAAAGGCGTATGATACAACATGGCGTTTTGGAATCCTAAGAGACCTGTCCCACCTTGGTGTGCGCGGAAGAATGTTTCATATAATCGAGAGCTACCTGTCAAACCGGACATTCCGTGTCCGTCTGGGCAGTGTGCTCTCTCAAACATTTGTCCAGGAAACAGGCGTGCCACAAGGTGGCGTGCTTAGTTGCACACTTTTTCTCATCAAGATGAATTCCTTGCACTTGTCCATCCCTCGCAATATGTTTTATTGTACATATGTCGACGATGTCCAGCTTGGCTTTAGATCTTGCAATCTGGTAATGTGTGAGCGACAGGTTCAGTTAGGTTTAAACAAGGTCTCCAAATGGGCAGAGGAAAACGGATTCCGACTGAACCCACAAAAGAGCACGTGTGTCTTGTTCTCTCGAAAGAGAGGCATGCACTCGGAACCTGACATTCGACTGAACGGGCAACGTCTGTCTGTCAAAGCCGAGTATAAATTCTTAGGCTTAATCTTGGACAACAAGTTGACCTTCGTACCGTACATCAAGTATTTAAAAACAAAATGTTTAAAAGCCATGAATGTTATTAAAGTGTTGTCACGTACTACCTGGGGTAGTGATAGGCAATGCCTCATGAACCTCTATAAAAGCCTCATTCGCACCCGCTTAGATTATGGGGCCGTTGTCTATCAGTCTGCTACTCAAAGTGCCTTGAAGATGCTGGACCCCGTGCACCATTTGGGCATCCGCCTTTCTACGGGTGCTTTTCGCACCAGCCCCGTAGAAAGCCTTTATGTTGAGTCAAATGAGTGGTCGCTTCATCTGCAAAGAACCTACATGTCCTTTGTATACTTCCTTAAGGTGAAAGCAGACAAGAGGCACCCCTCATACTCTACTATTAATGACTTGTCGAGCTCCATTCTTTTTCAAAACAGGCCTTCAATGAGGCAGCCCTTCTCAGTTCGCCTGAAGGGTCTAGCCGAGGACACTGGAGTGTCACTCGAACACAGTTTAATGGCTCCTGTAGCGTACCCGCCACCGTGGCAGTGGCAGACTATAGACTGTGATGTGTCTTTTCTAGAGGTTACAAAACATGCGCCCATTGCTCATATCCGAACATATTTCCTGGAACTTCAACACAAATACACACGTCCTGAGTTTTTTACAGATGCCTCTAAGTCTAACTCCTCTGTGTCCTACGCTGCTGTTGGCCCTTCCTTTTCGGATGCTGGCCCTCTACATCCAGGCACAAGTATCTTCACAGCGGAAGCTTACGCGATACTTGTGGCAGCTAAACACATTAAACAATTACAAATACAAAAAGCAGTAATTTATACAGACTCCCTCAGTGTGGTAACGGCTCTGCACAGTCTTAAAAAACAAAAAAACCCTGTCCTTGTCTCACTCTACTCCATATTTTGCACACTCTACACACTCAACCAACATGTTGTAGTGTGCTGGGTGCCAGGGCACCGTGAGATCCAAGGCAACGTGAGGGCGGATCAGCTCGCTGCATCCGTCCACAAAAACACTGCCCCTACATCCATATCAATCCCGGTCCTTGATCTGAAGCACTCTCTCAAACGAAACCTCAGGGACTACTGGCAGAGCAAGTGGGATACACACACACAAAACAAACTACACGTTATCAAGCCACACCTTGGCAATTGGCCACCAGTATCAAAATCACGTCTAACAGAGGTAACACTAACAAGACTCAGGATAGGACACATATACACGACACACACACATCTTTTGTCTGGTGATGATCCACCATTGTGTGATAAATGTGGTGAGGCATTAACAGTTATTCACGTTTTAATTCAATGTAATCATTTAGACACTCTAAGAAGACAACACTTCCCACTACCCTACCGACAACATATACCTTTACACCCTGCAATGTTCGTCGGTAGGGAACCGCTTTTTAGTCACAAATCATTATTAGCGTTTTTAAAGGAAATTCACAATTTTCATATCATATACCCGGGCATACCGTAGCATGACCTCTCTAGAGAGGTTTTTGCTGCGGTGGCTACACAGGAAAGCACTTGCCTCACGACCCTTGCACGCAAGGGTACTAACGTGTGAGGTACTTGTGGTAATGCCATACATGTCCACCATCGTTTTTCATTATCACCAACTTTTGTTACCTATTCACACCATGCACACCTTTCACGGCATAGTCATGATTTTATTACTTGTATGATTTACCCGCTATACTGCGAGGAATTTTATGGCCCCTATACAGCCGCTAATCACAACCATTGTCCACATTCCTGTCTCATGAACTGGCGCTCTTTGGCCATCAAATGGCCCTTGCGCCAAAAAACACCATATGTCATTTCATATTGGTATATGTATCGTGTAGACTTTCTAACACTGTCTGCACTTGTGGAGAAAGTACAACTACTACTAGTGTTGCTTGAAGTACAAAATATAATTTTTGACAGTGTTCATCTGGAAGTGAACTGCCGTAGTGTACTCTTTGCATGATTGTCCTTAAAGATGGATACATGAAAAAGCTACAGCAAACTTCTTTCAGGTCGTTCCACACATCACGGATGCCATTCAGGAGTGGGTTCAGAAAGTAGCACTTATTCCTGTCAATGACTCTAACCAGACGCCAGAAGTTTGCATCATTGAGGTAATGCACGACAATGAAATGCTCTGCTTTTGCAGAATAAACGTTAAAGTGCCTGCATTTTTATTGCAGCTTGGAGGGACAATAGGTGACATAGAAGGAATGCCCTTCGTGGAGGCTTTTCGACAGTTTCAATTTCGTGTCAAAAGAGAGAACTTCTGCTGCGTCCATGTCAGTTTAGTGCCACAGGTAAGAGAAAAGAACTTCGAGTGTTCACATAGTGGCTGTGTAAGTAAATGTAGCTTTGTCTACAGATGCTGTATAATTCTAAACAGTCTGCTACTGTGTGGGGGCCTAGTGGTTTGCAGTGCTTATCTGTTCACCTGAAAGTCGCTGGTTCAATCCCAGCTGTCGTGGTCGCATTTCGGGGTCCCAAATCCCACAAAACATAGAGTTTCCAAAAATACATTAGAGGAAACTCTGGCGCTAGTGTCTATGGAAGCCGCAACGCACAGTGCTTCGGCCAGCATGTGAATGATGGGTAGTACGGGAATATGTCTAATCTTCATTCTTTTGGCTATGTGTGATCTGAATCCACTTTGCCGCTAGACAAAGTTTTGCCAAGGTTCAGCCGTCACACTTTACTATTTTGACCTTTCTGGGCTCACGAATTCAGATTGGCTCACGAAATTCTCAGTGGTACATTCTTTTATTCAAAACAAAGCCAAAAGCACAGCAATAAACAAAATCACTAGTTCATTCGAAGTTCTTAAGCATGAGGAGTAGGCAAATTCGTGCGCTACACATCATTGCCATGGTGGCTGAACGATATAAGCGGTAGAGTTCCCTCTAGTTCAGTTTTTGGAAACTCCTCACTTGCACATTGCACATGGATAGATTGATAACATACTTTGTGGCATTGCAGGTATTGCCATAGCCTACTAGACAGTCTCTTTCATTTTGAACCTGAGGCAGACACGGAGGTATTGTGCAAGATGCTCTGTATTCATGAGGGCGTTGGTGCTACGATATGGTTGTAATGAAGAGATGCGTAATTTTGCCTTTATTCCAGCCTGTCGTATGCACTTTATCCGAAGAACCAAATCGCAAGGGGTCAAATCGTAGACCGTGCAATGTTCGATCAAGCTGGATTGGGCTATTTCACTAGCTGTCAACACATACTATACATATAAGGGCTTGCGAAGTAGGTGGCGACTCAACATGTTCCATTGTGCCTCCTCTTGCCTTACTTCCTCACAGAACATGCACCCGTTTGTGTACGGTAACCCGTGTTTGTGTCTTTTTTTAAGCATTCTGTTTGGAGTGTGTCACTGTAAAAGGAATGGGGCTCACAAAACTCCACAAACAGTGGGTTACATCTGTTGGTTGCATACAAGTTAGGGTGACAGCAGATTCTCTTTGCAGCCCAAGAGCACCGGTGAGCACAAGACAAAGCCGACGCAGGCTAGCGTCCGTGAATTGCGAGGCTTGGGTTTATCTCCAGATTTGGTAAGCTTCATTCATAGCTTTCCTTTGCGGTTGGATTAAGAGTTTAGGAAGCGATAATTTGAAACTTAATATGAGAAGCCAAGTCTCATATATGTGAGTTGGGATGCCTTCGTTATGGCAGTAAGAAAGGCTTTTTGTAAAGGCGCAACAAAGGCAGAGTTGTATGGGGACTTGCGCTCTGTCTGTTTTGGCAAGACTGTAATTGATGTGTGAAATATGTTGTGGTATTTGACAGAGCTATATTGGCATTTATCTAGCACTGGTCTATAAATAAATGTCAAGGCCATTCATTAAAACCTCTATTCTAAATTTCAGGATTTAGAAAGGCCCTTGTTTTAAAAAATGGTAGTGAATTAAGCTAACTTAGCTTGTGTTATCTCTAAAATTATTAATAATACTAGTGTGAAACTGATTCCCAGGAAATCTCCATTCTTGATTCTCTACCATCTGTGTTTGGCAGCATTCTGACAATTAACCTGCTTATTGCAGATTGTTTGCCGCAGTGAAAATGAGATCACAAAAGCTGTCAAGGATAAGATTTCCAACTTTTGCCATGTTGAGCCACGACAGGTTCTCTGCATGCACGACGTGCCTAGCATCTACCATGTGCCGATCTTCATGGAGGAACAAGGCATTGTCGAGCTTTTCGCGGAACGCCTTCACCTTCAGGTGAGATCACAATATACATAATGCTACCGTAAAGCAAACTGTGTGCTAGTTAGCTGGGTAACTTTGGGGAGTTGCACTTCTGTTAAGGCTATTTCGCCCTCATTTTGTTGCTTGCACACGCTGTTTTTTTTTACTATGTTTCCGAGTGCTTTTAAAAGGACACGAAAAAAGTTTTAAGTTGAGATGTTAGTCTAAATTACTATTTCACACGAAAAGAAAAAGCTTCTTTATTTGGGACAGAAAACTGTGTATAATTAAGAAAGAACACAAGGACAATTTGGCAGTGATTGCGGTGCCTGGGGAGAGTAAACCACAAGGCATTGCCGACTACGTGTTAGCAACTGAGTGGTGTGTATTTTGACGACTTCACTTGTCACTATTGTGCTGTCTATGCACTAGCCCAACATGTAGTCAGTCTGACCATTCCCAACATGTTTCTGCACCAGTCGACTGTGATGTCGGAAATTTCGACCATACCTGCTTGAGCTTGGTCTATTTCATATTAGCAAAAGTAGGCTACGTTGTATGTATTCTAAATGAGCCATGAACTGCAAATTGGAAACTTCAGAAACTTTTACAATACAATGAAGATCTGAAATAGAGAAAATTTCTAAAGGGCTAGTAAACAACCCCAAGGTCCAAAAATTGTTGTAAAGAGAAGTACGTGCACTTTGCTACATGAACATGCTGCCACAAAAATTTTGCAAATACGTGCAATATTAAGTAAGTTACAGGGGCGAAAACATCATGTTTAACTGGTTTCAAATTTTCGCGTGGTCTCACCACCCTTCTCCTTCAGAGGAAGGAGAAGCCATTGCCCATTGTCGTGACATCGCCCACTTCGGCAATGGGACAAGGCGTCAGTGATTGACGTCATCGGTGAAATCGATCAGTTGCGACGCACTTCTGCTTGCTGCGATGCCTGGTTGTTTTTCGTTTACTCGGTGCCGAGGCTTCTCCACAGCCCGATCGCTTGATTTGCAGCCGACAACGATTTGCAGCAAAACTGCGTTTCAAAACCCAGACATGAAGATGGCCCTATTTTCCTGGAGTTCAATTTTTTGGGAGCAGACTGTCGCGCTATCTGGAAGCAGCAACACAAAACACAAATAATGCGCTTAATAGTGGGTGTCCCTATCAACAGGTGGTGCGAGAATCTGCTTACTCCCTAAGACTGGGTCAGTGAAGTGTCCCAATTTCGATGCATGGAGCTTATGAGGAGTTTTGCAACTCGTATGATTGAATAGCTCCGTCGTAGCTGTGGGTGGGAACAGGGACTGTCGTTGACTTCACTACTGTTTGTTGAGACCTGGTTTAGGCCAATCGACGAGCTGCGTGTTGCGTCACGTCGCCGTGTTGTTGTCACTGCGCGTGCAAGGAGATTGGTCAGGCATAGGAAAGCAGCGCGGGAATTGTTTTTCGAAATTGAGGCGGAATGCGGCGCGCAGCTCTGTAATATTCAGAAAACATGATCGCTGCGGTATACTCTACGAATTACCGTGCTTGTTTGGTGGGTGTAAAAAAAAGTCGGAACCTGTTGACTGGCCCTTTAAAGATGTGTTGTTACTTCGACCAATTTGTATTGATGTTTCAATGTTGAATTAACAGAAGTGCAGTTGTGAACTAATATGTGATCTTTGTTAAGGGACTTATGCTTCTTTTAACGTCACTCTAACAACTTACTGTGCACTTGTATATTACTGTATTGCACACTTGGAATTATGTCTACCAAGACCTCTTATCTGTTTATTTAAACAAAAGCATAGCAAAAAGTTTCATTGAAGCTACAAATGGCCTACTAAAGTGAATTCGTAGTTTTGAGTCAAAGTTAAGATCTGTGAAAACAGGCATGTGGAACTATTTTGTTACTTTTTTTCTTATTCATTGTTGTAGCATTATCATTCGTCTGACTTAACAAGCTTCGCATTAACCACATCTGTCATTCTTTGGATTATTGTGCACTAAACTCTTGGACTTAATGATTTCTTAAATTGTATGTGTTCAAGAAGTGTGGATCTTAGCTTTTCATACCGCATGGTCCTGTAACTGTCGGGGTAGGTTTGTGGTGCTGCCTGAATTCCAGTGGTGTTTTTGTAAGATGGGGTATTTGGAAGTCTCTGCAGCAGGGCTGTAAACAGTGGATATCAATGCAAATGTTTGCGGTAGTGATAAATTCAGGGGACTCCCCCTTTGAGGCAAACTCAATTTATCTTAACCCCGATAAGCTGAACAGTTTAAGACCTTTGTTCAGCTTCAGATATGTGCAATAAGCTACTGCCCAGTCAATATTTCAATAAGAAACGAACCATATTTCCACGGTTACGAAATATTTTAGTAAGTCAGTTTGGCCTTCATAGGATGAATAATTCCTAGGAGTGTGCAATTATTCGAACTTCCACATACTTTTTTGCATGTTTTCGATTTGCAACTGAATCTGCTTTTTGAACTATGTATTTGTACTTCCATGATGTAAATAAAAGTGAATGTTCATTTTTTTTACTCTCTGAGGACTGCAAAATAGTCCGAAAAATTGGGCAGTCCGACACAATGAATTAATGTCTTTTTTTTTTTTTTTCGCTCAAGCGGTCAAATTGCCATACCCACATCTGAAATAGCTTTAAGGCCTCTCAGCAGACTTATAAGGCCTTTTTATGCACAACCATGCCTCTACTGCAAACCACGCTTAACTGGGTAATGCGTCTCGTGGTGAATTCCGTTGTCACTAACAAAGCATGGAATAGAATGCAACTCTCTCGTATGGAGCGTTTGGGAATAGTGACGCGCAACGCAAAGACTGGGAGAGCGGATGACTCGTCTGGCTTTCGCTGATTCTTCGCTGATAGGCAGCAATTGCTATCGCATGGAGTTGATTGTTCTCAGTTGTGTGCAGCACATCGCCTTCTAGGCTGACGCCATCACTGCCGGAGCGCTTCCTGTGCTGCAAGATCACATTTTGTAATGACCACTCCCTTCCTGACTGCACGTTGGCGATGAAGAGCTGCTTATGTTCGGGAAGGGTGGTTTCTGTGTGGCGCACTTTGCAGTCTCTCTCAAATAGGCAGCATGAATGAGGGTGTGCCATGTTTGTTCTGCACTAGGCGTCATGCAGTACTTAGCAGTTAAGATGCTATCAGAAGAGTTGTCGATTAAGTCGTTCTGGCGCATTTTCAGCCCCTACTGTTATCATGCCTCCGTGCATTTCCGTTGCTTATCCGTAAAGTCATTGCCGCTCTGCACCGTGACAATAGCCCCGTCAGAATTTTTATATCCATATCGGAAATTTTGTGCAAGCGCACAGGGACACAGAAAGAAAGACCAACGGGTGCAATATATATATATATATATATATATATATATATATATATATATATATATATATATACACATACATACATACATACATACATACATAGATGAAATAGATGATCAGAGTTTCTTCCGGCTACCGTAATAAAAGTTATAAACTTCGAAAATAGTGCAGTAGAGAAAACAAAACAAAATATACCACGGAGCTATCACGGCGGCCATCCCCCCATCCACTTTTTTGGGTTTATGTGAATTTAAACGTGGGAGTGTCAGTCAGCGCCATCTGTAACCAAGCATATATATATATATATATATATATATATATATATATATATATATATATATATATATATGCTTCACCGCATCACATCGTCATTGCGGCAAAGCCACCTTTCGGTCACGGTTACAGCCACAAACGGATCGCTCGTAAAAGGCTTGGTTCAAAACTCTGCTGAAGAGGTGGAGGCTTTAAGTAATGCTGCCTCGGAGCTAAAATGGGGCAGAGAGCCCCAAAAGTTGTACCCCAAAGATTTTCAACGTCCGAAATGTCAGGTTAGGAACTCTGAACTTGAAGAGAGCGTGTCCTTGTCTGTCACATGAGTCTGGCACAGAAGTTGGATGAGGATAGGTTGAGGAAGTAGCGTTTTTTTCTTTAACGTCTAAATTATGGTCGGCACCACATTGTTTGCCCCAAAAATGCAGTTCAGCGTCTGCATTACCTCACTCTTGATAAATCAACTAGGGATGGCCAACATGATGAACCTGTATTGTGATGCGCTGGGCCAGAGCACCTTTGATGGAGTGCGGGCAGCTGCATGCAGACTAACTGGAAGTCGTATGTTCTTGTTCAACCAATCGCAGGCTCAAGTGTTGATAACGTTACAGATGCAGCATGCTGACATTAAACACGTCACCGGGGAAGTCGGAAAGGCCCGAAGAGAAGAAGGGATCGTTTCTTCAAATTCGTGGCGCCGCCACGTGTGCCATTCTAAACACGATGTGTATGTTTAGTTGAAATGTTCGAAAAAATATTGGAGGTGGTTTAGGGACACTTTAATATCCGAACTCGCCCCACATCCAAAATTTTTCTATTCGTACAACTATAGTAATGTCTCATTAAGAATTTATTAACAGTAGAGGATAGGGAAAATAGACAGAATAAGCGGAGGGAAAAAGCACTGACTTTTAATTAGCTTTATTTCAGTGAGATAGTGTGTAAATAAATGATGAGGGAAAGGGAATGAAGTACGCAATAAAGTGGGCATATCATGAGTCAAGTATCAAGCATACAATCCCAATTGCTCTAAAGTCACTGCAAACTTGTCAAATTTTTTAAAATTAATAATGCACTAGAGGATGTGCTAGCCCACTTTAGCCAGCTTATATATGTGTATGAATTGTATTTCAATAATTTCATGCGTTAGCTTGACGGATTATTGCCAACTCGCCCAAGTGTGAGTTTTTATGAGCAATGACAGTTGAAAGTAAAGTCTGCCATCGTAACCTTGGACAACATTCCGTCGCTCATTGCTTGCAGTTTGGTGCCTAGCGAATGATGGTTTGTGTTGCTGCAGGTCCCAATCCCAAGACCACCGCGTCGTCTGATGTACAAATGGCGTGACCTTGCCCTCAAGACAGAGAGGCTCAGGAGAGAGGTGACTATTGCCCTTGTGGGAAAGTACATCAAGTTGCAGGACGCCTACTCCTCGGTTATCAAGGCTCTCCAACACGCTGCGCTTGCTAGCAACCACAGGCTGATGATCATGGTGCGTGGTTCTCTTCGTGCATTTGCAATTCTTTGGTTGCTCGGCTTCCTGTATTTGATATTGTTTTCATGTTACGGCTACTGTTGTTGTAAGCCCCACTGCTTAAATAACCATAGTGGATAAATGGTTTTTATTTTCTCTCTCTTTTCTCTTTACGTTTTCTGCCCTAAGCGTCCCCCCCCCCCCCCCCCCCCCCGCAGTACAACTTCACTCATAATTGTTCTTGGAGCTTCTGGCATCACCCATTTGTATAAAACCTGCTTTGCCTGTTGGTGAAGTTTGCACTGTAATGCCACTATGTTGTTCGTTACATTATTTACTTGAAACAAACAGGTAACTATAAACACCACATCATAGTAGCAGCCACCACACTGTGTGCATGATCAAGTTACCGTAAGTTTATTATTTATGTGGTATTTTATAGTACATAGATGCAGAAGAGCTGGAGCCTACTATGAAAGCTGAGCACCCGGTCAAGTTTCATGCTGCCTGGCAGAACCTGTGTATTGCAGAGTGAGTTGACAAAGTTCATCATGTTGGCTCTGTTACATTGAAAAAATTGCACGAAACATGGCACAAAAGTCTGCACGACGGGACATGTAGCAGCAATTCTAAAGAAACAATAAAGTGGTGCTTTGTGCTATCTTCAGGGCAGGTAAACGCCAAGATGTCTTGGCCTGTGCTGTCGCATTTTTTCAAGATTAGTTGATAGTAGGTTTTGAGCTGCCTTGCTTGTGGACTTGTGCTGCAGCTATGGGTTCGTTACAGACAGCAGTTTCCCTTTAGCTTCTGTTTCTTAACCCCTGTGTGTGAAGGAGGTTACAACTTAGTATCGTCGAAATTTTTACTTTCTACTGACAGTAGTGATGTTCAGTTTTGTTGCATGCATGCAGGTAGATGCTTTTTGTTTTAGTACTGCTGCAAACTTATTTTTATGCAAAAGAAGGGTTAAAAATAAGCTGGCATAATTATCTATTTATGGTGGATTCACTTCTTGCTAGTAAAGTAAAAACGTGTAGCAGTTTTCATTCCCCCTTTCCCCTCCTCTGTTCGTTTTACGAATCTGCCAAACTTCTAGGCAGGTCTATACCCAGGTAGGTTGGCGGCCATTTCACTAATGTATTTGTTTTTGCGTATCTCGTAACATGAGCCTTTTGGGATGTTGTAATGAGTTCGTTGCTGCAAATTACATGCATCTGCTTGGTTTTCGGCAGTACTAATGTAACTCTACGAAATATCTGTATTGAGCTTTTTTCTTATGTTTATTTTTTTAAACCTCCAGCGGCATCATTGTTCCCGGAGGCTTTGGAAGCCGAGGTGTGGAAGGAAAGATTGCTGCCATTGAATGGGCCCGAAAAAATAAGAAGCCATTCTTGGGTAAGAAGATGCTTGCCTTGAGTTTTGTGTAGCATGGACGTTATAATTTTCAGGCTTATTAATAATAATTCTTTCTATTGATGCCTGACAAAGCCACTAGAGATCAACTAGAGTGATCATCATCATCCAATCATGATTTCAAGCCTGTAGTAATCATATTAGACTGTTCTAAAGACTTGTTGATGCTCTTCTAGCCTTGTTTCTTGATGCATAGTTATGCTAAATCTCTGATTCACCAATAAACCTTTCCATCTTGCAAGTCTGTTTTGCCAACTAAGTCTCCAGCTCAATTGCAGTTTATTATTACGAATTCAAGCTGTAATTTGCAACGTACTATATACAGTGACTGTAGTATATATATTGAGACGTACTACACTGTTGTCTGGATCTTTGTATGTATATTTACTGCATTTTTTAGCTGACAAAACATTTATTCTTCTCCACCACTGACATGTTTTACTAATGATGTAATGTAGTGCGTGAAATTGGCATTGTTGTGTACTAAAAAAAAGTGGTGGGGTATGGGTATCTTGGCCAGAGTTCAGGTCTGTGTTTACCTAATGTGGGCCAGTCTGTGAATCCTGTGAAGGCAGAGTTGAGCATTCTTATGGTATTGTATTTTGCATATATTCCTAATGTACTTGCATTTGTCACTTTCTTATCGCAGTACTGGAGGCTTCTATTTAATTTGCATGCTAGTCCTTTCTTTAAGGGTGTAAGGGAGGGCTAAGTGGTGTGTGTCAGTTTTAATGCAATATTTTAGAAGCGGCTGCGAGTATTCACGCAAAATTCACGTGATCACGAAGAATGCCGCTGGGTATTACAAGATACCCTTTTTTTATGCCCATGTTGCCTACCCTTCCTATGGCCCACTCCCAAATTTTAAAGTGGGTTTGCTTCTACAGTACAGTACCTGTACTTGTATCACACTTCTATAGCACTTCTACAGTGCTTGTGTAACGGGCAACTTGTTGGAAAGTGCTCTATGCTTTCCCCACTACTTGGTAGCACGTTACTATATATTTGGTATCATTTGTGCAGGTGTGTGCCTTGGACTGCAGTGTGCAGTGATCGAGTTCTCTCGTAACGTCTTAGGGTGGCAAGATGCAAACTCTGCCGAGATAGACTCCAAGACTTCACACCCTGTTGTAAGTTTTTGCTGACGCTCTTTGAAGCTCTTTTCACGATGCAGCGATGTGTGCGCTTTTCGTTTAGTGGGGAAGCCTCTTCATCTCGGAGGCCTTACTCTTGGCGATACTGGTTATCCCAACCCCTACCAAAGCCCTACCAAGATGGTAGAGGACAGAACACGAAAATGAGAAAAGCCAAATTGTCAAGCTTTCCTTGTGTTCTTAATTGTATGTGTGGCTGTTCTGTTTAGAATGCATGCAATGTCAACTATGCATAGAAGTCTTGCAGCTATGTGTACGAAACAATCGAACTCTCCAGTGAGTCTCTCAAAAGTTCTTGCAATAGCTACAACTCTTCAAGTTGTACAATAGTAGCTTGTTGGAATGAAATAACTTCGGACACACAGACATCTTCAATATGTTCGATTGTTCGGCGGTTGGGTCAAGGTTTTGATGTCCTACATAACCAGAAGGTGAAGGGTTTACGTCCTACACGCTTTGTAAGTTGAGGGTTCAAGTCGTTCACTATACAGTGGAACCCTGATTACATGGCTTTGAGGGGACTGTGCAAAACTGCCTTAAAATAAAAAAGTGATAAATGTAGACTATGGCGCTCAGTTTTATCCAAATAAATGGGTGCAGACTGCTAGAATGAGCTTGTGGCACGAACCTGCTGAGAAGGCAGATTATTCCACCTTCCTCCAAGGATGATAGGTTAGACTGTTTTAAAAACGACAGCCAAGCATGTAACGGGCGTTGGTGTAAGTGAAATTTTATTCACAATGAAGGGTGTATAATTGAGGTTCCATGGACTTAATTAGGCTTGCGGGAATATTCGGTCATTTAGAATATTTGAAAAAATATTGCACAGTTCGAGTTTGTGTTAATTGAAATTTAAAGTACTGGAAATTTCGAAGTATTTGGAATGAACGGATAGTTGCATATTAAGCTGCGTCGAACTTTTTTTGTAAAGGTGGTTTGGCTGCAGTGGAAGGGTGTCATGCAGTGAATGCCAGAAAACAAATTCGCATTGCCGCGAAGTATTACTTCAAGCTTAAATGAACATATTACCCTCAGCATCGATTCATAATTTGTTTTAGGTTGAAAAGCTTCTCATACCACCTTATACACTCCAAGTATGGCAAGTTTTCAAATGTAGCATATCTTACCGTGCGTCATTTGCATTCTACTGAAAATGAAATCCGGCTGCTTTTCGAAGTTGCTATTACTTGCGTTTAAACAAAAAAGAATGATAGTTGCACATGCCTAGTTTGAAAAATATGATGGTTGCACATGCCTAGTTCGACGTTAAAAAATATAGTGTGCAGGTTGGTTGGGTTGTGTCATATACGTTTTTTTTTTTTCATAATATGTGGTGTATACTGTCTGAATTCGATTCGAATTTATTCAACCAAATCACTATTCACACAAGCCTAGACTTTATACTACCTTGATATGTTACCTATGTAATCCTATGAGAGAAGCATTGTGAGTATGCTTGTGCGAATAATGAATTTTAGGTTTGAAGAGAATTTGAAGCAATGAATGAATTTGGTCTAATAATCTCTAATCAGATTCGAATAGTGCTATATACTGTATTTTCTCGCTTAAGGAACACACTTGCATAATAAGGCACTCCCAACTTCAGTCATTAAAATCTGGATTATTTTTCTACCACGTAATAAATGTACCCTCTACATTCCTCCACTGCAGTCCCGCTAATTGACACCTGTTGCCTCCTTGCCCGTTGGATCTCTTGTGTTTTTTACTATTTTTCTTACCCCCTACGGCCACCTCGGCTTGCCCCCCTCCTTCCACCTTCACCCGCTGCCGCGCGTCGTATTGTTCTTCTTTCTAAGTATCTGCGTGCGGCACATCCCCTGTCTTTTTTTATTATCCATGCACCACAGCGAGGTTCACAAATGGTGCGAGTGCAGAAACATTGCGGCTGATAAGTGCTTAGCGAACGAATTTCATGAAACTGCCTGCACCAACCGATGGTCGTTTCCTGCAAATACGGAATGTTAAGTAAGGCCCACCCACATGCTGGTGATTTTTGAGTGACGCCAACAGGGTATGCTGTCGCCATGGCTGTAGCGAAGAGCCATTCGTCGCCATTGCGTCGCAGGTTTCTGGAAAATTAAAAAAAAATTGCTTGTTATCTAGAAAATATTGTAACTATTTCCGCAGCATGATAGCACCCCCGATTCTCGCTTTGGCTTCAATTTGCTCTTCATGTTTGTTATCCGTGCGTACCTAAAAGAACGCAAGATATAGGCTATCTTTTCTACAGTAACTTCTCATGTGAATAGTGAGACGGCAGCCGTATTTTGTCGTTAATCTTGTTATGAACAGTTTGCTTTTGATGCTTCTGTGGTAGCTCAATGTAACGTCGACGACGCGGTTGTCGTGTGAGGTTGCCTCGGAAATTGGCAAAGTGGGTTATAGCACACGCTTCTGGCGTTCCTCGATATTCCATTAGATATCTCTGTTGTGGTTAAACAACTTTGAGAAAAGAAAGCCGCAAAACGCTTTTATGGAGCGTAAGGGTGGCACAGGGACAGTTTGCAGGAAATAGCGCCTTCAGTCATCGAAGATGAATTAAGTGCAACAAGGAAGCAAACGGCTAAGTGACCTAGCTTTGTTTTTCTCTTTTTTTGCATTACCATATTTTTCGATCATCTTGAAAAACTTTTCATATAATTTGCCCATTTTGCTCTGATTTTTTTGCTCTGATAACCCCATTTTTGCTCTGATTTTTCTAGAAAAAAAAAGTGTGTTCATTACTCGTGTAAATACGGCATATCAGATACTATTATAAGGAAAAATGGCCATATTTGTCACAATGTGGCTAGTCTGCGCAATATTTTTTATAATTTGAAACAAAGCCTGTGCAAATGCCTTTTTTTTTTTTGTTCAAAGGAAGTGGAAACAACTTTGAGTAGTTGTAGGATTTAACTTTTGGTAGAATGCAAATGATAACCTGTGAGATAGGTTACGTTTTAAAATTTACCGTTCTCAGAGCATGTAAGCCGGTATACCAAGCTTTGACTTAAAGGGTCCCCGAAACGGTTCTTTTGCATTATGTTTTTGATTAGATTACTACTGGAGCAAATCATTGGCACCAGAGTTCAATCGAAACACCCAATATTAACGGAGCTACGAGTACTAAAAAAAGTACCCTCCTCCTCCGTTCCGCCTTTCACCCTCAACGGTCCTCAACTTTTCCTTCGAACGCTCGGCGCTATGCTCCGCCTTCGTGGCGCCTGCGTCACCATGTGGCGTGAGGCTGCATACGCGTAAATCCCGCAACTGATTCGATACTGGCAGTTTTTGCTGCGCTTTCCACAGCCAATTGAATCAGCTGTAAACGAGGACATCAGTAAGGCAGAGTGTGTTGCTTGGTGTATGTGCGGTTGAAAACGCGTTTGGCCGAGCCGCAATGATCTGGAGTGATTTGCAGCTTTAAAGCATTGTAATGAATTGCACAGTTTACGCAGAGAGCTCAAATCGTTGTCTAAATTACTCTTGGAACTTGGTCTACCGGCCCAATGTGTTTGTAAGAAATTGTCATAACCGTTTCAGGGTCCCTTTAAAGAATGATGAATCGATGGGGTAGTAATGTGTTTCTTTGACCTTGAAGTGAGGCTTTGCGGCAGTGTGGATTTTTTCTGGATAGGTGTTTTCATCGCTTAGCACCTCTTCACTCTAGTGGAACAATGTTTACAAAAATTTATTTGCAAGGTAATATACATTTGATTAGGTGCTTTCATGGCTTAGCACCTTTTTACTGCAGTGAAAAGACCTTTACAAAGAGTTACATGTGGAATAATACACACCTCTTCGTTCATTTTGAATTCTTTGAAATTTTCAATTAACTATATTCAAATTGAAACAAATTCAAATGCTCTAATATCCGTTTGAAGCATTTGAATATTCACACATATCTAATTGCGAGGCATTGTTTTATAGTACCAATAGAGATACAGGCAGACAGATTCACTAATCTAGTATCGTAAGATGGCTTCACATCAAAAAGTCTTTTGTGATTGAGCTAGGCAATTAAGGCTTATTACTTTTGTTTGCTTACTTTTTGCAGATTATTGAAATGCCTGAGCACAATGTGGGCCAGATGGGAGGTACAATGCGTCTTGGCAAGCGAGAGACAATCTTCAACACGGAGGACTCTTTGTTGAGTAAGCAAAACCGTGTGACAGCACTACCATACCTACCTACTTGGTTCTTGCAGTTGTCCTGCCCAAAGTCACAGCACCTGAAATACTTACCTACAACAAACCCGGATATAGGGATTTATCTGTTATAACCATACTACTTGAACCAGCACTTGTAACTGCACGAACATTTTTCAAAGCATCCTACTTTTACAAACAGCTCTTCTGACATTGTCACAGTAAAAAATGTGGTGCAAACAAAGTGGAAAAATATATATATCATAAGAGGCCTTAAAGGCCAACTCCCTGGCCCCGGTTAGCCTTAAAGGCCAACCTGGGCCAGGAGTGCACTGTGTGCGCCGCCACCGCCGCTTCGTCGGCGACGGGGTGACCACGGAAGATGCATGCTCGTGCCAAAATGACAAAGTCTGGAGCAAAATTTCTAATTGTCCATTGGGAAATTGGTTATATCAAGAATGTTTCCCGCTGTTACATTGTAACATAGTGGTCGCAAACACCGCATACTGTAGCCCTGCCCGGTGGTCTAGTGGCTAAGGTACTCGGCTGCTGACCCGCAGGTCGCAGGATCAAATCCCGGCTGCGTGTCTGATGGAGGTGGAAATGTTGTAGGCCCGCGTGCTCAGATTTGGGTGCACGTTAAAGAACCCCAAATGGTCGAAATTTCCGGAGCCCTCCACTACGGGGTCTCTCATAGTGATATGGTGGTTTTGGGACGTTAAACCCCACAAATAAATCATTCAATACCTGCATATCGTATTTACTCGAGTAATGAACACACTCGCAAAATAAGCTCATCCCCAACTTCAGTCATCAAAATATCGATTTTTGTTTTCCCCGCGTATTAAACGCATCCCCTACATTCATCCACTGCAGTCCCGCTAACCAACACCTGGCACCTCCTCACCTGTTTGCTCTCTTCGGTTTTTTATTGCTTTGCCGACTCCACTCAACCACCTCCGCTCGCTCCCTCCCTCCCCCTTCGCTTGTTGCCATGTGCCTATTGCTTTTCTTTCTATTTGTGCGCTGCACGTCCCTCGTTTTATCTGTGCGCCACAGCGGGGTTCATGAGTGGTGCGAGTGTAGAGACATCGCAGCTGATAAGCACACAGCTAGCGAAGGTTACCAAACTGCCCCCGCCAACCCACGTTGGTCGCTTCCTGCGAACCCTCCCTTTCTTTTTAGGTGCTAAGCTCCTTAAGGCATGGGTCTGTCCATCCCTTGTATGTATGTAGTAGTACGTAGCCACCGGTGGATAAGTAGGTATGTGCCACAAAGGATGCGAGATGGGAGATGGCGGTACTTGAAGTGTTCACTAGATGAACGCAGGGACGGATGGACAGGCAGACTAGCAGACGGACAGATGGTTAGAAGGGCATACGTACAGACGGATGGATAGGCGCGCGTACATATGGACGGACTCACGGACAGACGCATGGATGGTCACGCGGGGGGGATGGAAGCAAGAACAGACGGACGGGCTGACGGATGCTTCGCCCCACTCATCATCATTCACTCTGTGGATATGCTGTGATTTTTTAGCCTACTTTCTTTTTTTTTTACTCTAACTGTCTCTTCGTTCCCCGTTCCTCGAAATCACTAGCAGATACCACTGTTGCGGTTAAACGATTGCGAGAAAAGATAGTCGCATGGCATCAACCACCGAAGATGAGTTGTGCAACAAAGAAGCTCTTTCCAAACAGTGTACATGTATGTAAATTGTGAAAGGCTAAGCGGCCTAACTTTTTTTTTTGCATTACCACATTTTTTCCTTCTCCCAAAGAAGTTTTCATAAAATTTACCGCGCATAATAAACTCATCCACTAACTTTGCTCTGACTTTTTGATAAAAAAAAGTGCGTTCATTACGCGAGTAAATATGGTAATTTGCGTACTTTTTTTGGGGGATGCTAGGGCTCCGAGATGGGGTTGCACAAATTTCGTGGGGATTTCGCAAACACATACCAAATACTGTGCGATTCTCCTGACACGCGCAGTATATACATAAAAGGAAAAAAAAAAAAATAGGTTGGAGCACGAACAAAGTATTGTCTATTTAACAGAATTAGCACGTACTTCAGTCAGTCAGATCCGGTCACAGACTGTCTAGTCGGAAGAACTTCACACTGAAGTGCTTGGCAGTAGCACGATTCTCTTTTTCTTCGACAAACTTCATAACGGCAACTTTGCATGTTGCGGTATATGTAATTATTGTAGCCCATCGCAAGATAACAGTAAAAATGCATCAGACGAATGGGGAACCTAAATTTCCGAAGTCAACCAAGTGTGCATTGCAGCGCGGATGCAGACAACGAGGGGAACAGATGGCACGACAGACACAACAGGCCTTCACACGCCTCTGGGGCCGAAAGTTGTCTGTGTCATGACGCGAGCGTGCATTCTCACGGTAATAGAGAGGGAGAGATTGAGGGGGGCAAACGCTCGAGCAGTTCCGGCAACCTGTCAACAGATTTTGGCGTTCATGCACGGTATTGTAGAGACCCTAGTTCGGAGGAAGTCTTCAAAGAAAGGGACTTCGCACTCGCAGCCCGTTTGACTGCACTCACCTGATTGACAAGACGTGCTGCCGTCTGGAGAATCTAAAGGGCCAAAGTATCTTTATGCTCGCGCCGGTGAGCTGGTGCGGAGGAGGAGGGGGGGAGGGGGGGAACGCAAAATATGCAAATAAATATATATACATTTTTTTCGTAAAGCTGACAAAATTTTAAAAAGTGAGCAAATTATGCAAGTAAATACGGTACATGTGCTTCTATGGGGTAACAGCGGGGAATATAAAAACTTTGTTATATTGAGGAATTCATTATATGGAGGTTTGTTATAAGCAGGTTAACTGTATTTACCATTTTTTGTGGCACTTTCAGGTTTGTTATAAGTAGATTTGACTGTAAAATGTTGTTAGAATTGTGTACAAAACTGAAGCTGCCACACCTAATGTCCAAACCTTCTTGCCAATTTTAAGGGTGGTGCTTTGTTGTACTGTGGTTAGTTGAGTTATTATGTTTTCAGAGTAAAAATAAATCATTTGGTTACAATACCTTGGATGAAAGGCTGAATTTAAAGTGATTAAAGTTTCAAATAATGAAATGAATTCACAATCTTGCTGACCTCGACGTATCGAGGCTTAACTGTATTTTGTCTATTCGAATAATCAACCAATCTTCAAAGCTTTGAGTATAGGGTAGGAAATCGGTGGGAATGTTGTTTGCTATGTAGGGGTGTTATGACAATGATCAACTTCCTTTGCTTTTCCCCTTTATAAACCATGCTTCCTAAGAAAAACAATCTTTTTGATACTTCTACAGATAATCCGTTATCCAATCTTGCTGAATGCAGCGTTGAGTGTCGACTTGTAAAAATATTTTTTGTGGGAATTGCAGGGAAGCTGTACCAGAACGCAGAGAAAATTGAAGAAAGGCATCGGCACCGGTATGAGGTGAACCCTTCCTATGTTTCCGAGCTTGAGAAGGCGGGCCTGAAGTTCGTTGGCAAGGACACCTCAGGGAAGCGGATGGAAGTGATAGAACTGTCTGGTAAGTTAGCATACCTGCCAAGTCTCCTGGATTTTCCGAGAGACTCCCGAATTTCTACCAGTTCTTATGTCTGTACGGTTTGCCAGGAAAATCTCCAGGGAATTGACATTTTGGTGCATGATCTGGCCGCATTGACAAAAATGCAACCCAATCCAATCCAGGCTTTTTGCAAACCAATCGCATTTTATTGTAAATGAATTCAGAATTCTAAACGTACGGTAGAATATCAATGATGCGAAACTGGCAGATATGAATTCGCTAAATTTCTCAGCCAAATTCAACAAGGTCCACTGGGCCAAAAATTGGAAGTTTCAAGCACTTTTCCTCATCGCGGCAGGTCATATGAACTTTAGTACTGAAACTGCCGAATAAAGGCCAAGAGCAGCGTGCTCGAAGCTTTGGAAGTACTATACGTACGGCCAGCACACATACTGTCAGAACTGTGTTTATCGTTTGTCACAACTGCTCTGGATGAAACCGCGGTCGCTCTTCACACGATCATATGTGGCGACAACACAACTGGCAGATCTCCGAAAGAGCGTACACATTGAACGCTTGACCAGTCAAAGCGACGTTGCTTTCCACAAACACTGCAGAAAAAATTGCGACAGATGCGATCCTAGATAGCAAAAACCGACATGGTTTTGAAGGCACATGCGCTGTTGGCACACGCGGATTGAGAACTAAACTACCGCTTTCCACAACCGCCGCACGCGAAACTGCTGTTGCGACAACACGATCACTTTCCGAGGGTGCATGGCTGACGCAGTGGTAGAAGCCACGATGGAACGACTACGACGGAACACCTCCGCCACCCACGCACTGCATTGAACTTTGGTTCCTCGGCTTCTTTTACGCAGTAGTGGTGAGCGAACCCCTTCTAGCCAAAGAAGTAGCCACAACGCTGCGCTCTTGTTTTCATTTTTTTTTGTGCGGTGATAGTCTATTCTATTCTTGTGAGCAAGCCATGAAAAGAGCAAGAAGTATTCTGTGCCACGGTGCAAATTTGTTGACAAGACCTGCACTGAAAAAGTGTCGCTTTTTGCTGCACCGCAAGGAGTGGACTGCCTGAAGGTATGGCGCCATGTGATTTTGTGCAAGGACTGTGTGCTGCAGTTGACTGATTACTGATTACAATCAGTTGACTGATCCATTTCAAGCAGCGTCCGTGGCCCAGAAACGGTCATGCATGATAGCTCTAGCTCGACCATGGTTACTGTGGCTCCATCTCAGGCTTTCTCCACAAAACGAGGACAGAAGTTCTTTGTTTCCGGAGGCGGCACTGATCCACCTAAATACTTCTAACACTGTGGTAGAGGCGACAAAGACGTGAAAAATGCTACTGTAGAGAGGAAGAAGAATATGTGCCGCAGTGGGTCACGCCTTTAGCGAAAGAAGCCGAGCGCAAGCTGTTGCCCCGAGCGCTGTGATTCCTGGGTCGGTTGCTGCAGCCCGCTTTCCGCATCAATAGACCTGCTGTACAAGTCTTACACCAATAAACCCCGTTTCAGAGTGGTGGAGGTGCTGGGTAACTCAACCTGTAACTCCGCAGCAGGAAACTACCTGCCATCTCAGAAATGGCTGAAGAAAACACCCAACAAGGTACGACCCAGCCTCCGACGGTCATCGTGCCCACTGCGCTGCGCGTGCGCGATTCACCCTTTTTCGACCGTACTGATGAGCAAGACGTAGAAGATTGGCTGTCAACATTTGAAAAGGTAGGTGCAAACATCAAATGGGACGACCCTTCTAAGCTGCAATATGTACCCTTCTACCTGAAAGAGGTAGCGAGTCTCTGGTTTAAGAACCACCACTCGGTATTCGCCACTTGGGGTGCTTTTAAGCTACGCATCACCGATGTGTTCAGTCGCCCCGAGGTACGCAAGCTTCCTGCCGAACAGCGTTTACGGGGACGCGCACAGCTTCAGGGGGAAGGCTTCACAAGCTACATCGAGGATGTGCACGACTTGTGCAAGCGCCTTGACCCTTCAATGATCGAAGCAGACAAGATCAAACACATCTTGAAGGGGATAGACGACGCCTTCCAGATGCCGCTAGCCAAGGGCCCACGTACTGTGTCCGAACTCGCCACTTTTTGCCTGAGCTTCAAGGAGTTGCGCAAACAATGGGTCATGATATGGCGGCCAGCGGCTACCAATGAGACTCTTGCGGCATTGACCCTGGCTGGAGACCACAACACCATAGTGTCGGAAATCAAACGATATGTGCGCGAGGATGTGGCCCGACAACTTTCGTGCCTGTCTGTGATGCAGGGTTCTTGTTGCTGATTTGTTTCTCCCGGGCTGAGCCTCAGAGAGTTTTGTTAATAAGGACAAAGCCGTTCGGTTTCCAAGAAACACACAAAAAGTTTAATTGAAAAGAAAAAAAGGCAAAGATTCCTCACAAAACAAAACACTTCATAAACAGTTGACTGGACATGACGAAACACATCTGTAAACACCCAACAAAAACGTTCAAAGTCAGTAACTAAACCAAACGTTCGAAAGGGGCTGAGTGATGGGAGTAGCGCAAGATATCTGTTCGGTCTCACCCACACGCTGAATTCCGCCGACGATGAGCAAACCGGAACGCGGTGATTCCGGCTTCAGGACGCGGGCAGGACGGGGATGAAGGAACGCTGGCTGCTGACGACACGTCGAGAAACCAGGCCGGAACGTGGTGGCTCTGGCTTTAGGAGTGTGGACCCGTCTGTGACGAGAGAACGCAAGCTGGTGGTGACGCGTCAGAGAACCAGGGTCGACCTAGTCAAGCAGCTGGGCGCACAGCTCGGGCCCGTAGCCCGACGGCTGTTGCTCGCCCGTTGGAACCAAAGTCCGCAGGCCCTGGGTAGGAGTTCAGGACCGGATGGCCACGGTCCTCTCGAGCGGGAACACGACGGCAGGAGGCCCCGGCCGGTTGAAGACCTGCAGGCTCGGGTCCTACGCCCGACGGCCCATCTTCAGCGCCCGGTCCGGTGACGACCTTCCGCTTGCACTGCCTGCCTCGAATTCCCCTTGCTCTCGTCTGCTCAGGCTCCTGCTTCAGCTCTGGCCCACTTGTCTCGTTCTCATTGGAGATACTGCTGTCTCGTGGTGTCAAGCCATTGGGCCTTGAAATCTCCGTGTTCGCTGCCCATTGGATGTTTTACCTTTTGTTTACTTCACGTCCTGCCACGCATCCTCGTGCTCGACGCTCTTTAACGTCGTCATTCTTGTTTAAGCAGCCCCGCACGTGCACTCTGGTATTTCTCCTTTTGTTTTTTTTTTTTTTTCCGTGACGCGCACTTTTCGAAGGCGCGCACTTTGAACGCGCACCACACATCACATACGCCCCCCTTTCATTCAAGTTTTTTTTTTTTAGAAAAAAAAAACTGCCGATGAGTGCGCGTTCTGCACTACGTCACAATTACACCACATATTTGCACCACGCAGTTCAACACATCACACCGATGGCACCACACTGCTTCTTCGTTGACATGTCTCACGTCGAAACACCGAGTCCACAGAACGTAACATTCAACCAACAACAATAAGAAAAGTTTTTTTTTTTTTTTTCGAGAAGAAAAAAAAAACTGCCGTTGAGTGCACGTTTCGCACTGCACCACAATTTACCCACATATGTCCGCCACACAGTTCACTGCATTGCCCAAAGGTCCACATTCACTAACCTCAAAATACGCAAGAAGTGAGAAAAAGTATGGACACATCTAGCGGATTGTGAAAATCCCCAAATTAGAAGTACACCACCCCTTTTTTTTTATCATATATACCCTATCATCTCAAAAACTATACATCATGTTAATGTTACATTGCATGTAACTTCTTCAAATATTTACAAGCAACACCCTTCCATGGTCCGCAAGCAAGATCCAAAAAAAACCAGCGGGAAATCGAATTTGACGCTTAAGTTATAGCGTCCCGTACAAGACGTTTAACTGCTCTAACCATTTGACAAGAGTAAGGAATCGGAAGCCAGTGGAAGAATTCTCGACCGTAAGCTCGTATGAACCTAAAGCTGTGTATCACCAGGTTCCCAACCTCGAAATCACAAGCATACACGCTGGAATGTCTGTATGCCAGTCGGAGGCGTTGCCTCCAGGCGCACCAGTACAACCACGCCTGAATCATTTCATCCTTCCCACGAACGCCTTGCTTGAGCTCGTAAGCCGCTAATCGTTGAGACATCTTAACAGAAGCGACCTCTTCAACCGAAGATGCCAAAGAGCACCAGTCGGCGTCCTTCCTCGTACAATAACCTGCTGGACCATTACTGCCTTCTGGTTCACTTTCCATCCCTTCAGCTTTCTGTATTGCTTGTTCATCAATACTTTCAACCCTTCTGCCTGGGTCATCGTGATTACCCTCATTGTCACATATAGCTGACCTACATTGCAACTCTACTCTCTGTTCTTCAACAAGTGCTTTTGCATTTTGCTCCAATATTCTTCTAAAAGCATCATCTACAATTTCCCGAGAACACAAGCCATCTCTCTGTATGGGCAAGTTATAATCATGGTGAAAAACCATGTCCGTAGCGTCTGTTGCTATCTCCAGTGGCCCAAAACAATAGGTAGCTGCTACATCAGAGCTTTCATTATGGCATTCGCCGGCATTACCTAGGAGACCTTTTATTGCTCCTTCAGCGGAGCTATTCAGAGGCAATCCTACCTCTGAATAAAGTGCGCTTGACCTCTCACAGGTTTCAAAATACCCTTTACTCTGAATGGAACGTTCTTGTTCCATGCTCACGAAGCATTCCTGCGCTTCAATAAGCTTATCGAGTCTCCTAGTCTTTTGACTGTTTACCTCCCTGTCATACTCTTTCAGAGTTTCTTTCTCTAGCGAAAGGTCATGACGAGGTACAGGGTCAGTCTCACGTAAATTCAAATCGCTCCCGATGTAACTGCTTTCAGAGCACACCTCATCCACTGGTTGACTACTCTGGCTCTCAGACCACGCATATTCAGCGTTTTCCCTCTCAAGCCACTGCTGCAAATCCTC